ACTGGCAGCCGAGTGCTAGTCTCTGGACCTTGTCCAGCCCCACCACACGGAGGTAATGCCACGTGGGTTGAAGAAGCCACGCGCAGTCTTACGTTTAGGCAAGGGGCTTGCCAACAGCCAACAGCTCTAGTACTACCTGCTAGCGTGGCGTCCACAGCATGTACCGGTACTTTCTCTCCCGTGGTGACAGTCCGGGGCGGGCAAGAATCAGTACCCGCCGACATCTGCCACCAAGCCTAGGTACCTCTGTCCAATGGCTGTGTGGTGGTCTGGTCCGTCACTAAGGGGAAAGAGCAGGATGAATGGGAATAGGAGAGAGCACCCAATAGTGACGGTATAAGGTACTTGGTACATACGAGGGCAAGCTTGGCATGGGCATGGCCCCATTGGTCAGCCAGCAAGACGAAATTCTCAACCTCAGCCCACGACCCAGGCAATAGCCGTCGCGAACCCTTGTTCTTGGACGGCAAGCCCGATGACCGCCTCAATCATCGTCCCCCTTGGCCATGCCTGTCGATGATGACAAGTCGGCCGCTCAGCTCGCTGCCCGCGCCCCAGCCTCGCTCCTCAAGCAAAGAACAAACAAGAGGACACGGACCTCGTCGCCGCTCACTGCTCTCTCGCGTCAGCCTCAGCCCGCAGCTACGCACGCCGCCGCGTGCGTGGCGGCTAATGATCTGAAACATGAGGCAACAACGGCCATCCCCGTCGACCAGGTTGTCGACTCCGTCAACGTGTCACCGGGATTTTGGACGGGACGCCGCCCGGGGCGGGGGTTGCTAATCTAGGGGAGCGCCTGCTCGAGTCAGTCAGCACCTCTCGTTCCGAATCTCGCCCACCGAGACCCCAGCTCCCTGCCGCGCCACATGGCGAGCCCTTTGGCGGGAGCCGTCATGCCATCATCCATTCAATGCCATGGAGCAGCAGATGGACCCTGCTTGTCTACTTTGTTGGCGGCGCCCCGGAAGGCATCCCCGTCTGCCGCAATCCCGGCTCCTCCTGGAACAGACAATGACGCTTCGGAGATGCGGTGGCACGAGACACTTACTTGTTCTCCAAAAAAATGGGACATGGGATGGGATGGGGGCGTACTCCTTCACTTGCACGACGGTCAACGCGTGATTCGGCTCTTGACATTGATTTGGCTTAGACCTCATGGTCAAACTACTGCTGATGACATCAACTAGCTCAACTCAGGTTACGCATCAGGATGGATACCGCATGCCATGCCCGTCCACCTGAAGTGCTTCCTCGTTGCGGGGCGCGTATCCTATTCATCTACCCTCCCCCGGTGGCGCTGAGCAGGCCGTGAGACTGCCCAGGGCACCTGACTCGCCTGTTATTATCCGTATCTTCTCTTTAATTTGCGGAAATGCCAACCGAGCGGCCCAAGGGCAACTATATGCGAGTGTAGGCCGTGCCTGCCGGGAACCTTTTGGTTGACCTGTCCCTTTCCCATCATCAGATCCAAAGAAAAAGCAACCAAGAGATAACGAGCAGACTAGGTAATTAACCGTTATACCAACTTGGCTGGGGATCAGAGAGCTCGAAACAATGCCGACTCGCCAAGGGCACGTCTTATTTTCGGCGAGTATCGACTACTTGGCCATGTGCCAGCGGCTTCGCACGCCACGCGAGCAAACCTTGTCAGCGCACCCGGACATGCAATTCGTAACGACGCCACACCGTGAGACTGTGGGTCGACCAGACACCGCATCAGTTTGGACCAGTCACGAGGACCGGGAGCCGGGGGACCCAGTTGCTGGTTGCGACCGCCGCCCGTTGAGGCCTGCCTAGGTACTATTGGCAGGTTACCGTAAGCCTCATGGAGCGCCTTGCTTGGCTGCCACGGCCCGTTGCTGCCTACCCGACTCCAGACTCAGCCCGTCCAAGAGCCGATGGCGCTGGTTGGCGGCGAGCTCGCAAGCTCTATCGGCGACGCCCCATCGCCGTCAAGGACGCGATGGGAGCCGCCGGCGATGACGACGCGCGCTGGTGTCGTTCTGGACTGTTGAATGGACCCTTTGATTGTGATTCACGATGCCCGCTTCCGGGCAAGGCGCCGCGGCAGCCTCTCGTTGGAACCGGAACAGCGGGCCTTGTTCCCTTGGGCACTGAGCAGCTGGCTGATTCGTGCCAACAGCAACGTGTCCCGCTGCGCCACGGAGCGCCCTCATGATGCCCTGAAGGTCGCGGCGCCAGGGCGGATAAGTGAAACTGTGCCGGCATCCTCTCCGTAATACCGCCCTTCTCTCATTTCTCTCTCGAAGATCTTGCCTACTTACAAGCCCACGAGCAGGCAGGTGGCTTGTAGCCAAGAGCAGGACAAGCACTACTGGTTTTAATCGGAGTGGGCCGCGAAGCCTGTCCGCTTTCGTCCTACGGGATCACCATCCGAGCTCTTCTGGCCGTTTATTTGGCCTTTGCTCCGGATCTGTCATGGCCAAATCGACGGCAGTCAAGCCCCCAAAAAGCCTGTTGCGCCCTGCAATTGCCTCTCTGTGAACTCAATAAAAGCATTCCCTTACAGCGGGGGCTTGAATTATTGTATGAGACCGACGAGGGAAGCCAAACTCACTGTCGGGGGAACCAGCCCCACCCCTCCTGGTCCTGTCGCAGCCTGCAAAATCCACGGGGAATACATTCCGCTAGACTTCATCCCCGAGCTCGGACCGTGCTTATAACCTTGCGTGCTCTCGCCGCCTTGCCGCCCATCGGGCAGACGTGGGCCGCCGCCGCGGGGATTGGTAGCGGCACGTCCGATCCGCCGCGGGCATCGGGGCCGTGTCCCGCATTGTTTCGGGTCTGTCCTCCGGAGACGTGCTCCTGTCGGCCACGCCTGTTTTTCTGCATGCCCCATGATGGTATGCTTCCACCTGCCTGATCCCATCTGCAGGCTGGTACGGATATCGTGGTCGCCAACCGGTTTCGCTTATTATTTCCCCATTCTCCGCCTGCGCCGGCTCCTGGCTCGCCCGAGATCTGCTCGCGCCTCGCTCCACTGTCCATGTCCGTTGGAGGGGATACGCGTCCATCGACCCATCCCATCCGTACACACATACACTCGGTATGCAGGAGGTGCTGAGCGGGCCATGCAGGCCTACATTGCATCGGAAGAGGAGCGCGGAACGTGGCTTCGTGCCGGGTCGGAGAATATTCCTGCTCTCACCGCGGCGCCCCTCCCCCCTTGTCGTCCCAACGTGAAGCAACGGAGCGGCTCCGGCCAGAGACGCGTTCACAACCGGACCAAGCGGGGACAGAGCAACGGCAGGCCAAGCGGCTTGGGCGGCGACGTGCTTCGCAGCTGGCACACATTGTCGTCTCCTCGGGTACTTTTCAGGAAGAGGAAATCCCATGAGAGATTGCCAAGCGGCCGCTATTGGAAACGCGCAGAGATGCCAAAACAAGGGCTGATCCGCGAGCATGTCGATGGACCCAACACGTGGACCGGCTACTGGCCGTCGCGATGCTCGCTCGTGCCACCTGCACAATCTTTTCACGGGACGGCCGAATCAAGGCCGGCGCCGGCGCCGGTGACGCGGAATGGGTGGCAGCAGCAGATGCATCTGCGGACGTTGTCTGGGAGCCACCTCACCTCGAGGCCAAGCACTCAGTCTCCAACAATGCTCTGCTACGTCGAGCGTGATCGTGGTAGATATCAACCAGAGCATCAGAAGATGCCATGGCCTTCCCTCGTGGACCTTTTTCTTACACGCCTTGCTCGGCCAGGGCACCGGGCCGCTCTTGCGAACATGCACGTGCATATATATACATGCAGCATGTACGGGGGGGAGTGTCAGTGGGGAGCCTTTTTTTATTTATATTTCTTTTGTCTGTAATGATGTGTTTCTCTCGGTTGAGCTTGAAGCGACCCAGGACGCACAATCCCAACGGCCGTGAAGGTCTTGTTCCGTTTCTAGACATTTCTCCCCACTCGACCTTTGTCTCGTCCACCCCCCACGTGCTCACCGCCGAATGACGAAGAATAACGAGAAATAACGCGAGAAGGAGACAGAAATGTGTTAAATGAAGCTTGGCCCAGTGGGCCGAAGACGAGAGTGAGGTCACGACATCGTTCCCATTCAATAGATTTCGGCCCCTCCGCAGGTGACGATGGAACCATGACGGAGAGAGCCATCTTGGCGCCCGTCTCTCTCCCAATACCCGTACCCGTACCCGTACCCTCCCCTTCCCCATAAGTACAATAAGTACAGTGTCAGCTGTCACTGCAGAGAAGCATGCGCGTCGTTGGACCGCCCCGCTGGAGACCTCGGAACATGGCCATCTCGGCGGGCGGGACCGTTTTTGTTCTATCCAGTCCGGGGAGGGGCGCGCGCAAGGGAGGGACGTCTGCGTCCCTTCTGCCTTGTTGGGACAAGTCCAAGCGGTCGGTGATAGCAGTGGGGGCCAACGGCGACGACGTCGGGCCGGCGGGAGAGGGCGGGGCCGGAGACGCCGTTGGATCCTCTTGCTGGACCCGGCAGAGGGGCGGCGGAGCTCTGATGGATAAGAGACGCAGGCAGAGATGGGCGCGACTACAGGGGCAAAGACGCGACGAGTGTCGCCGTCGCACAGCTGGACGGTATTAGACTCCCCGGACTGGAGTGTTTTCCATGAGGCCCTCCATCTTCAGCCTGGCTCCAAAGGCTGCTCGTCACGCCATGCCTGCACTCGTTCGGCATCGAGTGCTGACCTTTTGGCTCGCCCCTGTCCTTGGCCAGTCGAGATATGTTATTCACTCTGCTTCTCTGCTCCTGTATGTCTGCGATTGCCACCTGTCTCATCGACATCGCCCCCCCCCCCTTTTTGACATCCTCGAGCAAAGGCCGAATCCCCCCCTTCTCAAAACACATCAGAAAGCCAAAACGCCGACGCTAGTATTTTCAGTATTGGAAAACCTAAAGCAATCCCTGCCGGCAGGTAACAGCCGTACCTGCCAAGGATGATGCATCGTGAAAAACAAGCCATTGGTAGTACACGGCGTCGCGGGCGGCGGCGTCTTATATCGACGCAGGCGCGGCATCAACCCGCCAGCCCTTGCTGCGCATGTTCGTCTCAATCGTCTTCCAGATTTGCTCCACCACCTCCTTGTCGCGGAAGCGAGACGAGTCGTGGCCGTCGCCCCTCCACCGGTCGACGCCCGTGGACAGCACCCGATGGCCCCAGTTGCGGACGCTGATGGGGACCTCCTCGCCGCGCCAGCCGACGTAGACGCCAAAGGTGTGCTTGAAAAGCTCGTGGGGGTTGCTCCACTTGTAGTTCTTGAACTGCCAGTTCTGACCAGTGGTGAAGACGGCAACGACGCGGTTCCAGTACTCAGGCTTGAACTGCTCCGAGCCCTCGACGAGGATGAAGCGCATTGGGCGGTTGGGATCGATGCCGCGCATGGTGCGCTGGACGTGGAGCATGCTTGCGGAGGAGGCGGCGGCGGAGGCGTCGGGAGGCACAAACTTGCCGTCTTCAAGGAATGAGCGGGCGTTAGACATGCGGAGGAGGGACGAGGCCGAGGGCGACAGCAGGATGATAGGATCTGGCCGTCGGGATGAGGCCTTTGGGTTGCCAATCAGCGCCGGATTGACGCTAGCGACGGCGGAGGCCGAGTGTGATTTTTTCTGGATAAAGGGCACGGCCAATTTGCGCACGTGGGAGAAGTCCTGACAAGCGAGTAAGCCTTGGATCGTCGAGTGACCCCTTGGAACAGAGAGAAAGGAGGGCCTTGCAGAGAGGTGAGGGAGAACAAGGACGAAGGAAAGCGAGGGCAACGGAGACGTACCGTAGGCTTGATGCCTCTGAGGACCGTGTTGCGATCACCCATGCGGCGCTCGGCGTCGTAGACACTGGCGAGGCGCGGATCCATGGTGCCCTTGCCAGACCTGGCCTTGGCCGTGGCCGAGACCGCGCCGGGCTTGGTCTCGGGCGCAGCGGCGGCGGCAGCGGCGGCGGCATCACCGGCCAGAGGCTTGATGTACTCGCTCTCCTCGCTGGCGCCCTCGAGCCAGGTGATGAGGTCGAGCCTCTCAATGAAGCCCAGGTTCTGGACCTTTCCGGCGGAGCCTGCGGCGGCGAGCCTGTCGTTGAGCGTCGTGGCCGAGGCATTGTACTCGGGGATGGCGAGCTCGCGGTTCAGCCAGGCAAAGTAGATGCTGCGCAGGTCGACGGGCTTGTCGTTTGAGATGAAGCGCGTGGGGGCGTCGAGGGGTAGAGCGGCGGCCTGGCGGGCAAAGCGCAGGTGTGAGGCCTGGGCGAGGGGCGTCTCGGCGGAGGAGGCGGAGGAGGCGTCGGGGGTGGCGGCGGACGTGGTCGGCACGAAGGCGCTGCCGGAGGAGATGGCCTGGCGCAGGAGGAGGAGAGGATCATGGTCGGCGGCGGCGGCGGCCATGACGGGCAGAGATGGGACGGCAAGAACGAGCTAGGGTCTGATAGTGTAATGGCTGGCTGGTGGTCGCGGTCGTCTTCGGTGTTCGTAACGAAAGCGAGAGGAAGAGGGCAAAAAAATCGGGAGCTATCCCAGAGCTAGAATGGCGATTGGTGCGCGGCGAAGAAGAGGGGATGGATGTTCTATCCCCAAAGCATAGGGTCCTCCGCCCGTAAAGGGAAGAAGAAAGAAGAGGCGAGATGGAAAAAGCGAGAGGAGAGGCGGGCGCAGCTGCGGAGGTGGGCGCACGAAGATGGCGATGGGGTGTGAAGGAGGTTGAGGCGAGGTTCTCTTTTCGTAGCCGCTTTGTCACGCGTTTAGCTGCGGTACTGCACTTGAGCCCCAGACCGGGTATCTCCCCTGCAGGGGTGTGTGGTCGGGGTACCTGGCGCGTCAGTGACCAAGGTACCGGTCTGGAGAGCTCCCATTACCGCTTTTGGCGCTTGGTGCAGAGAGGGAAAAGCAGCGGTGATTGGATTTGATGCCTGTGCATCATCCAGCCACGCCTATTCGTGGGCTTAAACCGAGCACTGCACAATAAGCACTGTACTGCCTATTGGTGTTGACGTCGTTGATTATTCCCTTGGTGGGAAATGATGTTGTATGGAGGCTGAATAGGCAGTGCCCAGCCAACTTTATATTGGGCCTTGCTATTGTCGTCCCATTCGAACACGAAAGAGAGACGAGCCGCGAGGACACTCGTCGTGATGTTAGCTGGGATGAAAGACCATATTTCGAACGCGAATGCCGCGCTTGCAATCTCGTCGACACGGCGTCAATTCTGTTCTACCATCTATGCCCAAGGCCAGCCAGCCAGACTCCCTCCCCCCGAAGGACGCTCCCACACAGGGCAAAGCAGCAAGAGAGTAAGGAAGAAGGAAGAACACCTGCCCGGAATGCATGCATGAATTTGCAACAATGGACCGCCAACGCCGTAACCAGCCCCCCTCAGATGCCAAAGACGAGCTTCATGCGCTCGTACGTGTAGAAGCTGATAGCTGCCATGGGTATCACCTTGACGTATCCAATCGTGAGTCCGACAAAGAAGCCCCGGAACCCCCGTTCCCGCATGATGACGCCCGCCGTCTCGCCCAGCCGCAGCCGGCGTCCGTCGCCCACGGCGCCGCCGACCTGCATCCGTCGCCGTATCACCTCGAGCGGGTACGACGCCGTCTGCGAGATGAGCCCGGCGACGCCTCCCGCGCACAGCTCCGCCCACGACCGCAGCGGCGCCGGCTTGCCGGCCGGCTGGTTCCGTGTCCGCGGGAGCGTCGTGTGCTGCGCGACCGACGGGTGGCGCATCAGGTCACTGACCGTGTCGTGCGTCAGGAACGACATGCCCGCGTACGGCAGCATGCCCAACAGCGTGGGGAGGAAGCCGCGGTAGAAGTTGATGAGGCCGACCCGGGGCGCGACCGATTCGATGGCCGATGCGGTGGCCCGCAAGGGAGCCGGGGCGCCGGGGAGCCGGGCGGCGGCTGATTTTTCGACCGGGTGCTCGTTGTAGATTTGCCGGCATATCGACGTCAGCGACGAGCGGCCGTCGCGCTTCGTCTCAAAGGCAAGGCGGACGCGGACCACCTCGAGCGGATACGTAAAGAAGACGGAGGTGACGCCGGCAAGACTTCCGCTCAGTAGCCGCCGGAGCGGCGTCTCGTACTCCCTGCCGGGGATCAGTAGGGCGCGGATCTGCTCGTAGGCGAGGAACTTGATGCCGGCGTAGGGGAAGATGCGAAGGAGCGTTGCCGAGTGGCCGCGGAAGAGCCCGAGGGCACCCTCGCTGTGGTAAATGTCTCTCATGGCGGTGGCGACGCCGAACGAGGAGCCCGTGTACTTTGCGAACTGCGGGTTACTGGCTTGGAAGAGAATCTTGACCCGGTCAAGAGGCGCCACAACAGTCTTAGCCTGTTGATTTGGCACGCGCGCCATCCGTCAGCATATTCAAACTCGTGGCGGCGCCGGCAGAGACAGGAGAAGAAGGAGGCGGATGCTTACGGCGCATCCGGCCAAACCACCCGCGACGCCTGATCTCCAGGCATAGCCCAGCGACCTGGTATCCTTGCGGGGCGTCAGCGCCTCGTCGTCGGTCGGGCAGACGGCAGGGTCTCTCTTGTCGCCGACGTGCTGCCGTACGTGTTGCACCTGGTCGCGCGCCATGTCGGATACGGCCGAGGTGTGTTCGGTGGCCAAGGAGGATGGCATTTTCGGGGGCTCGCAGCCCAGCGCGCGCGGCTGGCTCCGGACAGTGCTGAGGGCTGGCGTCTCACAGGACCGGCATGCCGGCGCAGAGGCAGACCATGCGGTGAATGCGAGTGTTGGCGCGGTGCGCTGGGGGGGGGATTTGCTTCAAAGGGCGGAGGGCGGCCGGATGCGCAAGGAGCGGATGAAACGGGGTATATCTATGTCAAAGCGGGACAGGAACCAGGAGAGAGAGAATGAGGGGAGGCAGAGAGGTAACGACGGGGATGTCAGACAGGCCGCTCGTGCGTGTGTGTGCCGAGGAAAGAAAGCGACGATGGTGGCAAGGCGGGATTTCCGGCTCACCACGGGCCAACGAGGGGACGTCACTCGACTCGTTTCAGTGGAGGTTTACAGGCTTACAGGGCCTGCGCGCCGCGAACCAGAGGGCCGCAGGGAGCGTCGAGCCGAAGTTTGCCGAGCGGACCAATCTGCGTACCGGGTACGTACCCTCGGCTCTCAGGGACTGACTGCTAGACTGCAGTTGGTTGAGAAGTTGAGGCCTCGCCCCGAACCGCCGGCTGTCACGGCGAGTCAAGAGATGCTTGATTGATCGAGCTACATCTCCAGCTTCTCCAGGGCGCCAGTAGCCCTCACGGCAGCGGCCGTGATGCTCCACAGATTCCGGGCAGCAACCACATCCTGCGCTCGCCGCGAAGGCGACTTTACCCTGCCAGGGCCATCTAGAAAGCGGCCTTTCCAACGCTCGCTGTTTTCCCTCACCTCGTCGGCCGCTGCGGCAAACAGAGTGGTGCGGGCTCCCTTGTCCGGCCCGGTGAAGAAGAGCGCAACCAACGGACGTGCCATGAACGGCACCGCGCCCGCCGCCCCCTCCGTCTTGACGGGGCCAGGGTTGAGCGAAAGAGAGATGATATTGCCAGGCTCGACATCCATGCGGCGCTGCAGCTCCGTTGCGAATAGAATGTTGGCCAGCTTGGTCGTGCCGTATCTCCGTGCCTGGCCTAGGCACGAATCCTCCCATCCAGGACTGGCGCAAGCGTCGTCCAGATCCCTGGCGCAGGTGAAATGGTTGCTGGGGGAGGCGCGGGCTTCTCCCGACGACGACACCTGAGGATGGCTCTCTTAGCAGCTCCTCTGCCTATAGCATTGCGTTGCGCCGCGACTGCTGCACCTACCGTGACAACGCGCACATCGGATCCCTTCTGCGCCGCCGTGGCCTTGAGCAGGGGCAACAAACAATATGTGAGTGTCCAGTGGCCAATGTGGCTTGGAAGCCGTCAGCGTCCAACGTCCTGTCAACATTCCATCAGGGAGAGCCAACTTGACTGCCATTGCCATTTCGAACCCATCAGAGGTTCGAACATAGTTGTAAGGGTCGATGCCAGCGTTGTTCACTGCGTATAATGTTAGCACGGCCCACTGATCTGCCAGGCCATTGTCAACACATGGATACCGAGTATGTCCAATCGCTGCTCTTTTGCTCGAAGCTCGCGTGCCGCTTCGACCACCTGGGCCTGGCTTGACAAGTCCAGACGAAGCCAGACCAAGTTTTCCGGGGGTATTGACGGATTGTCCCCTAGGAGACGCTTAATGGCCGCCTTCGCACGGCTCTCTGATCTGGCCGCCAAATATACCTTGGCGCCCTTTGATGCCAGCCGCCTGACGGTGTGATATCCTATTCCGGCGCTGCTCTGGACTTAGCCATGTCCACTGGTCCGAGAGTAACACGTACTTTGCTCCAGTCACGACAGCAACCTTGCCATCAAGATTCTGTATATGGGACTCGTCCCATCCACCGGTCCCAAAGCCAGCGAGGGCTCGCTTTGAGAGAATGACACCCAGCGGCAATAAGACGAGGCACCCGTAAAGGAAGTCGACCGCTCGGATACAAAGTCGACGGATCCATAATGGAGACATCTTGAGACTTGCACGGTTGATAGGCGTCATGGTTCTCCGTGATGTTTGCCAGATGGATTCCACGCCCGAAAAGAGTCGAAACTTGCAAGAGAACCTAGATCCGGTACCCTAGTCTATGAGGTGTAGATAGTGTTTAGTATTGGTTCGGACAACACTTAGTAGTTACTATAGCTATAATATATGCACGGAGTACCTTTCGGTGGAATACGAATAATAGCCGAATTACTGACTGCCGGACCACGACTTTTGTCCCGCACCCCATGCTGCTACTTCTCGTTTATTGCATCAGTCGGCTGACGGCGCCGTAGCGAGCAACTCAGTCGGCCCATTCGCCCTTATCGAGCCGACGGGTAGACAACGAGCGTTGCCCCTGTCTGCTAAGCTCGCTCCCAAGCCCTACGTAGGTATGCAGTAAAATAGTGTAATTATACATCGGCGACTTTAAATCCAACCCGGTACGTCCTCGAGTGCTCTGTTATCAGATAAGGCAGTCTCGAAGTAATGCCTGTCTCTGGTGGCGTGGACTCGTTGCTTCTCCCTCTCTCGATAGCAGCGTCAGGAGCAGTCCCGCTCAGCTCTTCGAGGACGATGTCATCTTTACGTACCTACACCGAATAAAGGTCAATCAGACACACCTACCGATAACTACCCGTTGGAAAGATTTTTGCAGCAATGTGCCTGCTGGAAACGGGCATCCCATTTTGCCATGTACTGTACACCGGGATTACATAACGATCCACCACGACGATGCCACCATCGACGACGCGTCTCCCCAGCCGGCTTCCGCCACGACGGCAAGGTCCAGCCCAAGCATGAAGCCGACGCCAGAGCCCGACGGCCGCGACCCCGACCCTTCCAGCATCCTCTTCCAAACCCCGGACAAGGCCGTCGTCCTGCTTGATGTTCCACGGTCGCTCGAGGAGAGCCAGGTCCTCTCGGGGCAGCAGCCTGTGAGCCGCATCTATTCCGACTCTTCGCCAGCCGTGCCCTTACCGACGCCGGAGCCTAAGCAGGGCTTGAATGACAGCGCAGCTTCCGCGCAGTCGCAGGGCACTGCCGTCGCCGATCTGATGACAGGTGCGGCCGTGCGGAACGCATTGCAGCAGCTGGCGGACCACTACTCTGGCCCCTACCATCTCCCTCGTTTGGTCAGCGGCCCGGGGAGCCACGTCCCCGCTGCCGGCGCCGAGTCTCCCTCCTGCCCGGTCGTCGTGCCCCCGGGAGCCAGGTATCTCCGCGGATCCATAGAAGACATGAGGCAGACCTTTCTCGACACGGCGCCCAAGTTCGACCTCATCGTCCTCGATCCTCCGTGGCCGAACCGCTCGGCCCGGCGGCGGCGGAGGAAAGGCTGCTACGCTACGGCTGACACCATGCGCGAGATGAGCGAGCTGCTCGCAGCCATCCCCGTGGCGGCTCGCATCTCCCCTGACGGCCTCGTTGCCATTTGGATCACCAACAAGCCTGGCGTCCGCCAGCTCCTCACCTCTGCCGCCGGCGTATTCGCCGCCTGGGGCCTCGAACTCGTGACCGAGTGGACCTGGTTGAAGATTGCCGCCTCGGGCGAGCCGCTCTACGACGTCGACTCGCTGTGGAGGAAGCCGTGGGAGACGCTTCTCATTGCTAAGCCACGCCGCTCTCGCCCTCCACGCGCCCTCGGGCCCAAGGTTGTAGTCGCCGTGCCCGACGTGCACTCACGCAAGCCCAATCTGCGCCCCCTGTTCTGCGAGGTGCTCGGCAACGGCTACGTCGGCCTCGAGGTTTTTGCCCGCAACCTGACGGCAGGCTGGTGGAGCTGGGGAGACGAGGTGCTCAAATTTCAAGAGGTGCAGTATTGGCAGCCCGCGACAGGTCAGCCGATGGAGTCGTAACAGCATGAAGCTCGACAAGGCTCCGTGACTCTTATTGTCATCCATTTCTCTGAGCAGCAGCCAGCCATGACCGCACCAAGACGGGTGGTGGCTGGTGCATGTAGTGTACAAAAATTGCGCCTCTTCATGGGACAGCCCCTGGCAAGGGTGCATCTTGGCTTGACAGCCGCCGAGGCGTCAGGTAGGAACAAGGGATGGTGTACGGTAAATCCCTCCCCGGTCGAATCCCTGGCCACGGCCCATTCCTCCTACAGCATCACGACGGCAGCATTCTACCTCGTTGCGACATCTCCCGAGTCGCCCTTGATCGCGCCCTTGTCGTCCTTGGGTAGCAGCGTGTCCCACTTGGGGTCGAGAACTAGATCGTTTTTCCACTTGATCTCACCGGACAGCATCTGCTTGGCCAGGCTAGCCAGTTCCTGCCTCTCCTTGGACAGGGGCTTCTGACTTATGAGGGGAATCTTGAATTTGTGTTTGTTGTAGTTATCGTCCTTGTTCTCGTCTTTTTGATCCTCGCGCATCTTCCACAGGTCGTTGCTCCACGGCTCCAGATTCTGGGGCACGTCGGGCCACTGGAAGGGCTTGGCGAGCTCGACGGTCATGACCTTGAGCGACTGCGGGCGGTAATAGGACTGCATCGTGAATGGGCGCCGCGTGATGGGCTGCTGCTTGACGTAGACGCGGACCTTCCTGACCTCGACGTTGTAAAGGTTCCAGAGATAGTCGCGGAGATCGAACTTGGTGAAGCGCAGGGGAACCTGGAAGCAGGCCTCGTTGGGCGGGAGGTGTTCTTTTCGCAAAAAGGTGACGACATGGTCGGGCCTATCCAAGTCAGACAATGGTGAGCTCTACACGTCGCTGGAGGGGGGCGAAGTGCTCACAGAAACACCTGATTCCTGCCGAGCTTAAAGGCCGGCAGGTGGCGCGCAGCCGCTTTTGCTGCTTCGGCCATGGCTGGCGTGCTGATGGGCAAGAATTCTTCTAATGGCAGAGAAATCCACGGCGAGTTTCGTCGGCGGTCGTAGACGCAATTACATAAGCGCACAGTGAGCCCTCCCCCAAGACCGCTGGCGCAAGCACTGTAAGCTCGGTGACTCGGTGAGAGAGCGGCAAACTTGTGGGCTGCTGGACTCTGCCACTTACCGGCCTCACCTCACTGAACAGGCATGGGATAAGGTAGCTCAGGTAACAGAAGAAAATTTCTCACAGAACAGTTCCCGTCTTCGCTCACCACCTGTGCTGCTGTTCGACGAACAAGCACGTTTCGAGGCGGGCAAGCGACCAAAACTCGCGACGCCCTTGGTCTCCTTTTGTCCACAAGCCCAGTGTCGATGCAGGCGCGCGTGCCATGCCTTGAAGAAAGGGACCTCGCTTCGGGCCGAGGCAGCGCGGCGGGTAAAAGGTGAACAGCTCTCGCATGCTCCACGACACGTCTCTCCAGTCTTGACCGGGAGTTCAAGGCGCCTCCAGAAACCATTCAAAGGATAGTAGCAACGACAAGCCCAGAAGCATCATACACCGTCGTCTTCATCATCATCGTCATTAACCCGCAGGAGAATCCACGTAACCGACTCCAAACTCTTCCCCAAATTCTTTCCAACTTCTCATCGCAACGACGGCCTCGACATGGAGTCCGACGGCAGCCCAGCCGCCGAAGAGCGTCGCCAGCATCAGCATCAGCAGCAGCAACAGCACGAGCTTCACGAGCAGCAGCAGGAAGGGGAGTCCTCGATCCCCGTGGCGAGCCTGCGCGACCTGATCGACGCCGAGAAGGCGCTCTATCCTGGCGCCAGCACCTGGGCCCCGGATGAAGACCGTCTCTTTGAGATCCTCTTCCTCAGGCAGGAACTGCCGCTGCTGCCCTCGAACTGGACCATGGACTTTCGCGGCGTGCCCATGACGGACACCATCTTCCAAACCTCGGACGAGTACCCGCGCATCGTCTACGCCCGCGACAACAACTTTCATGGTGAGTCGCTCAACCAGCGAGCCGAACCTCAGCTCCTCGTCCCCTTCGTCCCCCCCTCTGCAGATAACGCTGACAACGTGTAGCGACAACGGCTCTCACGCACCTCATCGAGGTGACTATGCAAGTTAGGACCTCCTGCCAATCGGGCTTGCGCCACAAGGCACCTTCGATCATCAAAAAGGCCATCGAGCGCTACATCTACTGGGCTGCCGAGGACGGTGACTACCAGAACCTCCGCTACATCCCCAACATCACCGTCGCCACCGTCGACGAGGGCCTGGAGGAGGATGATATAACCAGGTTCATGAAGCGGCACATGCGCGCCCTCGCCCGTCTCCAGCGCGAGTTTCTCAAGGAATCCCGAGATGCCGACTTCTGGTATGTCGGCGGCAAGCGGGCGCGACATGTGCGCTCCCCCAGACGACTGCGCTCCTCCAGAGATGAACGCTTCTACGAACACGCGCGCCTCATCAGGAAATACATGCTCGACGATGACGACGACGACGCCGAACTTGGGAGTCGGTCGACTGGCGAGGACCGGTCGGCTGCTGATGAGTCGATGACGGGCGCGACGGGGGAAGAGATGGAACTGGACATTGTGGCAAATGCCGGGACTCAGAGCCGGCCAGTCTCTACAAGCCCCTGCACCCGCATTGGCGAAGGGCTGGCCGCCATGGACTTGGATGACCAAGAGGCGCTGGCCCAGGACTACGCAACAGGCAGGCTCCAACACCACGAGACTAGCGGTGCCCTCTTCCGCGACCGCGACCTCACACCGGACAGCGCGAGCAGGGCCTCTGAATCGCTCCGTCTCGACGACACCGCCGTCCACGCTGACCCCGAGCAGGCCACAACATACCGCCGTCACCCCCCCGTCGTCTACGGCCTCTTTATCCTGCACACCACCGTCTTCCTCGTCACCCTCGACTCGGCCAAGGGCGAGGCCGCCGACGTCAGCTACCACGTCGACATGGTCCTGACTGACGTGGGCCAGAGCGTCTGGAACGCCCTGACCATTGCCATCGCCGTGTGCCGCGCGCGCGACGAGCTCATGGCGCGCGTCGACGACTTTGAGCCTCTCGACTTGGTGGAGGAGAGCGACCCCGATGCGTGAGTGAGAGACAGGAAGAAAAGACCTACCTTTTGATATTGTTTTCTACCTTATCCCTTTGAGGTTAACTTACCAGTGTGGCTAAGCCATTGTTGTCCTCGAGGCGACGCCGAGTACATGGCTGTTTTTGTCTGCCATATTGGATCCTTCGTTCGTGTACATACACCCCCCTTTTCTTCTTTGAAACTGAGAACGTCACTTTTGTAGAGAACAGAACAAAGACGCGTGCTCCAGTGGCTGCCGTCGTCGCCCTGCACCAAACCCCCGGACAGTGCCATCCCTCAGTGCGGAAATGTGATGCAAGGCCCTGATATACCAAACTAGTATTGCCAACTTGAGCTGACATCTAGACAAGCCATCTCCTATGCCCTTCTATGACCTCGAAACCCGCCGGGCATCTGTATCGTCTATAACCACCCAACGCCAGCAACGAAGCCCCATGTCGCCAACAGCGGATGTCTCCTCATGCCTCGTACAAGCCGTTGATTTCTTTCTCTTTTTTGTTACATGTGCATGCCACGAATCCTCGGCTAGATGCGCTACATGAGAAGGCCTTGCTTCTCGTAGCACCAGGTCACACACCTGGAAGGAATATAGTCGGAGAGGAGGGAAGGGGTGTTGAAGAAAAGCACGCACGAAAAGATGAAAAGGGGAGAAAGCAGGGAAAAGTGAGAACTGCAGATGTGAATATCCCTACAAGCCCTTCCTTTCGACTGGCATCCACACCTCGAGCTGGCGAAGCAGCCGTTGGTACAGGAACAGCATGCAGCCGCTTTGGATAAAGGTCCAGACGCCGCGAGGCCCGACGCCGCGGAACCAGCCGGCAATGCCCTCGGTGCGGTAGATGACCCTCAGGCCCGTAATGACAGACGAGGTCTCGAGGGCGACGGCGCCGGGCCTGGGGCGGTGCGTGCTCGGCGACGAGGTGGAAATGTGGCGCTTCTGCGGGCCCAAGTCCTTGGGGGGTCCGGTCTGCTCCGAGGGAGGGTTGACCTGCGTCTGGAGGCGCGTCTTGACGACGTCGAGCGGGCAGGTGATGACGCCGGCGAGACAGCCGGCGGCGGCGCCGGTGAGGAGCTCAAGGGGCACGCCGATGTCGCGGCTCCGCTGATATCTGCGAGCCCAGGTGTGGAACTGCTCCCAGAACATGAGCTGCAGGGCCGAAAAGGGCAGGTCGCGGTACAGGGTGGCCTTGTAGCCGTAGAAGAGGGCCGAGGCGCCCTCGGTGCGGACAATGGTGCGGGCGGCGTCGAGGGTGCCGCGGTAGTTGTAGCCGGACTGGAAGTGCGGGTTGTTGTAGCGGCCCTGGAGCTGTAGGCGGGTCTTGAGGACTTCGGAGGGGACGTAGACGATGGAGGCGGCTAAGTCGCCGGCGAGGCCTGCGGGGGGTGTTAGCTGGGGCCTAATCCAGGGTGGCCGCGGCCTGAGGGTTGAAGGGGAAAGGCCACAGACCGGCAGAGAGATAGGCTAGGTGGTGCTGCAGGCCGCGATCGAGGAGGAAGCGCTTGCTCCACTCGTAGGTGCCGAAGAAGAGGACGGTGCCGGGAAAGGAGCCGCCAAGGGCCGGGAGCCAGCCTCCGTACAGGCCTCTCCGGATGCCCTCTTGCCGCCAGATGGTGTAGTAGGACTGGCCGAGCGACGAGTACTTTGAGGGGACGTTGGGGTCGCCCTGCTGGCGCGTCTTGACGGTGTCGAGCGAGTGCATGAGCAAGTCACCGGTGGAGCCGCCGATGCCGCCAGCAATCATGGCCTAGGAGCAAGGGGAGTCAGCGCATCGTCGTCCCCCCAAGGGCTCTGCAAGGCAATGCGGCACGCGGCCAAGACGGACGCACATGGAGAAAGGGCGGGCGGCCTTCGGCCTCGACATCGTCGGACCTCATGATGCGGTCCGGCGCGGACCTTCTGGCGCTGACTCCCGGCAGGTCGAGCGAGTAGCGGGGCGCATGGCGAGGAGACGAGGACGGGAGCGGAGCGAGGGCAGCGTCGTCGGCGAGGGCGGCGCTGTTGCTGCTGCTGCCGGGGCAGCTGCCCGTCGCGATCGAAGAAGAAGAGGAGGAGGAGGAGGAGGAGTTGGCCGGGGGGGGGTAGTAGATGGAAGAAGTGGTCGGCCAGGGGCATGGCCCGGCGTCGGGCGTGTGTTTTCTTTCGCTCCCGTGACCGGGGAGTGAGGAGCGTCGTTCGGTTCGGCCGAGAGCGGCGAGGGATGGGCGGACGAGCGGCGAAAGAGGGAATTGGAAAAGAAAGGACTGCTCTCTCGCCTGTTCTTGTCGTCGTCTTCGTCGTCTTTGTCGTCTCTTGGCTGGCCGGAGGAATGGCGGCCGTCCAAGACGAGGATGGTTGAGACGAGGAAGCTGGTGCGACGCGGAAACTTATTTTTTTTTTGCGCGTGTTACAGCACCAAGGCCGCCCCGGTGCGGTATCGCCGAGAGCCCGGCGGCGGACTGGTCCGTGCGTGGCAGAGCCGCAGGTGGATGTATCTGTACCTGCAAAGTACAGCTGCCTGACCTTGATCGAGGACAACCTGGGTCCATTTCACAGGCCAATTGGAAACCATCAAGGTAGGAATGCCCCCGGCGAACAGAAGTTAAGATGCCTCGGGTGGCGTCACGCACCCTCGAGCAGTCAATTCGCCGGCTCTGAAGCTTAGAGAGGAATAAACTGGCTTACTAATCGAAGACATTCAGGCTGCCCGAGACTTACTAAGCGATGATACAGTGCCCCGATACAGTGCGTTGATTCCGACTTCCACCTCGAGAGGCCAACAGATCCCCGTAGCTGATGGGAACGTGACATCAAAAGCCTTCACAAATGTGTCAGAAACATCCAGAACCGAGTCGAAATCCACGCACCTGTGATTTTCACCAAAGCCTTCTAAATGTCCCAAGCCAGCACTTGTCCCCAAACTCATCCAACACGCCCGCGGGACAAAGACGGTGACATTGACATGGGTGCATATATCATTCCGAGGCCGATTCCGCTTTGCCCCCCGGCATCTTGCCCGTGCCAGCACCCAGCCGTCGTCGCAATCGCCGTGCTTATGCCTCGTCGTGCCGCTGGTGGTACCCAATCCGGGCGTCTTCCACCATCTGCACTCCTCCTTCGTGCTGTTTGCCTCGGCTGCCTCATTGGGAATCCGTTTCTTATCTCGGGTGTAGCGGCCTGTCCGGAATCAGGATGCCAGCGTGCCCGTAGAGCGGCCATGACGACGGCTGAAGCATCCTGTGTCGGGTCAAGATGGAGGTGAGATTCCAGACGGGTGAGAAAAGTCACGATTGAGCCCAGGCTCGAGAGGGTCCTGTTATATACCGTACAGTTGGCCCATCTTGCCGACTCACCTGCCTGATTCTCCAACCACGTACACATGCGAATCGCTGGAACACAGGCTGGGGGCAAAGGGATCCGGCCCTTGACCATCACTCCCTGATCCGCATAGCATCACCAATGCTATCGAGGGCTCTTTTCTTCTGGCCGCAACTGGTATAAAGAGCCAAGAGGATCCTCACGTGGATAGTTATCAGCAGAGCTATATCCGCCTCTCAGCCTGGCAGTTCATTTACCTAATGCATTCAAAACGGTCTCTTCAGCGTTTCTGTTCGACTTGGGAAAAGGAGACAGGCAGCAAGAAAGTCTTGGGAACAGAGGTAATCAATGGTTTGATACCCCCCCACACGGCAAGCCCAGGCCTCTCACCCCTGCTGGATGGGCATGTAAAAGCCAAAGCGGTTGCGCGGATCATACACCTCCTTCAGGAGCCTAAGCTTCGCCAGCCTGACCTCGCCCCGCCCGTACACCTCCTCCAGGCCCTCGGCCCCCATGGCATAGTTGAGGTAGGAATGGGGCGGCGAGAACGGGCTCCTCGTGGCCTCCCGGATCCTCTGCCCGTACCGGGCGGCCTTGTCGACATTGGCGGCGTCGTCGCCCGCCCATAGCATCTCGGCAGACATGAGGATGTCGTAGCGCCGCTCCTCGGGCGCCACGGCGTTGTCCCGCTCGGGCACGGCGCGCACGCCCTTGTTGCCGTACGTTTCGAGCAGGACGAGCGACGCGGCAAAGACCGGGTCGGCCGTCAGCTCCGAGAACAGCTCGAACCCCTCTCGCATCGCCGCCACGTCCCACCGCGCAAAAGAGTTCGGAAACCCAATCAAGTTCCGGTTATTCTTGCACGGGGGCCCGTCCACGCCGAAGCCGCCCATCTTGTGGAGGTCTCCCCACGGAATGTTGTTGACGGTCGAGGCCGCGGCTGGCTTGAGCTTGCGAAAGGCCGCCGTGTAGTCACCTAATGCGGAATCGTTCCCCTCGCTGAACATTTGCAGAGTGATGACGGGCTACGCACGTCACATCACACAAGTCTAAGTCCTCGCTGCTCACGAGGGACAAGAGTGTGGAGTACTCACATGTCTAGAGTCGAGGTTCGCGTCTCGAAGAATGTAGCCGAACAAGGCAAGCATCCCAGGATCCTCGTACGCGTCCAGCAGCTCGTTCCACGTGTCGAAAAAGGCCTCAAGCTTGTCCTGCGTGAAGCTGAGCGTCGTTATCGTCCAGGGTGCGCGGACATCGTACGTCTTGATTTCCAAACTCGTGACGATGCCAAAGTTGTGTCCCGCACCGCGCAGGGCCCAGAAAAGGTCGGGGTGCTCTGTCGCCGACACGTCGACGGCGCTCCCATCGGCCAGCACGACGCGCGCAGAGACGAGATTATCAGCGGCCAAGCCGTGGCGCGCCTGGAGCATGCCGTGCCCGCCGCCGAGCAGCGGCCCGGCCACCGAGATGCACTCGCACGAGCCCGTGACTGTCGCTGAGTTGGCAAGCAAGCCCCCTTTGCGGGCCGACAGGATGGCTTCATAGTCACCGACTCACCTGTCTGCTTGCCGTGGCTGAAGAGTGCCGCCGTAAGCTCGTGCTGCAGCGTGCCCCCGCCCACCTTTGCCGTCTGTCCGTCGGAATGTAACCTGGTGTTGTTCATCTTGCGCATGTTGATTTGGATGCCGTTCTTGAGCCTATTCAACGTCGACGGAGCCCCGTGGCCGCCACAGACGGCAAGAAAGGGCATCCCATGCCGATTTGCATACTTGATCTATTGGAGTAAGCGCTTGCCCCTCGGCCACGGCCAAGAAGCGGCAGCCCTACTGTCTGTTGCACGTCGCTTTCCGTCGCAACCTCGACAATGACCGCATAACCAGGAGAGATGCGCGGGGAAGTCGCCCGCTCCAGCAAGGGTCCGGCAATGGGTGACGAGGGCAGTACTATGGTCGCGTCCTTGGACAGGCGGGGAGCGAGATGCTTGACAAGCGTCTTTTCAACATCAAGTCGCGGCTGGGACGTAAGATGCTGCGTTGCGGTCAACGCGACGGCGCTGTTGGCCAACAACAGGGCAACGAGACGGGAGATGCTCATGATGCAGCAACGGACGCTTCAATGCGCATGTTGTCGTCTCAAATAGAGAGGGCGAGCCTGGAAATGATTGCCTTTTTGATGGACCTGACCGCCAGATCGACTCCGCGAATCTCCTCCACATAGCTAGCGGCAGCAATAGATTGAGACGGGCCACTGGTGTCCCAATGTTGCATGATGCTGCATGAACGAGACAGGGCGAGGCTCGGCTCGAACATCGGTATCATTGGCACCATGTTGCATCAGCACAAGGGTATGAAGGAAGCGCGTTTGCTGCGATCCGAGACGCTGTCCGTCGCGCTGAGGCCCACGTCAGCTTTACCGTGAGGATAGGGAGCCCGACGATGTCCACTCGCGAGCAAAACGTAGTGCTTTTGAGTTTTGGCCGGTTAACATGCTCGAGTGTTGCAGCAGTTCCGCCGATGCCCTCGAGAGGAAGAATGTAACCTCTACGTGGCCTCCTGCAAGGGCCTTTCGCTGGCGGAGGACGGGAACACGCAGTGAGCGCGAACAGAGACTCCACCCACCCTCCCAAGTGACTCGGCCGATCATGAGCCGTCTGATATACAGGATACAGCATCACCGCCGGTCAAGTCGCCAGCGGCGGCCGTCGCTCGTGCTCCCACCATCTCACAGGCCCGAACTTTCTCCAGGGGTAGACAATGTGCGTTACCCTGCCCGTGAGAAGCCTCTTGGACACGGGCCCGTACGTGTTGCTGTCGAGGCTCGATGCTCGGGGGCCGTCCCCTTCCACCCACACGTGGCCCGGAGGGATCTTGACCGTCGGGATGGGATACGGCGCCTTGGTCACGACCACGTCCCCCTCCAGCGCCACGACCCGCTTCACCGCCACCACCTCTGGGTGAGCCGGGCTCCTGCGAGTCCATCCATCAGCTTGTTGTCCTTTTGCTACGGCGGTCTCTCACGAGGAGGAGGCGCCTGTCCAGATCTCACCTCAAGGTGACAATCATCCCCCGCTCGAGCCCATCCTGCGGCGCCCACTTGTAGTTCAAAAATAAGTCCCTCCTCAGCGTCGAGTCTCGGTCCGCGTTCATGAAGGGATACATAGAGGCCCCGTCCACGAGGGTCAGCTCCGCCACGTGCAGGTTGAACCACGCAACCACGGGGATCCACGTTGCGAGTCCGACGAGCTGCAGCGCCGCTGTCTTCGAAGTGCTCTGCAGCCGAGACTTGCCGAGCCGCGCCCACAGAGAGCCGAGTGCCATGAGCGCGCTAGTCCGGCCCGAGGCCGGGGCAGTGAGCGAGCTGGTGAGGCCGAGGAGTTGGAAATCAATTGACCTTGGCCAGACGCGACGGGCTGTGAAGTCTGACGAAGTTGAAATTTGAATTGGGTGTACAGTATACAGTAGGTACTAGCTTAGCTGAGCTCTCCACCCAAATGGCCTTTCAACAGTGGGTTAGGCAGGCCCGTAGCGGCCAATGGGTGCCCACGGCAGTGGTGGAGCTCGGCACCTACAACGAAGCTACAGTGTCCCCGCAGAACCCGCAACAAGTTGCCCCCCAGAAAGCAGAGCAGCAGAGTCAGTTAGGTCATGGATTCTTTTGAGAACCATGGTCAATACACTTGAATTGCAGTTTTTCTCTTCACACCCCATCTGCTGACGCCATCTGGGGCGTTACATGCTGTACAGCAGTAGTCATGTTGGCAGGTAACAATCCTGGGTACGCCCCGATGCCTTTCTGCCTCTTCAGCACAACGCTCTGTTGCTCTGAAGTACCATCTCACTGGACAGGGCCGGATCCCACGTTTCCCAGGCCAGGGAATTCTCATCCTAGTTCCCGAAGCGCTCTGCTCCGGCGGTCGTCCATATTTTGAAGCGTACACCAGCGGGCAGAGAGCGTATCCCGGCTGGCGCGGTTAGATCGTCTCTGGTATGTTGTCGTCGCTGTCGCTGACGCTCTCGTCGCCACTGACCTCGGCGTTCTCGCGCTCCCTCTTCTCCATCAATGCCTGCAGCTCAGCATCGTCGCTCTCCGTCACCGCCTTGGGCTCCATCTTGACCGTCAGGTTGCCCCCCGCGCCCTGGATGCTCTTTCGGATGTCGGCAATGGCCTCATGAAGTCGGGCGATACCGAGGCCCTTCTCGAGACAGGTGCTCGTAAGAACGTACAGAGGAGGAGACACGAGCTTCACCTTGACTTCGGTGCCCGTCTTTTCGCCTTCGGTCGCGTTGCCTGCCTCGGCAGTTCGCAGCGCCGTCTTGACAGCGTCGATGCCTTCGTAGCCAAAGCACGTCACTTCAATGTCGGCTCGGACCTTGATCTTCTGGGGGGTGAGGCGCTTGCTGATGTACAGCTTGAGCTCGTCGGCCACGGGCTGGCTGGGAAAGGTGATGTCATTCCACACCTCGGGGTTGCTGTCTCAATTTAGCGTCGTACGCCAGGCCAGACATGTGCAACCAACTTACGTGATGGAAAGCTTGAAAGCGTCGATGGCATGGCCATATCTCCGGTTCAGCGGCCAGGCGAGGGTCTCGTACAGCGTCTCGATCGGGGTTTGTGTCTTTTCGGCAACGTGTCGCATAATCAGGTGGACCGTCTTGCTCTTGTTGTATCGCTCCTCGCACTTGACCATGTCCTCGGGCGAGACTCGTCGCTTGGATAAATCAATGTATCCTGCCACACCTCCGCGTTAGCTTTGACAAGAGCTCGTCGCCTCAGTCTGCGCGGCAAAAACGCACCCTTTTCCTTGTCCACTCGAAGCACGACGACAACCTCGTTGCGCCCGACTCTGATGAGTTTCTGAATAGATCGAATACGTCGTCGCGAAAGCTCAGAGAGGAGAATCATGCCGTCGATGTTGTCATACTCGAGAAGCTTCACGTAGGCGCCCATCTCGGCAATCTGTACGCTGATGTCAGACGAGCGGGTCGTGGCTGGAGGAGAGCCCCGACGTACCTGCTTCACGTTGACCATGACGAAGCTATCAATCTCCGGGAACTTCTCCTCGTAGAAGCGGCAGTTTGTTAACGACATCTTGGCGGTTGTGTCGCGGGATCAGAGCTTCGGTCGGTAAGGAGAGGATTCGAGGTTTGAGGGTGGGGTTCGGTTCCCGGGTCGACTCTCCGCTCGCGGGCTCGGGTCGTTTCTCAATCTGCACGGCTGCCTTGGAACTCTCTTTGTGGCCAGTTGGTGTGGTTCTCGTAGAAGCGCCGAACGTGGGATCGCAAAGAAGGCTCGCGTGCGGTTGGAGAGAGGGGAGCAAGAGTCATAATTTTGATTTATTTTGCACGGGCCGAACGACGATGGTGGGGTGTGGCGGAGGTGGTGTGGCTGAGCGGCGGAGCAATTGGTGGCGGCTGAAAAAAGTCCCGAGGAGCTATCGACACGTGATCTGGCACGACAAACCATTGCGAGGCATCCAAGAGTAAACAACTGCCAGAGCTCCGTCAAACACGACCTTTGCGTTAGGTTATCCGGTCATGGCTCCAGGTGAGGAATTCTTGAGCGATACCCTTGACGTCCGCGACAGCTTGCTAAACGTCCTCGACAATGGCAGCCACGCAGTACGAGCTCTCGCCGCCGCCGGGCGATGCAATATCTGCCCTCGCCTTTGCGCCAAGCTCCGGCACCAAGCTCCTCGTCTCGTCGTGGGACAGGAACCTGTATAGCTACGACATTGCCAGCGGCCCGGATGCTACGCACCTGATGAATACGTACCAACACCGAGCACCCGTGCTGGATGTCTGTTTCGGCGCCGGCGATGACGAGGCGTTTACCGCTGGTATGGATTGGGGGGTCAACAGGTGCGAGCCCCTTGCCTGGACTTTGGTGTCCCGAGTCATTGCTAAGCTGACTGTGGGAACAGGATAAACCTCCAAACCGGCGACATGACGCTTCTCAGTAAACACGACGCGCCGGTACGCTGCGTTGTCTACAGCCGCGATCATGGTGAGATTCCCCCAACACTTCGTTGAGCTCGCATGCGGCGGCGTTACTAAAAATGGCATATCCAGGCATCCTTGTGTCTGCCTCGTGGGACTGCAGCCTGCACATCCACAACCTCAAAGACCCCTCGAGCGAACCCATCAAGATGACTCTGTCCGAGAAGCCCCACGCTCTTGCCGCCAGCCCGTCCAAGGTCGTCGTCGCAATGACCGGTCGTGCCATCAGCATCTACGATCTCAACGCCATGGCGGATATGTTTGTATCTGGCAGCAAAGAGCTCGAACCGTGGCAACGGCGAGAATCCTCGCTCCGATTCCTGACGCGCGCAGTTGCCTGCATGCCCAACGACGCGGGCTACGCCACCAGCAGTATCGAGGGTCGGGTTGCCGTGGAGTGGTTCGAAGACACCGTCGAGTCGCAAGCGCGGAAATTTGCCTTCAAGTGTCACAGGCAGCCCGCTCCCGACGGCGACGGCGACATAGTATATCCGGTCAACGCGCTGGCGTTTCATGCTGTTCACGGGACGTTTGCCTCGGGAGGGGGAGATGGCACCGTCGCTCTGTGGGACGCCGTGGCCAAGAGAAGATTGAAACAGTACCAGAAGTATCCCAACAGCGTGGCGGCGCTTTGCTTCTCGAATGACGGAAAGTACCTTGCTATCGGCGTCTGCCCCGGTTTCGAAAATGGACAAGACGACTACAATGGAGCGGGCCAGACCTCGGTGCTGGTGCGGGAGCTGGGTGACAACGAGGCAAAGGGAAAGGGCGCCAAGTGAAGGGGCCGGCCGAGGCATGGGAATTTATCGATCCCTATGGGCGTTTTGGTATCAGGGGGGGTCATTGTGCTTGTGAAAGGTTATGTGGAAACTCGAGGGTTGAAGTTGGTTTTGCAGATACCCCGACTATGAAACTGGATCCTGACCATCGCGCCGAGAATACTCATTGGCGATCTGCTTAGGTATATCATGGCCCACCTGTTTAGTGGTACTCTGACCTTGGCCCTATTCTTCCCGAGAAGTATGCTTCCTACCATGCCGTTATGTCATTTGGTCGGCAGTCGAGGCCACTCGGGCGATGTGTCGCTGCCCTCGAAGCCATCGCGGCACTGGTACGACCGGCTGTCAGGCCACGGCGGGTCTGCGCTCGGCCGGGGTATTCTATAGTCGCCGATGCGGACGCCCTGTCGAAACCTATATCGGCCAACTTTCTCGATGTTCCGGGGGGCATTTCGAGGCACCGTCTTCAGCTTCTTTGCGGGTGCTACGAGGGATTCTTGTGAGCTGCGGCCAGGCCATGGACGGTCGTCCATCCCGGCATGGTCAAAGTCTGTTTGATTCTGTGAGTCTTTTGGACCGGTCACATGTTTGAGCGATGATCACCACCTCGATCATCCAGCTCCACCTGCTCAGGTCGGATATCAAAAGACTGGCCTGCGTCGCCGCGTTGCCGTTTAAACCTGCCATGCGAAGCATCATTCTCCAATGTTGCACCGCCCTGGCTTTCCACAACGCCGCTATCGCGAGAGTGTTCGGAACTGTGACGATGTCGGAGTTTATCCGAATCCTCGCTTGCCGGCGTGGGCAGTTGGGTCGCGTGTACCCTGAGCGATCATTTCAGCTTTGCCGGGGACACGAATAACCAGTGTCGCAACCCTACACATCAAGATTTCCGAACTCATCCAGCGTCCGAGGCACAAAGCTCGTATCGAGACCGTCCAGCTCATCTTTGCCGCAGGAGGCGCTCGTGTGCGAGCTCTTGTCCTGGAGTTCGTCGGGTGATTTGGTACGGCATGGCAGGCTTCTCGTGCGGGCGGCAGATCGAATGATGCGCGGCGGCCTTCCCATATCGGAGGAGGAGATAAAATATCGATGGAAAGTCATTTCGAACAACCTGAGAGTGAGCAAAGGAGTCACGGGGAGCGTCGCGCGCCAGTCGAGAGTGGACAGCAGTGACATCGTCGACCGGGGACAAAGCGGTGAGAATTCGAAGTTTTATATTATTACACGAGGAATCTGGCCGCTCCTTTCTTGCACTGTCGTGGGTTGAGGTGCGCCTGCCTTCGTGAGAAAGGCAGGCCAGCGCCCAAAAACACTCGACGGTATCACTTCTCAGATACTGATTCCATTTCGCATTGAGGTCCCACAGCTGTCTCTCCTTTTTCTCTTCACATACTTGCATATGTCTCTTGGTCTGATTCCTTCGCAAGTCCAGGGTGCAATAGCCGTGCGGAAGGCGTTTTCCGGACAGGCAAATGATTCATTTCATCGTCGTCAGTCGCTACCGCATATCCTTTGCAGCAACACCACCTATCGCCGAGGTAGCATACCGTTCTTGAAAGAAAAAACATGGGAGGGTTAAGAAGTGCAAGTTGAGAAGGCCACCATGGATGTAACGCAACAGTCTGCAATTACCGCCGGGAGGAGGGTAGGCATGTATTCACCGGCTTTTACACAGAACGAAACACTACACTACCATCTGCCAGGCAACGCGACAATACAAACGCCTTACCATCCGCGTCCCCTGGAGGTTTCCCAGTCCCTCTGCTCCCAAAACCGGGGAAGTAATTGCTCCGGAAGCCAGCGCCATTGACACGTCTTGAAGTGGGCTCCCTACTTCCCTCCTTTCTGGGGCGTGATAGGCTAAACGTGCAAATGATTTAGCATTTCGCAACCCGTTTGCGGTCCAGCAGGAGAATTTATTACCTGGGTATCTTTGACGTAGTCGTAGGTGGCGGCCGTGTTGAGCAGCCAGATGTCTCCGGACGACTCGGGAACGCCTTTAGGCCACAGGAAGGAGTGGGGAAACCCGAGTTCAAAGGGCACTGCATTGTCAATGTCCTTGATTTCCTCCTGGCTCAACTGAATCGTGAGGGCCTCGATGTTGCCTTTGAGGTGGTCGATCTTGCGGCCGCCGACAATGGGGAAGACGTGTGGCGCCTTGTGCATCACATAGGCCAGGGCAATGCTAGTAATGGCCGTGTTCTTGCGCTTGGCCACGGCCTCGAGCGCCTGACTGGCCTTGATGTCGACCTCTGCGTAATCCGTCTGTCGGCCTTCCGAGGACTTGCGCTGCTCCTCACTCTTAAACTTGCCGCCACCGAGAGCACCCCAAGGTGCGAGACCCATGCCCTCTGCCCTGCACATGGGGATGATTTCGCGTTCAAAATCTCGGGAGGCCGCGGACCAGCAGCCTTGGTAGACGCAGAACTGACGGAGGCCGTGATTGCGCGCATATTCATTGGCTTTGCTGCATAGCGGTCAGCTCCTCCGCCTTCCCTGCCAAAGGGGACTCGGGCGTAGTTACCTGACGACCCACGCCGGAGTGTCGCTGATGCCCAGGTACAAGACTTTACCGCTGACGACGAGATGGTTCAACGACTGCATGAGCTCGGGAATCGAGGTGCTGTAGTCCCACCAGTGGACATAGAGCAGATCAATGTAGTCGGTCTGCAGCTTCTTCAGGCTGGCATTGACTGAAGTGTGCAAGCTCTTGGCCCCATTGCCGGTGAAGTTGGCCATGACGTTGGGATGGTTCGGGCCTGCCTTGAAATTGGTGGTGTACTTGGTGGCGAGCACTGGCAATGGCGTCAGTCTTGTGGCACGCACGCCCATTGTGCGAGGCCCACGCACCCATCTGGTCACGGTTGCCGCGCTTCTTCATCCACTCGCCGATCCATTTCTCTGACTCTTCGCATTGGTAGTTGTTGGCAGTGTCGATGAAGTTTCCTGTTGCGATACGTCAGCGGCATTGCATTGTCCGTGACCGTGGGCATGGAGACGAACCTCCTTGCTCGAAGAAAAAGTCGAGGATGCCTTCGGTGGTGGCCTGATCACATGCGCCCATCCAGTTCTTCCTATCCCGATGTAAGCCTCGCTCGCTCTCGCGGGCCCTCGGGCCAAGACGGCTTACCAGGCGTCGCCAAAGTTCATTGCGCCGAGGCATAATGGGCTAACTCGAACAGAGGCAGACGGCGACAGCATGCGATATCGGGCCAAGGGCGACTTGGCGGGAGGCGCCATGGGTAGTGCGCTGTCCATGACGGGTAATGGTTCGGGCGAAGATGCTCTGTGATGGTCTGAGAGGGACGAGGAGTGCGAGGCAGCCAGAGGAGAGCAAGAGACGTAAGATAGAAAGGTGAAAGGACGCAAGCGACGGGGGAGGGCGGAACGGCGGCGAGGGGTTTGATGTATTTACACGGATGCAGCTAACTAGTCGCTCTTGCTCTGCTCGGGCGACCTTGTTCCACTGCGAAGTTGGCACGGGCTCTTCTTCCTTCTTCGGTGGAAGCTTCCCCTCCACTCCACTACGAACAGCACGGTAATTCGAGTCCAAGCTCACGGGCCACGAAAGCTTTCCGAGAGGGAATGGAGCAGTCGCTGATACAGTAGAATGCGGACCAGCAGGCGAGCCAGGATTGCCTCGAGTACCGGCTTGACCTACCCAGCTCGGCCAGGCACAGTACATGTCATGGTCCAGCTCGAGAGGGGAGCCATCTACTGTAATGTTGGTAGTTCAATGTGTTGCCTCAATCCGGTAGATGAGCTCATCGATCGACGGAATCTCCACGGCCGCGGGCCCTCTAGCGCCCCTCAAAGCTGCCATGCCGCCGAGTCTTCCGGATAGTGGCTCCTCCGGCCGCGAATTCTCGTCCGCCGGCAGGGAGCGGGATGCACGGGGGCGCGGGGAGAGCATGGCGGATGACGTCGGCGAGACGAGCTGGAGTGGCGCATCTGTGCCTTGTTGGTCGGCAATCCAATTAGTCGTCTTGTTGTCCACGCGTCACCAAAATCTGCGACACAAAGGTCAGGGACAGAGGAAGCAAGCCCGGATATATCGGGCCATCTGCTCAGACACGAGCTTGACCTTCTTTCGCAAGTCCAGAGTTACAGCCGGCTGGTGGGTGGGCTTCGGTACGCCACCGTGCCACTGCTCAGGCCCGCGCTGCTTCTTGATAGGGGTCGCTAATAGACGTTTCCGATGCCCGTTTATGAAGTCGGACTAGCGAGGGCCTTTTCGCCGCGCAAGAGGACTCGGGTAGCATCTCCATTTGGCGGTGTGTGGAGCAGAGGCTGCGAGTGGCTTTCGTGCCGACGCATAATACAAGCCGTGGAGACAAGTATCGTGTTATCGTAGGTGTGAGCTTCTTGTATTGGCGAGCTCTCATCGGCGAGGCGCCAACTCCGCAAAGAATCGATTCTCCGTGTTCTCGAGATGCTGCTGTACTGGGGGATCAGCGAGCGAGCGTTCATATCGAGCATCATGAAAAATCAGTGCGAAATTACACTCTATACTGTATAGCTTACTCATCCTTGGCCGGACAGCTGAGTAATTAGTTACCTTTGCACTCTGGGCCAAGCTCTTCCAACTCTTACCGGCCAAACTTCGGACTCGGTGAAGAAGCAGATGATCACCAGAAATTGTTGCCCCCGTCAACCCGAGTCCCGAACAGCCTTCGCGGACCCCGATCCAGTCCCTCAATCGAAACGGGACAGCCGCCATGGCCTCTCAGCATGGCGTCGCCAAACCCGGTTCCCTCTAGGGCGGCTCTACACGCTCTCAGAGGCGTCATCCTCACCACCTCTTGCTCCGTCGTCCTCCTCGCCGAAGAACGCCGACGCCGTCTGAAAATCGCGCGAGCAGCCATTGAAAATGCTCGAATGCTGCACTTGGCCAGCTGCGGTCGCGCCCCGATTGCGCCGGTCGATGTACGACAAGAGGTCCTGCCCCCATCTTCATTCCCGCGGCCGAGAACGTCGACTCGCCGCCGCCGCCGCCATCTACAGCCGAGCCGGTCTCCGTCAGATTCTCCAGCCGGCGATGATGGGTCTATTCCTGCGCGGTCAGCATTCACGGCCGAGGCGAGCGTCTTGGCCACTCCTTTAGCCAATATCCTAATAGACATGCAATCGCGGGTATCCAAGCTGCTCAATTCGGACTCTCTCTGGCGTACACGTCCAAAGGCACTGCAATCATATCGAGCAAGCGATCTGAAGCCTTCGGTGCTACATCCAACGCCTGGTGTCACGAGCACTTGCGACCCTACAAGATTGAGCTGCCCTTCATACAACGCAAAGGCTGCCCGGACGAACCTGTGGCATTCGGTTGTGCATCTTCCCGACGAAACGGACTCGGCTTTCGTCGATGAGCGCACAGGCAGTAAAGCCTTACACGCGACTGGATCGGCCAAAGAGTTTCTTACCTCGTCAAAAACCAGCGAAATCCCTCAAGCTTTCTACGACGAAGGGCTGGTGTTGCTGCAACGGCTGCTACAAGACTTGGCATTACACCGCTCTGAAGCTGAAGCTCTGGATAGGCTTCAATTAGCAACTGCAATCCTCGAGAGGCTCGCATCTTGTGGCCACCCAATTGCCATGGTCGCCGAGCGACTCGCAAGCGCCGGTGCCAGTCTTCTGCGGATAGCCTTGGACCGCGACCATGACGGAGCTACAGTCATTACTCATTCTTTGTTACGTCTGTGCAAAAGCCCATTGAAGGTTCTCATCGCCCTTGGCGAATTCATGCAGAGAGGCGGATCCAGCACACACATGGAGCAGGCCCTTCAGTTTCTCTCGGGACCCAAAAGGCGGCGGCGATGGATGGGCGGGATGCTCATTCATCGAATCCTCGCATACCATGACAGGTGTCAGGAAAGTTTCCAAGATACAAAGCAGCTGTACCAGGCGTTGCAAAACGCCGGGCTCTTTCAAAAGTTCAACGTCCCTCATGCCACAGAGTGCAAGATTCGGGCATTGATGGCCTCCATGGCCATCGACCAAGGCGACGACGCGCTTTTCCGCACAGAGGTGCTGGCCTTTCAGAAAATGGCACCCGATGCCATTCCGCGTGACATGAATTTGCAGCGCCTGCTCCTCGTCAGGGAGGCCACTCTGGGGCAGTGGGATTCCATCCACGGCCGCATTGAGATGCTCAGGCGTTGCGTGGGCATCAGCGCCGGCTGGATCGAGTTTCAGGCAGCTTTGACTCATGTCACGGACATATTCGCTTGCAGTCAGTCTCCAGAGGAACTCGAAATTTTTGTACGCAACATGGTGGCCAAATATCGAATGAAGCTCGAGCACGGATGGGTATTCCTTGTTTTCGATAGGCACGCCAGCCGGCGTCAGGCAGACTCGGCGTTCTCCTGGCTGCAGTTCTGTTGCGACAACGGATTGGTCTTGGATGGAGCCTTTCTTCAAAACCTTTACTCCAGGTGCCGCAAGTACTGGTGCTTCTCTGACAAGAGCGTCGAGAGGCTACAAAAAAGACTGGAGAATTTTTGGGCGTTCGATCCGGGACTGGACCATGACATAATCGCCCCTGGTGCCGCCTTACAATCGAGCAGTCAGCGGACAAGGGCAAAGCAAATGCGGGGCGCGGCGGCTCGGGCAGCGACTGCTAACGGCAACCAGAACGTGTCAACGGACCGGCCACTGTCTGGCGACAAACTGCGCTCGGCAGTCGTGGAGCTTCTCAGTCTGGAGAGCTCAGGAGTTGAAAAGGCCGTTTCCCTTGTTGAGACGGCCTATTTGCGAGGAATTGATGTCAGTGAAGCTCTGACGCCAATATTATTGGCACGGCTCAAAGAGGGCGACGATCCTAACAACGTGATCTGCGAAGCCCTGCGAATGGGAGTCCGAATTCACGGCAGTGCCTTCAACAAGGCGTCTCAGGCGTTGGCGGCGAGGGGAGATCTCCGAGCATCGTCAGACATGTGCCGAATTGCGGCACGAGAAAACGCCAATGGCGATCTTGCATACGACGAGTACAACTTCTCCAACCTCGTCTTTGCCTACACGGGCTCGGGGAGGTACGACGCGCTGCGGATGCTGCTGTCTGACTTCACGTCCGAGGTGCTGTGGTGGCGGGGTAGTCGCGTGAGCCAGGAAAGCATCAAGCTTGCGATGAAGACGGTGGCGATGCGGGCTGTCGTTTTTGTCAAAGAACAAGCAAGGCACAGGAAAGCCTTGAACTGGCTCGATGAAGCACTCATGCATGTCAAGCGGTGTCGCGCCACCAAGGGTGACCGGCGAATGGTGGCAGACACGCTGGTGCGCATCGTCGAGGCAGCGTCGAGGCCCGGCCGAGCAGATGAGAGGGATACGGTGACAACTGAGGACGATGCTTGCTGTGGCGTGCCCGCTGCCGTGGCGGTGGGAGGGGGGTGATGTCAATTGTTGCAGACGATTGGCTGGCTGCTGACAATCCATTGCAGTCGCACGGTGTGGAGCAGATGCGTGATGAAATAGACGACTCGGCACGTGCACACGAGTTGGAGACGGAGAAAGTCGATTTGCATGTGATTGCGGCTTATAATTGGGTGGTTCGATCGGGCCATGGTGAGATCTGCGCCGTGGCCATTGGCTGCTTGTCACCGGCGGAGCCACAGTGGCGCGTTTCTTTTTCTCTCCAGCGCTCTGCTCCGCTGTACTCGGTAACTAGGGAGCTCTGCATAACAAGATTGCGGCGCAGAGCCTCCTTTGTTGTAGCGCTTTCCATCCACCGCCAACCCTAATAAACGTCCCATTGTCAATCCCCGCCGCACCATCGTTCGTTCCAGCATCGGGATGGCATGAGCCTCTGCGACGACTGCCCCGCCGTCTTCTCAACATATAGCTAATCCCCCACCTCAACTCTACCTACTCGACGCGTGCCGAATCTCGACCTTCTCCTCGTCGTCCTCGTCGCCTCCTCTCCTAATCCTCTTCGCCGGGCCGACCCAGGGACGCACGCCGGCATGGCTTCAACGCAATTGCCCTCGGCCGCCGCCGATGCGCGCGTCCGCCGAGAGGTATACCACGAAGCCGACGTCGTCGTCGTCGGCGCCGGCGTTTTCGGCTGCGCCATGGCCTTTGCCCTCGCCAACCAGGGCCGCTCCGTGCTGCTGCTCGAGCGCTGGATGAAGGAGCCCGACCGCATCGTCGGCGAGCTGCTGCAGCCCGGCGGCCTCGCTGCGCTCAGGAAGCTGGGGCTGGGACACTGCGTCGATGGCATCGACTCGATCCCCTGCAAGGGCTACAACGTCATCTACCACGGGCAGCCGTCGCTGATCCCCTACCCGCCCGTCGACCAGGACGGCGACGTGCCCTGCAAATGGTCTGGGGCCGGACAGGAGGGCAAGAGGCCCCAGGGCAGGAGCTTCCATCACGGGCGCTTCATCATGCAGCTGCGCAGGGCTTGCATGGCGCATGACAGCATCACCGTCGTCGAGACTGAGGTGACCAAGACGGTGCGCGGCGAGCACACGGACCAGATCCTCGGCGTCGAGGCGCGCACGACGGACCGCGAGACGGGCCAGAAGAAGAGCGACTACTTCTTTGGCCACCTCACCGTCATTGCCGACGGCTACGACTCCAAGTTCCGCAAGCAAGTCTTTGACACCAAGCCCGTCGTCAAGAGCAAGTTCTACGCCCTCGAGCTCATCGACTGCCCTCTGCCGCGCGAGTTCTTTGGCCAGGTCATTATCGGTGACGCCTTCCCCATCCTCCTCTACCAGATCGGCTCCCGTGAGACGCGCGCCCTCATCGACGTGCCTCAGGGCATCCCCGAGGCGTCGCCCGCGGCTGGCGGCGTGCGCGGCTACATCCGGAACGTGGCCATCCCCACCCTTCCTGAATGCGTCCGCCCGTCGGCCGAGCGCGCCATCGAGGACGGCAAGATCCCGCGCAGCATGCCCAACAGCTGGCTCCCGGCCTCGAAACAGGCATCCAGCGGCCTCGTCATCGTCGGCGACGCCTTCAACATGCGCCACCCCCTCACCGGCGGCGGCATGACAGTCGCCTTCAACGACGCCCTCCTCCTCTCGGAGCTCCTCCACCCATCGCGCGTGCGGCAGCTCGAGGACGCCCAGGCCGTGCGCGCCGCCGTCGACGCCTTTTACTGGCGCCGCAAGAGCTGCACTTCCATTATCAACGTGCTCGCCCAGGCCCTCTACACCCTCTTTGCCGCAAACGACCGCCAGCTGCGCGCCCTCCAGCTCGGTTGCTTCGAGTACTTTCGGCGCGGTATGACGGACGGGCCCTGCGCCCTGCTCGGCGGCATCCTCCAGCAGCCCTCCATTCTGGCCTACCACTTCTTCTCCGTCGCCTTTCTCGCCATTTGGGTCAACGGGTGCGCCGTCGTCGGAAGCGGACCCCTTGCGCTATTAAGGCTCCCGCTTGCCGTCATCGACGCCGTCCTCATCCTTGCCAAGGCGAGTCGGGTGTTTTTGCCGCTTGTCTGGCGCGAGGGGTTCCAGTGAGGCTCTCTGTCTCTCTTTCTGTCTATGACCGTATACGGGGACAAGGTCAGACAAGGCAGAGAGCGCTATAGAGCTTGGCGGTGATAGTGTTTGGGCTTTTCTTGTTTTCCGTGCGGGAGATCCGGGCGTTGGGCGTCACCTTTGTTTGGCTGCCTCGTACGCGAGCAGCACATCGTCACTCTTCCCCCACTCTACCCATGTATATTCTAGAGGCCAGGCCACGCCTCCGGGCTTTGACACCGAGAACAAGCCTGGTCCGCGGGCATTGGATAGGCGACGGCGGACTGATACGCGGCTTGGTTGCTCCATTTAGGGGGCCCGTCGATGCCGCGTAATATATATAGACAGGTGACCCGTGATGGCGCTTGGCCAACCTTCGCCCGACGCATGAGCATCCTTTATTTCTCTCGGCATGGCGCGAGCATAGCAAATCGTGTTAAACGTCTAGGTCTAGTTACCGGTCATCTCAGTCTATGTAGGTCACGGGCAGCCAAAGTCTCGGCTGCTGCGCAGGTCAAGGGCCGTCAAGGCGGCTCTCTCAGGGGCTTCCTTTCTCCCCTCAGATCCTTGTCGTTTCGGACCTTTGTCGTCCAGGCTACGTCAGCCGCCGGCGGTAGACGCCCATCATCCAACTGGCCCTGAGGACGGCGAGTCCAACGGCCATCTTGACGCTGTCCTGAATGACGTTGAGCTTGCTGCCGCCGACCTCGTGCCACTCGATGGGCACCTCGGCCACCTTGATGCCGGGGCTCGCGCCGATAGCGCGGCCGTCGCTGCCGAGCACGGGGACGGCGGGGGCCGACTCGGCGAGCATGAGCATCTCAATGTCGAAGATCCAGCCCTCGGCGTGCATGTAGGGGACGATGTGGGGCAGCGCCGCGCGCGAGAAGAGCTTGAAGCCGCACTGCGTGTCGCGGATGCGCGACGTGGCCGGCGGCGTGAGGATGGTGAGCACCAGGTGGAACGAGCGCATGAGGAAGTTGCGCAGGGCCGAGCGCTGGGTGAACCGCTTGTGTGTGAGCCGGCGGCGAGGAGCTTGGGTGATGAGCGTGGAAACAGAGAGCGTACCTTGACTACGGCCTCGCTGCCAACCAGGTGGGCGCGGCTGCCAATGGCAACGCCCCGGCGCGACCCGTCCACCACCTCCTCGACGCCCTCCATGAGCTTGCCCACGTCGCTGAACCTCGAGGCTCCGTCGGCGTCGGCAAAGAGCGCATACTCGCCCCTCACGTGTCGCAGTCCGTGAGTGACGCCGCCGCCCTTGCCCCTGTTGCGGGCCAGGGACACGACGCGGAGGATGTCGTGGAGCTCGTTCGCGCGGGCAAAATCGAGCACCACGTCGACCGTCTTGTCGTGGCTGCCGTCATTGACGATCAGGATTTCGTAGCCGCCGTGCCCCGCGGCCGTCACGGAGCCCGAGGAATGGCCCCGCACATGCCGCCGCCCGTCAGGGCTGACGGCCGCAGCTCTGGCTTTCGAGGAACGGCCGACGTGCTGGTCGAGGTAGGCGACAGCCTCTTGGAGCGTGGGGATGATGCGCTCCTCCTCGTTGTAGGCGGGGAAGACGACGCTCAGGTGCACCTCTGCGGGCTCAATGGAGCCGGCATCGGGCAAGAGGAAGAGCTGGTCGTCGGCCTTGACACGCTCCTCGTCCAGGCGGCGCTCGGCGAGCCAGCGGTCGTACCAGCACGGCAGCGGCCTGGGCGCGGTAGGCGTGCCCGAGGGGCTGGACGTGACGTATGATTTCTCGGAGGGGAAGGCCGGTCGGGGCTTGGGGGCGACGAGATGGAGGAAGATGAAGATCTGCGCAGCACGACGTTAGCCGCAGAGAGAAGCCGGGGGGGGGGGGTTAGGGGGGCCTGCCGCTGATTGAGCAGAAAACAGGCGGGCACGTACGCTGAAGAGCGCAAAGGCAACGAGGGCCAGGAAGCAGACGAGCAGGACGGGTACGGGGGTCGCCTGGATCCACGCGGACAGCAGGCGCACGGAGCGCGCCAGGAGCTCCCAGAGCCGCTCCATGGCAGGAGAGGTGTGTGGACGAGTGCCGAATTGCGCTCCTAAGTCCCGGCGGAGCTGAAGCGAGGCGTCGATTGATGCTCCCGCATTGAAGGGGGCACGGTTCGGTTGAGTGGGTGAGGAAAAGAAGCCAGGCTGGCTGTGGATGATGCCTGATTGAGGAAAGAGAAGGTTGTGATGGAGTGGGAAGAGGACACGCTGAAGTTAGTTGATGAAGAGTGCAAACGGGCTTGGCAGTTTGGCCAAGGTGGGCTGGTAACGAAACGGCTTCTCGCAAGGCTGCCGAGAGTTGACCAAGGTACCTAAGCGCGCGGCGTAAGGCTGGCCAATCAATTGACAGAACCCTTGACTCGGTACTCGCCAGTTGGTGACGATGGCGGGGTAGGGTGCCGAGGTACACGAGACTCGTACGTCCACCTGAGCAGGTACTCTGACGTGGTACATGTACAGGTTTTGTCAACCTTGTCATCTGCACTGCACCTGAGCGACCTTGCAGGCCAGCGGACCGTACCGTCCTGTCGGGACACGGGTTAATTAATGACTTAGGTTATCCCCTTTGCTCCCTTGTCCTGCTGCCACGAAATGTGGGCAGATGCAAGCTTCCAGCATCCATCCAACTTGCAAGCTTTTCATTCTACAACGCTGCCAATGCTGCCTACCCTGCGTCATGCTAAGCAGCACATGCTCTATCCAAACGGCCGACGTCACTCATTCATCAACACGGCACGGCCAAAACTGTAACAATACCCCTGTCCCGTGCCCGGTGTCGACTTAGGTATTCCCGGGCACCAAATGAACCCATGCATTTTTCGCATTCCCACCTCCAAATCAGTGAGCCACATTATTCCAAACACTTGTCCCGCCAAGCTGTAGTGGTCATGAGAATAGGAAAGAACTCCAAAACTATCTTGTTCGAGTTGAGCACGGAGCAACAAAGCTCCGGTAGCTAGACGACGACGGCGGAGGCCTTGGAGCTAGACCACCGGCTCTTCTTTACTATCTTGCCTCCGCCTTTGGAGCCTTTCTTCTTGCCGCTCGGCGTGGCCGGCTCAGGGAGCGACGCCTGTTCAGGAAAGACGTTGACGACATCCTCGTGTGCCAAGGGAGGTGGTTTCCGACCACGATCCAAGCGAGAGGCATCCTCATACGACGACCTTATGTCTGTGGAGTTGACGGGCTCGAATTCGGAGGCGTACATTGTCCGGGCCATTCTCTTGTCCCCTGGCCTCTGCTGAGCTGCACCATACGCTTCCCCGAAGCCACTGGGCGGCCATGACTTGTCCGAATCGGCATGCGAAACCGATGCCCAGTTGAGAGGATACTCGGCCTGAGGCACCACCAAGGGCGCCGGCGTTCCGGGAGCAGACGCAGCTACGCGCGACGAGGTTGGGGTCAAGCTGGGCAACGAGGAAGTCGAGTTCTGGCGCGGCGTCATGCTGCCAGCAGACGACGACCCTTTGGCGTGGCCACGACTAGTGAGTGCCGTCTGTGAGGGTAGCGGAGGAGTCAAAAAGCCTGAATGGACTGGCGGAGGGGCCGCGACCTGGGCGATGGAAGCAAAGCCCCTCATCGAAGGTGGAGGGCGGGAATCTCGGACGTAATTCGACGGCACCATGCCTTTGGCTGATTTGCCGGCGGCAACGCGCTCGATGGAACTATCGGACGTTCTTCGGGGGCGGCTCGGATGCAGTCGATGTGGCGAGTCGGCGAGCCGTTCGCGTGGACGAGTCGGTTTGATCTCCAGATCATCCTGAGAGCCAGAGCCGGTGGAGCCACTGGAGCTCTCGACCGGCGACGGCTCGCCTACTACTGGTCAGGTCTCCAAGACGAATCATTGTGTCGCAGGCACCATGTCGTCTACGAACCTTTGCTCGGCGTGGGGCTTGCCCGTTGCGAATCGCAAGCTGGCCACCTACCGACGACTTCTTTACCCTTGAAGGAGGTGGGTCGAGAGTAGGAAATGTGTGGGACGGGGTAGACGGCCTCTCGACTGCGGTCGGCGTAAGAGGAGACGCCCGTGTAACTGTTGGCTCGGGGCAGGCGAGCCATGGGAGTGGCGTCCTCTCCCGGGTACGTGACGTGAGACAGGCTGCTGCCAATGCGGGGGGCACCAGGCATGTTCATGTGATGGCCGCTTGCAGCCATGGCGCTTCTCCTGCGATTTTCTTCCAGAATCCGTGGCCGGTCGAGCTCTCGCCAGCTAGGTGGGGCGCTGGCAAAGGCATCCGTGGCGGCGTGAGTGGGTACATGCTTGTACGGCACCTTTTGCTGCTCCTTCTTCTCCTGCTCCGCCACCTTTGCGTTGTGTTCCTTGGCCTGCTGGCGGCTCTTTCTAATATGCGAGAAAATGGACATGGCTGCGTGGTTGACGATGTGCCGGTCGGTCGGGATGTCGGTGGGCACCAATCGAGGCCCAGCAAGGGCCGCTTAACAAGAGTTTTATATTGCAGTGAAGATGAGAGACGAAGGTGATGTAAGTCGACGGATCGATGGTAGGTAATGGACAGGTTGGTGGTATTATCAACCGTGTCAGCAAGGAGGTAGTCAACGACACGGATGAAGGATGTCGTGGGCGTCACGCACCCCGAGGAGCGGTGTGTTGGTGCGCGTTGGCGAAAGGGGGGTTTTGTGTGTGAGAAGAGCGGACGAGAAGAAGCAAGTGCTCGTCGACGTGTGGTTGTCCTAGACTGGCGTTATGATGCCGTCTACCTCCGTAAGGTGGACCCGAACCCTGCGCCAGGTGGAACTTGACGAGGAACGGCGCGGGTGGGTCGTCTAGGGGTCATCAGGCGAAGGGAACCCTGAACGGTGGGGTCGTGGCGGTCCTGAAAGGAGGAACGCCGGCGGAGAGGCGCAGCCGTGGCCCAACCAGCGCCCGAATGTGGACGGACAAGCCTTCAGCCTCAGCTCGATGTCAGCACCGGGCTTCAGGGGTGGGGGCCAAGCTGCAGTTGTTGAGGGTTGTGGTCGGAGATTTGTCGTCGTCGTTGTCGTTGTCGTTGTTGTTGTTGTTGTTGGAGAAGGAGGAGGAGGAGGAGGAGGAAGTGGTCGAGGAAGAGGTTGAGGAAGGAGGTCGAAAAGGAAGGAAGGAGGAGGCCGGAAAGGAAGGAGCGGATCAAGATCCCGAGAGGCCCGGCCCGGCCGATTGCTCCCCCCGGTTTTAGTATCTTCCGCTGACGGCAAGTACCCACTTCGTATCGTGTCAGCGTCAGGGCGCCCTCCAGGTACCTGGCCGTCGCAACTGACGTGCTGTAAATCACCCCGGTCTGGCGATGCAGCCACGTAAATCTCGGCCCTCTTGGCACTTGATGACGGCCAAGCAAGTGAAGCAGAGTGCCGGTGGCGCCCGCTCCTGTGCTGGCGTGCGAGGGGGGATGGTGCAAAGTAGTTATGACCTGCGTTTGTTGGCGGGAGGGAAAGCGGCTGGCCCTCTTGGATTCGTCGAATCTCGTTCTTGTAGAAGGTCTCACTGCCGCAACTCCCACTCAAACGGCGTGGCGTGGAGAGTTGAGGGCAAGGGGGGGGAAATGAAGAAGAAAAGCGAGGGCGAGATCGGGGGGAAGAAGGAACTGGGTCTAAAATACGGAAGTGGGCCAGAAGAAGACGAGGGCAAGGTGACGATGGATAGCGCATAAGCCTTGTTTATATAGAGCGGGTGCCGGCGCGGCCGAAAAGCACCGGCTGGCAAGACTTAATACGGGATGGGATGCTTTGGCTTGGGACGCTACCGTAACTACTCGACTCGACAGTCAGTATATGTACATGCATGCATGAAAGCCTGGAAAGGTCGACAGGCGAACAGGGATGACATGTCCGGGGGCATATAGCATTAGATTTCTGTGGACGGTCTATTCTCGTGCGCTGGCGACTCGTACGTACAGTATGCAGGTGCGACCGCAGGCAACGCACAGTACATACAGCTCGGGCCTATAATCCATGGAGCCCTTGAGCAACATCATCTCCATCCACAGAGGGGGGCGTGATGCGAGCAACGCCGGCGAAGTGGTTGGCGTTGCCCAGGCGCCGGATCGTGCCTGGGCAAATACAGCATAAAACCAAGTCATCGACACCTCATGTCGGCACGCCCCATTTCTCCAGACCGCACACCTCGTATTAGCTGGAGGTGGACTGGGACTCCTCCCCCAGCCTGACAGGGGCTCCCCCTCTGTCCGCACGACGCCCCCATGCCTCCAGCTCGTCTCGGTTCAGCACAGCACGGGCGTCGGGCCAGCCGGACCCGAGAGCAGACCTGGACGGGATTTGTGTATAAGTCATCACAATAATGGAAGAGTGCAGTCAATATTGCCATTGCCTCGTTGACCGACTGGTAATGGCGCCAGTACTCAAGCCGTTTTGAGTCTTGACATGACGAAATGCAAGCGAAATGAACCAGCCGGTCAAGTTGGACAAGAACACGCCCTGTCTCTCTTTGTTGTCTCGATCGCTCCCGGCCGTCGGATCAGTCGCTGCATCTCGTCGGGCCTACAAATATGCCGTCTTCTGTTGGACGACTGTTGGACTCTCGGCTCGGTCGCTGCGAGGCCGCAAAGTTACAGTGGTGCACACGTACCGTAGCGTAGGTACTGTACCTAGCAAAGGGGGGCCGCACCATCCATCCGATCCCCCCGCTTGGGGCGGCCCGCAGCCGTTGGCTCTATAATAATAGCGCCTCCTGGCGGGTTAGACGGGCACTAGCAGCCCTTGGGAGGGCCTCTCCAGCGGCTCTCCGTCTCACCAGAACAGGTCGACCTCGACAACATCTCGGGAGCCACGCCGACTCTCACGCCTTGATCCTACTCCCTCGGATAGGCCGGCAGCATGCCAAAGACGTATCCTCCTGCAAGGCACCACCAGACCAGCCTGCCGTGTCTCGCAGTGCTCCATCTCGGCGCTGCTCGCAGCCCTCGGATGGCGAGATGGATACCCCCTCTGGGTTCGCGTATCGGCCTGGCTGTTGAGGCGCCTGCTCTATCTGTATCTCTCTTCAGCCGCATGGGTGCCAGCCGCTTGCTCCCATGACCGTGTGCATCCATTCTAAGACATCCGTGCAAGTGGGTGGGTGGGGAAGAGATAATCTACCCTCGAGCCCGCTCCTGATACGATGCCGTCAAATGGGCGTGCTCGATCATGGCCGAACCTCGTCCGTCCTGATGTAGTTGGTTCTTGATAATATCGTGCTGGAGCTGCCTTGTTGGGTGCAGGCAGGCGGTGGCGCGGCGTGCATCGCCTCGGAGGATCCCAGATCGCCAGATCTCCGCATCCTTGCACGGCGACTTGTTCATACTCTTCGTGCCTACGAATACACACAACTACTTTGCGACCGACTCTTCACGAGCAAAGCACCTACTCTAGCGATCGGTAAGCATTTGGAAGAGGGCTAGTGGTGATGAACCTTGATAGTCCAACCTTCACCCATACAGTACATGCATAGAAATGGCCGCGTGAATCCGTCGACCCAAGGGCCAGATGCCCCCCGATGCAACCCTGGCTTACCGGTGCTCCTTGTCTGTTGTCAACACAAAAACGTGCTCCATGCGCCCATCGGTCTGTTTCAGCCCCCCCTGCCCGCGACACGAGCAGACAAGCCTCTTTCACCCCTCGCTGTCTGGTGCATTCTCCGTGATTCTTTTTATCTCTTTTCTCGTCCGGCCGCCAACCTGCATCTGCGAATCAAACCGTCTAGACAGCTCACCCTCGTGGCCCAGCAGCCTTATCAAGCCTTTGAACCCAACTTCCACCGGCGTCGGATCCTGACTGAGTCGGCTTTTTAGCCCGCGATAGGCCCTGCAGCCACTTGGCCTGGAGCTCACGTCGAAGCTAGACGAGCTTGGATACAGACGAGACGAGCCAGCCCCTCTACCTCTCGTCGAGGGAAAAAGATGTAAAACCAATAGCCATCAATATCGTCGTCCGTCTTTCTCTCTTCGACATCCCGTGGGACCATCCGTTTATAGTCTGCGGCGTCCTGGCTGGGTTGATTCCAGCGCCACCGTGGGACAGGCGACATCATAGAGTTGGTTAGCCTCGAGCACCGACCGCTGCTTGGCCGTCGCAAAGGCGCGGCTGCAAGCCACTGGCTGGGCTGGAGCGCAGGCTGCGCATCAGACGTGCCGCTCTGCACGGGTGGAGTCGAGCCCAGACGGTGTCACCGGTCACCGACAGTCTTGCCGTCCCACGTGCCATGTCATTTCTACTGAATGATCGACATTCGGGATCATATCAAGCATCCATCAGTCGCTTCATCCCCTGACGATACCGGGGCGAAGCGATAACGCCGTGTTACCGATAGTGCCGACTGCTACACCCCTAGCTGACATGGTGTACAACTGTCTGGACGCTCGTCAGAGTTCCTATCGGAATTGCTCTAGTGTGCACTTCGTGCCACTCGACAGCTTGCGGGGGAACAACGAATTCCCCGAGAGAGGCCGAGGCTTGGCGACTGTATGCCTGGACAAACAGAATGCTGGTCCGGCGGGCCAGGTGTCCAAACACCATCGCAAGCGGGGAGCATCACCATGCGCGAGGTGTACGGACGCCTTGTATCCAGCCTGGTTGACCCAGGGCGACGGAGGTGGCCATCGCGTGGGACTGGGGTATCGGCGAAGACAGAGTGGGCGGACTGATGGCGGTGATGAATGATGGTGCCTGGAATGATAAGCCTGGGCCACTCTATCACGACCCGTGGCCTGACACGGCTTTCTCGTCGACTTTTGAGCGATATGCCTCGCGTCGCTCAAACTCTGGCGCGAGACGATGGAGCCTGGTGTCTGGCGAAGGGAGGTGGATGACGGAAGCGTGTGAGTCCGAGAAGCAGAAGCCATACGAACTGGGGACGGTGTCCTGAGATGAGCGGCGACGGAAGAAGGGAATGGGACGGGAAGCTCCAGTGTCTTCCGCGATATCAACCCGTTGATGCCTGCTCCTCGACTCATGCCGCTCCTGAGCTACCCCATCGCTCCACGCGGAGCGGGCGCCCGTGACAGTAGGTAGCCTCGGCGAGTGTGTGACTTGCTGTAGATGTACGAGATCGACTGTTGGTCGGCATGGCAGATCAGATCCAAGAGAATGTGTCACGTGCCTAGCCACAGGTCTTGGGCTCCAATAGGCGCACCAGCCACAGCCAGGACGCGCACCTCATCTACCCACTTAGGTAAGCGCCCAAAGCTGCCTAGCACCTGCCATGATGCTTGTGCATTCGTGCCTGATCTGTCTTGCGCGGTACCTGACAAGCCCATTTCCGCGTGCTCCAGCGGCTCCTCTCTTCCCACTTCCGCAGGCACCCTAGACCTGTAACTACAGCATGTCCATGTACTGAGAAACTTCTGGGCAGGCCGGCGGCCTGCGGAGACCCAGGAGTACCCGATGCTCAATCGGTACATTCACGCTTTGTATCTTGGGTTCGTCCCCTTCCCCTCCCCCGACTTTTCCCAGGTGCCAGGCAGGCAGGCTTGAGCCCGAAACCTTCCACCCCCCCCCCCCCCTCCCCCAAAATCAAGCGCCGCAGGTCACGCGCTTTTCCCACTCCAACACCACCTGTCATCCAACCCTCTCTCGCTCTCTTTCAATAGCCCCAGAATATCATCACTTTTTCGCCCCCCCTCCCCCCGGGTGCATCCACCTACGCCACCCCCGGCCCGCCGTCTTCCCCTCCCCTCCCGTGATCCTCCTCCGTCTCCCGTGCGCGCCGTCGTCATTCGCGCTGCCGTCGCCGTCCTCTCGTTTGGCTGCGCCGTGGCCCTTCGTTGATCCGAACCCCACCGATCTCCGCCCGAGAGCCTCTTGCATGGCGCGCTGACGTGCTCGCGCTGGCTGGTCGTCGCTGCGTTGTCTCCCTTGTCGTCGGGCCTCGTCTCCGCCGTCGCCGCGCGACGCTCGACCTCCCCTCCCCGGCCTGTGCCAGCTCTCTCCTGTCCGCCTTCGCGTCCTGCCAAGCTACATTCTCGCACAACAGCGCGCGCGCCCCCGACACGGGCGCGAATCCGAGGAACCGTGGCGGCGCTTACCATCCTCAGCCACAACCAGACGTTGGCGCCCGAACTCTCCCTCCAGCAGCATCTCGAAATTGCCCCCGACTTGGTCGCCTACGGCCAGCTCGCCACCGAGGGCGACTCCGAGCCGGCGATGATGGCACAGCCGGTGCCTCATCAGGCGACGGACAAGAGGCGCGTCAAGGTCTACGAGCTTCGCAACAATGACTGGTTTGATCGCGGCACCGGCTTCTGCACCGCGACCTTTGCGACTGTACGTCTCCTTCCCCCCGACCTATTGACCTTATCCCTTTGCCGGCCGACATGGTGACTGACGGCTGCGCACGCCGCATACAGACTGAAGAAGGCCGCAAGGACCCTCGCGTCATCGTAGAGTCCGAGGATCAACCCGAGCGCCTGCTACTGGAAACAAAGATCCATAAGGAGGATGGATTTCAGAAGCAGCAAGGCAAGCCGCAGTGCCCCATCCTAGCTCATGTCTCGAAGCTTTTTGCTGACCCGGACCCAACAGAGACTCTCATCGTGTGGCAAGAGCCCGGCAGTGGCGTCGACATGGCCCTCAGTTTCCAAGAGGCCGAGGGCTGCGCCTTGATATGGTTCGTCTCGACGACCTTTGGTTGGCTGGACAGCGGCTGACATGTCTTCAGGCGATTCGTCAGTAATGTTCAACAAGCGCTCCAGAACAATACGGCCATTGTTGGTATGCGTCGCTGTTTCCCTTGCCCCGCCTTGACGTAACTGACGAGTCCTTCGCAGAAGACGGCCTCTCCGACGACCTCGCCATGGAGGTCCCCGCCCCCGTCAGCCTGCCCGCCGCCGACCTGGGAAACCTGGCCGAGATGGAGTCGAGCATGCGAATCATGACGTCGACTGCAAACGGTCGCGACGCTCTGGCCAAGGCCATCATGGCCGAGGATTACATCGGCAAGCTCATCCCTCTCGTCGAGATGGCCGAGGACCTCGAGAGCCTTCCCGACCTGCATCGCCTGTGCAACATCATGAAGACCATTCTCCTCCTCAACGACACCACCATCATCGAGCATGCCGTGTCCGACGAGTGCGTCCTGGGCGTTGTCGGCGCATTGGAGTACGACCCGGACTTTCCAAGCCACAAGGCCAACCACCGCCACTGGCTCGACAACCAAGGCCGCTACAAGGAGGTGGTCCCCATCGAGGACGAGCAGACGCGCCAAAAGATTCACCAGACCTACCGCCTGCAGTACCTAAAAGACGTTGTCCTTGCCCGAATCCTCGACGACCCCACGTTTTCGGTCCTCAACTCCCTGATCTTCTTCAACCAAGTCGACATCGTCCAGCACTTGCAGTCCAACTCGGCCTTTTTGAGCGAGCTCTTTGGCATCTTCAACGCCCGCAGGCGAGACCAAAAGAAGAGGAAAGAGGCCGTCCTCTTTATCCAGCAGTGCTGCGCGATTGCCAAGAACATACAGCCGCCCGCTCGCCAGACGCTGTACAACAACTTTATCGCCCATGGGCTGCTTCAGGTTATCCACTTCGGTCTGAGGCACAACGATGTTGCGGTGCGAGTCGGAGCTACGGACATTATGATTTCCATCATCGATCATGATCCCCACATGATTCGGCAAACTATTTACCGCCAGATGCACGAGAACCAGTCAGGGCTGACCGACTCCCTGATCGAGCTCCTCCTCGTCGAGGTCGACTTGGGCGTCAAGTCTCAGATCTCCGAGGCGCTCAAGGTGCTGCTGGATCAGGGCATGGTGGCTCAGGCACCAGAGCACTTCCCCAAGGTCAATGGCGAATTCACGGGGCGGCTGAGACCGCAGCCGTCGCTGGACCCCCAGCAGGAGCTGTTCCTGACGCGGTTCTACGAGCGGTCCGCGCTGAAGCTCTTCCAACCCCTCGTCGACCTGGAGAACCGTACAGACATGAACTTTACGGCGCAGCAAGCCTCCATGTTTACCTATCTCGTCGATATTCTGTGCTTCTTCGTTCGCCAGCATCACCGATTCAGCAGGTATTTCGTTTTGAACAACAACATTGCCGCCCGAGTCTGTCAACTTCTCAGAAGCTCCGAGAAGTATCTACGTTTGGGTGAGCGGTGCCCCTCCCTCGCGCTTGTCCAAGAGTACTAACACGTTGTCCCAACACTAGTTTCGATCCGGTTCATTCGGTATCTTGTCGGTCTTCAGGAAGAATTCTACATGAAACATTTGATGGACAAGCAGATCCTCGGCCCCATCCTCGACGTCGTCATTGAAACGCTGCCGCGCGACAATCTTCTCAGCTCTGCATCGATGGAGCTTTTCGAGCATATCAAGAAGGAGAACATCAAGGAATTGGTCAAGCACCTCGTGGCCAACTATCGGGAGCGCCTGGTCAGCTTGAGCTATCTGCCTACATTTCGCGACATTGTCTTGCGATATGACCAAACCCAGGGCTACACAGCCAACGTTGACTACCTTCTCGAGGGCGAGGGAGAAATGAGCAAGAAGCCGCCGCCGAGCACGAGGCTCATGGAGCACATCACCATGGATCCCGCCGAAGAAGAGTACTGGAACACGTCGGATCCCGAAGACGAAGACGATGAACACCACGGCGAAGGCGTCGAAAAGGCGTCGTCAACCAACGGGTCTACCACGTCATCGAGACCATTGGTTGACTATCCCTCAGATGAGGATAGCGACGAGAACGCCAACCCAGAGGCCAAAACGAAAGCAATGGACGATAAGCCTGGGTCGGGGCCTGGATCAGACGCATCGGCGGACCAAGAAACCGGGGCTTCGCCTTTCGTGCCGCCGCCTCTGGAGCGGGTATCCGAGAAGCGCCGACGGGAGGAGGACGAAGAAGACCAACTAGGGAAGTTGATGCACAACAAACGCCGGAACAGCAGCTCGTCGGAATCCAGCACAAGTGTCACGCCACGAACGGCAGCGCGACGCAGGAGTCTGACACCCAACTCGGGCAACGGCCCGCCCAAGAAGATTTCCATCAGTTTCTCCCCGACGGTCAAGACTGGGGTTGGAGACGGGCCTGACGAGGAGTCTTGAGATGAGGCGTTTTCATATTCTCCCCCTTCCTGGCGGCGGCGTACGGAACCTGTCTTTTCCACTTTTCCCCCGTGTAAAGACGGGGGCAAGAGAGACCGTGACCTTGGACGGCACGGTCTGTGTTCGTGAAGGAGGTGGGCCGGATGGTGGCGTTTTACAATTCATTGCTTGCAGGGTTGCGTCTCCGACTTGATCACCTCCCCAATTGTTGAAGATATGCCTATTTTTTTTTCAGGGGAAACTGGATGGGGCAAGCCGAAGAGGAATAGAACGGCACGAAGGATCGCATGGAGTGGGGGACAAAGTTATCGAAGGCATGCTGCTCATGGGACTCGGATGGAGAGGCGAGATTGGTCGAGTGCCAGGGCTGACTGAATCTGGCTGCCTGAGCGCTGTCAATCGTCTCTGCCCTGGCGAGGGACATCGCGGGGGGGGGAGCGGTGGAGGAGCAGCGGATGGGAATCGAGCGAGGCCGTATGCTGCCCGCCATGTCGTGTGTCATGCATGATGAGTCGGAATGGACTTGTATGGAAATGAGATGCGAGAAGCCCCCGCGTGCTGCGCACCTCGTGGTCGTGGTGCGACGGCGCGCGCTGGATCACAGTTGGCGGCGGCAGCGAGGGCGAGCAGAAGAAAAGAAGGTCGGCTTTGCACGACGGTTGTTGATACACACGGGCGCCTTGTCGTCTTGTCTGGCCACGCGGGCGACAACGTCGAGTTGTGTGAGCGCGCGCCAGCGAGGACGAAGAAACTCGTCCGATCGTAAGGCGTTTCTACTTTTCCCCCGTTCCCCCTTTTCCCCTGGTTCTACTCTTCCACATATGGCCATTCCGTGATTCGCCCACTATGCCTGACCTTGTCTTGCCTGGGTTTGCACGTTTCTATGGTACTCTTCTAAACTGCCTCCGCCACGCCTCGTAGCCGTCAATCATGTCCTGCGTAACGTTCCTGGGCGTCTTATCCAGCGCAGCCACCAGATCCGCCATGGCGATTTCCAACCTCGTCGCGCCGGCTGCCTTCCCGTCGTCGTCATCATCATGGCGGTCCAGGACGGCGAGGCCGGCCTCGTTGCAGATGGCCTTGATCTCGGCGCCCGAGTAGCCGTCGGCGAGGCGGGCGAGGGCGGGCACGTCGACGTCGTCGGCGAGGGCCAGGCCGCGCAGGTGGACGGCGAAGACGGCCTCGCGGGCGGGCAGGTCGGGCGGGCCGACGTAGAGGACCTGGTCGAAGCGGCCGGGCCGCAGGAGGGCCGGATCTATGGCCTCGGGCCGGTTGGTGGCGGCGAGGACGAGGACGCCGGTGAGGGCCTCGAAGCCGTCCATCTCGGTGAGGAGCGTGGTGAGCATGTTGACGGCGCCCGAGCTGGCGCGGGCCGACGAGGTGGCGCCGCCGCCGCCGCCTCGCTGGCCGCCGATGGAGTCAATCTCGTCAAAGAAGATGATGGAGGGCGAGGCGGCGCGGGCGCGCTCGAACAAGGTGCGCACGGCGCGCTCCGACTCGCCGACGTACATGTTGAGCAGCTCGGCGCCCTTTACGGCGAAGAAGTTGAAGCCCGACTCGGTGGCCATGGCCTGGGCCGAGAGCGTCTTGGAGCAGCCGGGCGGGCCGTAGAGCAGCAGGCCCTTGGGCGGGTGGCGCAGGACGTGGCGCGAGGCCGGGTTGGTGTCCTTTGCGTTCTTGATCATGCGCGCCAGCACGCGCTTGAGGCTCTCCTGCCCGCCCACGTCCTGCCAGTGGATGGTGGGCGGCTTGAGGTTGATGTCGTGCATGGCCGTGGGGCGCGTGACGCGCAGGGCGCGGTCCATGTCGTCGGGGGTGAGGAAGTGCTGCTGCTGTTGCTGTTGCTGCTGCTGCGGAGGCGATGGGTCCGAGGTGGACGAGGATGATGGGAGTAGTAGGTTTGGTGAGGCGGCAGCGACCCCTTGACGGTCCAGCCGGTCGCCGAGGATGCGCTTGGCGTTGAGGACCAGGTTGGCCAGGTCGTCGCCGTTGAAGGCGTGCGTCTTGCCGGCGATGCTGGCGAGGCACTGCTCCCTGTGCTCGGGCCGGAGGGGCGGGTCGAGGTAGTTGAGGATCTCTAGGCGCTCAGGGGCGCGGGGGATGGGCAGGGCGACGTTGTCGCGGAGGCGGGAGCGCTTCTGGAGCTTGGCGGGCACATCGGTCATGTAGTCGAGGCACGTGGCGACGACGACGACGCGCGGCAGGGCGCCGTTGCGGGCGGCCTCGTCGGCGAGGCTGTCGAGCTCGTCGGCCAGGGCTTCGATGACGGCCTCGCGGTTGGGGCGCTCCTTGGCAAGCAGGTCCTCGAGCCCGTCGACGAGCACCATGCTGGGCTGCAGGGCGCGCGCCTGACGAAACGTCTCGCGCAGCGTCGACAGCTTATCCGACGGCCGGACCCAGTACGCCTTGCCCCAGCGCGTCTTCTCGACGCGGCGCAGAATCATCGTCTTGCCGGTGCCGCGCCCGCCGTGGACGACGAAGGCGCACGACTCGCGCTCGCCCCTGACCCAAAAGGGGCGGCCGAAGCCCCGGAGGAAGCGGTTGAGGGCGTCGACCTGGGTCGCGAGCCCGGGTACGCCACTGACGACCAGGTCGCCGGCGATTCCGGTCCCGGAACCGGAGGCGGCGGCGGATTGCGCGTCCTGCTCGCCGGGCTGGAGGATGCGCACCGTTGTCGAGGCGAGCTGGAACTTGGCGAGGTTGGTCGTCTTGGAGTTTACCGAGAGGACCTTGAATGAGCGGCGGAGCTTGTTGATGTTGACGCCCTCGAAGAGCATGCCGGGGAAGACGTGCTCGGCGCGGTCTTTGTTCATGTACTCGTCAGCTCACGTTTCTTGGGAGATGATTCTATATATGGATGTCCGTAGGAAGCCATCCCGGGAAAGGGGCGAGGATACAGCCAAGACAACACGCAGACTCGAGTTCCACAACTCACCCATGGAGAGACTGAGAGAAAACTCCCAACCAGGGGTATGCTTTGATTCTGTTTGCTGCTGCTGCTGGTCATCGCCGCCGCCGCCGGCCACATGGGTAACCAGAACCTCGTCGGCATCCGGCAGCGGATCCTCAGCCAGGGCAATGCGGACCTGGTCGCCGATGCGGAATCCCGAGGCTTCCTGGTAGGCCCGGGTCATCATGACAACGTTTGGGCCGACGTTCTTGTCCGGCAGCAGCCAGAGGGCGGCGTGGCGGCGCGGCAGCGCGGGCGACGGCGGGTCGAGCTTGTCGACGACGCAGGGCCGGCCGTGGTCGAGGCCATTTGTCAGGGCCAGCAGCGACTCTTTGCTGATGTAGATGCGCGCGGCGCCCAACAGGCTGGCCTTTTCCAGGCTCGGGTTGGCCAGCGGCCGCACCTTGGCCTCGATGCTCTTCTTGACCATGGTTGCTCGAGGAGGCGATCCATTCGCCGGGGCCGGATAGGGGTCGGGGGGCCGCCCGGTCGGCCGGGGCGCTCTCTTTCCCCTTGTCTCCTCTTGGACTTGGTCTGTTATGCTCTCTCCTCTGTGCGGAAGACGTGTCGAAAAAGAGGGTTGCGGGCGAGAGTTGCAGTTGGATGGGACGAGGAAAAACGCCTCTGAAAAAAATACACTGCCAGGACGTGGGGTGTGGACTTCGCCGCGTAAACTAAGACCAACAACAGCTCAAAATGGCCGGCAACAATAAGAACTTTGCTTCGAACCTGATTCCCGTTGAATAAGAATGCTGCCCGGAGTAATGAGGGTTTTGCTTTTCCTGATGATCGGAGGCCGTTCTGCAATTCAGGCACAAGAAATGCATCGGTACGGGAATGACGTCTCAGGCCAGGGGTCCGCCAGCGCACGGACCATGCGCCTGCAAAGCTTCCAAGACCTCAAAGCTTCTCTTCCTCGAAGCAACTCTGACCTCCTCCTCTCAATGCGCCCCTCGCTCTCATCGCCGCCGCCGCCGCCGCCCGCATGCTCCCGTCCCGCGCACCGGCGACGCTGCGTTCAACAGCTCCCCTCACGGCCTGCAGGATCCCGCGGCGGCCATTGTCCTTGACTCCATGGCGGCAACAACACCGACACCAGAGAAATGGAAACGGCCACGATGAGGCCGAGGCTCCGGATGCGCAGCTCGGCAAGAGGACGCGCCCGCAGCTAGACGTCTCTGAACCAGCTGTCCGCGACGCCTTCTCACAAGACGACGCCGTGTCTTTGACGCAGCCCTCGGCCCTGGGCCAAGCTCTGGCAGACCTTGCCAAGAAGGACGACGACGGCGACTCCAAGGACCCGCGCACCATGCTCATCCTCCACGGCCTGAGCCCCAACCTCAAGCCAAGCGACTTCTACCGCCTCGGCTCCGACTGCGACTCGAGCTGGCAGCGCGTCATCAGAAAAGGTCCCCCAAACCCGACCTTTTGAGGCATCAAGATGGATCGCTGACTTCCGCCCCCGACAGTCCAGCAACAGCGCGACCGCCACACCCTCGAGCCCCTCGGCTGCTACCACGTCTCCTTCGCCTCGGCCGCCCCCGCCGTCGCCTACTGCGACACGATCCTCCGCCTGCACCGCCTGAGCCGCCACAAGCTGCTGTCGCCCACGGGCCTGTGGGAGAGCTGCGTCCCGCCTTTTCTCCGCTCCCCCGCCGGCGCCCATCCGGCAGCCGAGCTTGCCGGCTTCACCCTCGTCCCCGCCTCCCGGCCCGCCTTCACTGTCGAGCGCAAGCGCGTCCAGACGAAGAAGTCTTGGTCCGCCCAGCTCCTCGCCCGCCTCGCCCCCCTTGCCGCCCCCAGTCACAGGCCCCCCGCCGTTTTGCTGCACGTCTACCCGCCCACCCTCGACGCCCGCGTCCTCTCCCGCTTCATAGACGTCGACGGCGCTGCGAGGGGGTGCCCGTGGCGCGTCTCCAAGCTCCAACACCTCGAGGCAGCCCACGACGAGTCCGCCTCGCTCGTGCCGCGCAGAACCTCGCCCGGCGCCACGCTCGAAAAGCAGAAGAGCCGGTTCGTTGTCGTTTGCGCCACTGACGCCGAGGCACGCCGCTTTCAGCGGCTCTGGAACCAGCAAACATTGACGACGGGTCACGGAAGCACAGCGTCGCGGAATGTAGTCCATGCGTCAATAATTAACTGGTAGCCGCCCGTACTGTCAATAAATCTTGCCCGTCGACAAAAAAAAGAGAAAAAAAAGAAGAGCAAAATGTCTGTCCTGCAAGGCATCATCGCCCTCCCTCGTCCGCCTCTGTAGATATGCGCCCATGCGCGCAATCCTGGCGCGCCATGTACTGAAGCAATCCTCCACTTCCCGTCACGAAACCCCTCCCGGGCCGCACGTGCACATGCCTCGTGCCCTCTCGCTTCGTCCCACGGTATCAAAACTGTCCAAGTCCGCCAGCCATAGGCATGGCGTACAACGACGGGAGCATGCATTAAAAACCAGATGAACAACCATAAAACTCCAGACCATATTTGCTCTCTAAAGGTTAGGGAGAAAAGAGGGAGGCCAGGGCCAACGGACGGGTGGAAGTGGCCTTGGTCGTGCGGCCCAGTGACTTTTCTGATGCCTCGGGACAAGGCAATCAATCATCGATGCTTTATCAATGTTGTCTTGCCATCGCTCGCTCACTTTCGCCGGGCTCGCCTTCGCCGGACTCGCTCCTCCTTTTCACGCTCGCGCAGAGACATCATCCGTCCTCCAAGGGCAGGTTTGAGCAAGCACACGTAGGCAGCCCGTCGTCAACTAGCAGCATTTGCTTCCAAAGCCGCCCTCGCCCTTGTCGCTGACGTTGACGCCTGAGCTTGTCGACTGTTCGTTTTTGGAGTTGTCGATGAGGCGCTTCTTGATGTCGGCTGCGAGGCTGTAAAAGGCCTTGTCGATGTTAATGTTGCTCTTCGCCGAGACTTCGAGGAAGGGAATGCCGAGCTCGTCAGCGAGAGCCTGGCCCTGTTCTTGGGAGACGACGCGCTTCTCCTCCCAGTCACACTTGTTGCCGATGAGAATCTTGTTGACGCCCTCGGTGGCATGTTGCTCGACGTTTTGGAACCAGGTGCGAATGTCTGCGAGCGAGTCAGATGGCGGTTAGCCGTGGGGCACAACACGGCCTCGCGTTCCGAGGGCAGCTCTGGTAGCCGACTGACTGCCGACAGCGACCGGGTGAAAGAGGGAGAGGAGACGCACTGTTAAAGGAGCGCTCGTCGGTGACGTCGTAGACGAGGAGGATGCCCATGGCGCCGCGGTAGTAGGCGGTGGTGATGGTGCGGAAGCGCTCCTGGCCGGCGGTATCCCAGATCTGCAGCTTGACGCGCTTGCCATCGAGGTCAATGGTGCGGATCTTGAAGTCGATGCCGATGGTGGTGATGAAGGAGGGCGTAAACGAGTCCTCGCTGAAGCGCAGCAGGCAGCATGATTTGCCAACGCCCGAGTCGCCTATTAGCAGCAGTTTGATCTGGTCGCAGCAGGAGAAGAGAGACGTCAGCCATTGTCATGTCGTCGCTGTCTGGAGCGTCGACGATGCCAGCGCAAGGGGGCCAGAGGGGCGTGGGGCAGGCCGGGAGGGGCGGGGACGGCGAGGGAAGGCGTACGAGGAAGTCATAGTTGCGAGTGCTCGGCATGATGGGCGACGGACGAGCGACGGCAACGTCAAGGCGTGTGCGGAGGCAACTGGTTTTGTCGGATCGCAGAGCCGAGCCCGGGGGAGGTGTGCGTGCGTGAGGCGCGGGGGCGGGCGGTGGAGGACAGGTGAGAGGTGGAACAAGAGGGGAAAGTCAAGGTCGAGAGAGGGTTTCCGGGCGTGACGAGAGGTGGGAGCAAAGGTTTGCTGGCGGCGGCGGCGGCGGCGGCGGCGACGATGAAGCACGGTTGTTGGCTGTGGATGATGGAAGAGGCGACGTTCTTTTGGGGGTTGCGTGGCGGCGGCTTTTCCGCGTGTGATGACACTGGAGCGTCAATCACGAGTTGGCACGCACGAGAGCAATGCCGTGCGGTACCTTGGAGTGGGCCGGTACCTCAGATATACCTGCCGGCTTGCAGTGCTTCTCCGGTGGCTTGAATCTTGTTGAAGTACCTCAAGCACTTTAGGTACCTGGAAGAAGAAGACGGGGCAGTGCGGCGGCAGCAGTCAGGGGCACGTAATACTGTAGAGGCACCCGCTGCACTCCCTGCCCGCACCGCAGGTGTACTGTGCGCACACAGTGCACCCAGGTCACCTGCTCCCGGACACAATGAGGCTTTCGGACGACGTCTTGCCCTTGTCTCCCTTTCATCGTCGTCGTTTCTCGCCTCTCTGTCGTCTGCAAAGCCGTGTCCGATGCCTCACACCTATGGCTCCTCGTGGAAAAGGGGGAGAGAAGCTCCAGCGCGTGAGCCAAGCCCTAGGTAAGACTGGTATGCACGCATATTGCCGTATCAAACCGCGAGGTATGGACATTACGTTTTCGCCTTGGTCTCCATGGCCATTACACTCTCTCAAGGGGGGTGGCGGCGCCTCCATTTACATCAAAGGGGTGGGGAGATGGCGCATTACATTGCAGGAGCAGCGCATGATTTGACACAGCTCCGTACATAATGGCTAGGCATACGTATATTGACCGCAGCTCGCCCCTGAACAACTGCATCCACCGATAGACCCGTTCGTTCTTCTCATTTGAAAGATTAACACGGGCATGAATTACCTTGATATCGGGTGTTGCCGCCAAAAGCTCCACCCAAGCGAAACAACGTCACGCAGCGGCGGTCCAGCATGCGAGCCGAATAGCAACGAAACGGCACGCCCCGCTCACTTGGCACGGCATCCCCCAAACTCCCTCTGGCATCCATCACCGCAGTGCTGAGCTGACCGTCCGCACCACCCTCTGCTCGAGCAGCAGTCGCCAAACGAAGTGCCCTGGCACGTCCGACCCTCCGAGCCGCCGCAGCGTCCGCCCTGGGACTGCTTCGACAGCCCCGCCCCAGCGCTGGGAGTGGGAGACGGGGGAGAACGTGTCTGCTTCGTCGTCTCGGGCATCGCCTTGGAAGCCCCCGAAGACGCCTCTCCGCCATCGCCCCGAAACACATTGTTCCACGGCGCGGGAATCTCCCCCGGCACCTTGGCCATCTTCTCCCGGCCTGTAAACCTCGGCGGCCCCTTGAACCGGCCCGCCTGGCAGCCCGACTCGGCCTCCCGGCAGTAGGCCTGCCACACGTCGCAATTGGCGTCTCCGCTCGGCGGCGCGCCGTCCCAGCACGTCTGGCTCTGGCGGTAGCACTCGTCGACGGCCGCCCAGCAGCCGCGCTGGTCCGAGTGCGCCGCCAGTCGCTTGCCGCACCAGTTTGCGTTCTTGATCAGGCATTCGCTCGGCACGACGCCCTGCTTCTGCGCCAGCTTGACCATGGCCATCTTGGCCGCCGCGCCACCCCGGGCCCCCACTGTGGGGACGTACACCTTGGGGCCGGGCATTGGGTATGCTGGGAGCGGCTTGCGGTAGATGCTGTACCTGAGTCCCGCGTCGGCCGCGTCGACGTGGCCGGGGATGCTGGCCTCGTACTCCCGCGGAATCTCGAGCGCCCGTCGCGGCCCCTCGTCGACAAAGACCTGGGCGCAGCCGAGGTAGAACTGGGCGTCGCCCGCGTGCACGTTGTGAAGGGCGAGGATCTCGGGTCGCACGAGGTAGTAGCCGGCCGGTAGTCCGCCTGGCAGCTGCACCGACAAGAGCCCCTTGTGGTCGATGAGCTTGTCGACACACCACTTGCCCGTGGCCGCGTCGTACCCGTCCTCCCAGATCTTGAACCAGCCCGGACCCGCGGCCTTGTCCGCGTACATGTCGTTGACCTTTTTGACGTAGACGGCGCATGGCCCTTTGTGGTCGTCGGCGATGGCACCCGCTTTCTTGCCGCTCGAGTACACGCGGAACTCAAAGGTCAAGGTCGCCTCTCGTGGCGCCGGGCAGGTGAATGCAACCGGCTCTCCGCCGTTGCGGCCTGCAAGAACCATGTCAGTCTGCCCTTGGCCCGACTCGTGGGTGTCTCTAGCCATTCCTAGTCTTTTCACGGGCAGAAGACGCACAAAAAAAGAGGGGAACTTACCACACGCCATGTCGTCGCCCGTGATGGGGTAGACGGGCCCGTTGGCCGTGGCGCTGTCATGGGGCATGCGCACGCAGGTGCCGTCGCCCTGGTTTTTGCCGTTGACGAAGAGCGTGGTGAAGAGCGTGTGGGCGCTGGCGACGGAGCCGAGCAGGCCCCCGACGACGACAGGAAGCTTCATCCTGGGGGATGCAAGGACCCGAAACAGTGACACACAATGACGGCCCGCACAGCGGGAGTCGGGGAGAAGAGAGAAGGAAGCCTGTTGTTGGTGTGTTGTCTCGCGAAGAGTCGACCTCGCTTGAGTTGTGCAGAAGAGTGAGTCCACACGGGAAATCGAGAGCCGTCAACGGCGTGCTGGAACAAAAAGCCAAGTGAATCGATGTAGAAGTGAATCGAAAGAACGAGCGAAGACAAAGAGCGACAAAACACACCCTCCCATGCAGCAAAGAATGACAGCAACAGCGAAGAAAAGAGGAGAGTAAACATGGGAGGGAAGGGACGAAAATGGGATGGGAACTGGCCCCCAAAGCTGCAGGTTCATCGTCTCGCATGGCACGTAATGGTTGGTCTATCCCAAGGCCATTCAAATTGGAGGCTCAAGCGCCGACCTTGCAGCTCTGCTTCAGGCTCCTTTTCCCAGGCTGCACCAACCAACGAATCAGCTGGCTCCAAGCCGCCGTCTCTGGAAATCAAGCCCGCCACAGGGATAGGGGGGCCCGAACTTGAAACGCTTTGGGCCGTCGGGGCAGGCCACCTCGCGCAAACGGGGTAGGAGCGGGTAACTTGGTCATGATATTTCTCAAGTTGAATGGAAGCGTGTCCTGGTAGTCGGAGACATGGCGTGAGGTTGCCATTGCGCGCAGGTCTTTGACTCTGTAACTTATATCCACGACAAGCCCTCCATCAAAGGGAGCCGACTGATTTGCTGTTGACCAACCGCGCAACCTCTTCATTTCCAAGCGAGTACACAGAGTCGAGGTGTCATTTCGGCATCTTGTGGCGAGACGTGAGCATAGACTAGGACGAGGCAAAGCGGTCACATCGGACGTAGGCAGAGACGACGAGTGGAGATTGAACATGAACCCACGAGACCGGGAAACTATCTCGTACACATGCAACACCCCCATATTCCGCCGGTGCGCGTATACGACATTCTCAGCCCGCGCGAGAGATTTGTCTTCGCATCTCCCGTTCCTCGACCGTCTTGCCGTATGGTACAATATGGTACAGTCGTTGCTCGACGCTTTTTTCCTTTTTGCTGGGTATCTTACTCGTTGATCTTGGCCAGGATCCTGCGGCGCGGCGTCAGTCATCTCTTCTTCCAAGCCCGTCGGCTTTTGTCGGTGCACTTACTCGCTGTCACGGAACAGCTGATACTCCTCATCGCCAGCCTTGACGGGCGAACCGCCAAACTAATCGCACCCCGTGTTAGCACGACGTCCACGGCAAAGCAAGTACCCCCTTCCTCCCGCGCGGGCGGAAGGTAATCCAAAGAAGACCCGACTTACTTGGGGAATCAAGACGCGGTCGCCGGCGGAAACGCCCATGGGCAGACGGTTGCCCTTCTTGTCCATGGCGCCGGGCCCGACGGCCACGACCTTTGCCTCGTTGAGCTTCTCCACGCTCGACTCAGGCAGGAAGATGCCGCTGGCCGTCTTGGTGTCGGCCTTGAGGCGCTGCACCAGCACCCGGTCCAGCAACGGGGCGAGGCTGCGAATGGAGCGAATCGACGTGGCCTGAGATTTGCCCATCAAGTTAGCCAAAGAGCGTTCGTCGACCGGGTCCCGCGGTGCCATCATCGTGGGCTTTCCGCGCAGCCTCGAGATTTGCAAAAAGGCGGGCTTAAATCGGCCTGGCCAGCGTCGCAGGCGCACGTACCATTGTGAAAGACGTGTATCGAGATCAAGCGAGGAGTCTAAGCACCGAGGAAAGAAACAATCGAGACGGGTGAAGGGGGCTAGACGGGTGAGGATATAGACGAGGTTGCCGTTGCAAGAGTCGTAGCTAGTGGAGCTGTCTTCCAACAGCTTCCAGAAAGTCAGCAATTTTTTTCCGTCCGGGGGAAGCTGGCCTCGGGATCTCGGCGCCTGATTTTCCCGATTCCGTCCTCCGCCAACTCCACCCCGTCCGTCGACAGCTCTACTATTAATCCCGCGTCCCTTAGGACATCATTTCACATCGCCTATGACATGACGAGACTTCTCTGTTTTCTCCAGCTTCTATTGCACCAGGCCTATGAGGCCATGCGTGCTGGTCCCCACGTCTCTGCCTTCTTACCAGCGTACCTAATGCTCCCCGGCATTTTCCTTATTCCCTGGCAATGCATCTTCTGGCGATGCCACAAATTCGCTGTCCGACTTCTATTCATGACCCTAACTCTTTCACCTCGAGCCGCGCTTGCCGAGGCTTCCCTGTATATACTCTTTAACCTGATTATCATGCAACGATCAATGACCCCTTATCGTCATGCGACCCGATCCTCTCCCACTCTACCCGGCCCGGCACGTCAAGAGGCCGGGCCTTTCTATTTTCCCCCAAACGCCCATATGTTGTAAAAAGAAAACAAATAATCAAGGCATCCTAGTTGTACACGTCTATTCCAGGCGTTAAGCTTTCTGTTGCGCTTGCTGCGAAGCGGGCGGCTCAAGCACGTGGGTGTGGTCTTCGGCCGAAATCACCTCGCCATTGTCAAACTGCTGGCAGATGACCGTGTCCGCCACCCACGGCTCCTGCAGTATCTCATCCATGCCCGCGCGGGCCTTTGGGTCGAGGTCCAGCATCCGATAAGTGATGCGCCGGCTCTCCCGTGGCAACAGGCGCAGGATGCGCCAGGGACCACGGATCGCCTCCCTTTTATCGGCCCCGGTGCTTGACGTCTGCTGAGTCTGGCCATCGCCAGGATTCGGCGCCGCCTCGGAGTCCTCTCGCTTGTGATGGCTAGAACGGCGATGCGAATGCTGATGGCTCTTCTCTTTGCCTTCGTCCTCAGCCCCTGAATCTCGAGACGAGCTGACGGCAGAGTGATCCGACGCCCTGAGCAGTCGGTTCGGATCGTGGCCGGGGGACGGGTCGGCGGCAAAGAGCTTGTACGAGTTGTCCGTCATACGCGGAATCTTCCACGGGAAGCGGCGAAGAGTCATGCAGCAAAAGATGATGGCCAGCGACCAAATGTCAGCAGCCGGCGCGTCGTACTCCTTAGTGTCGTACACTTCCGGGGCCAGGTACGGGTCCGAGCCGACGATGCCTAAAACGTGAGACGAGTGAGTAGGAGCGAACTCGGCGCAGAGGCTATCAGGGGGGTACGGACCTTTTGCGGGGACAGTGCCGTTTTCAAACGGATACTTGAAGACATGAGCGCTGCCAAAGTCAATAATCTTCATGATGCCCCTGTCGCTCACGACGACGTTGTCGAGCTTGAGGTCGCGGTGCGCCAGCCCCACGCTGTGCAGGTATGTGACGCCGTTCAAGATCTGCAGAAAGCAGCACCGTATTTCCTCTCGCGACATCTTGCCCGTCATGACAATAGCAAACAGGTCGTACGGCGCATACTCCATGACTTCGAACCAACGGCCCTTTTCCTGCAAAATGTCCAGCGTCTCAATGATGTTGCCATGGTGGAGCGTCGAGCCGACGCAAAACTCGGCCGTCACCTTTTTGTTGTACTCCTTTTCCGTCTCGTACGTGTGCCGGGCCCTGAACTCCTTGACGGCAAAGACGGTCCCGTCGTCCTTGCGCCTCATCAGCCGGACCGAACCCCCGGCGCCCGAGCCAAGCACCTTGCCGAGCTTGCCGTATTTGGACGTGAGACCATGATCGTCGCCAAAGGGAAGCTGTTGGCCGGAGCGCAAGCCTGGCGGGGTCTTGGTGCCGGCCTTGATGGATGCCGGGGACGCGTCTCTCTTCTTGCTGCCGTTGCTTGTCGATTTCCGGAAGAAGCGCTTCAAGTCAGCCATGGAACCGTGTTGCTGGCCGCTCCCGTGGCCCCCGTGGCCCCCGTCGCTGACATGGCCGTCGCCGCCGCCCTTGACCCCGAACAGGCCCGAGCCGCGCTTCTCTGTCAGGCTGGACCTGGATCCGCCGGGCGACCCATGCTTCTTCTTGCGGGAAAAGACGAACCGGGGGTCGATGGAATGTCGGTTGGGGTGCTGCTGCTGCGGAGGTCGGCGGCCCTTTGCGTAGGGATCGTTTGCGTCGCCGCCGGGGGTGACGGGCTTGGAGTAAAAATGCGATGCCGAGCTGCGGGAGGGGCTTGAGTCCCTGGACGCGGGCGTGGAGCCGGGGCCGACGCTAAATAGGCCTCTCCTATGCGCCTTGTGGCTGTCGGCGGATGAAGCCCTTCGCAAGATTTGGTCCGAGGACGCCGGCCGATGGGTGTTGAGGGGCCTGCGGTCTGCGACAGCGAGCGACCTGTCGTGAGAGGAGGTCGGTTGCGGGGTGATTGCCGGGGGTTCGTGGGCGTTGATGGCTCTGTCTCCCGAGCCCTTGCCGCCGAGGTGCCTCTCCCCCGTCGCCGAGGGCTCTGAGCCGGCCGGGGTCAGGGGAGGAGAGGCCAGGGCGGAGAGTCGCGGGCTGCTATGGGGTGATTGGCGACTGGAGTTGGGAGTCGGGTGTCTGGTGCATTCGGACGACTCGTCTTCTCGCGAGGGGACCTGAACGGGGGCAGGGAGGCCTCGGGTCAGTAAGCGATGCGTTGCGCGGCGCGGCAGAAAAGGCGGGGGGGATAGGGGTCGAAATACTCTCGACGGCGGCAAGGAAAAGGCCTCGAATTGAAAAGTGTTGATACGGCGTTCCTGCAGAGGGCCTCCGTGCAGCGACTTGGTCAAAGCCCTAAGCTGGTCGGGTGACACTTTGGGGGAGCCATCGTCTAAGGCGGCCGGGGGCTGGGCCCTCGTGGTGGAAGGCGAGATTTCCTCGATGGCCGAGGAGAAGCGAACAGCGGGGACATCGGGGCGAGGCTTGCCCTCGTCGCCGGGCGCATAGGGGGGGGACTGCGATGCTGTCGGGCGCAAAAGACGAGTCAGAATCGAGGCAATTGTGCCACAGAGCGGGTAGCCTCCGCCGGCGGCGACAAGGCGAGATGCGGCGCGGGGAGGATATGGGGAATGGGCACAAAGAGGATGTCTAGCGCGGAAGGGCCGGGGAAAAGGATTGGATGACGGGACGGGGATCGACATACCGGCAGCGTGTGGAATCTGGCGAAGCCGCTCGTCCTCGCTGGGCGACGGAGTAGCCATGGAGAGAAGAGTGCTGAAGGATGCTCTCTGCTGTTGGAGGGCGGCGAGGAAGCGAATGCGCGCGAATGACGGCGGGCGAGAGGAGGGGAAGGAGAAGGGGAAGGGGAAAACAAAGAGGATGTTGAAAGAGGGACGCTGTTGTAGGTGGAGCTAATGATGTGTCTGCCTGTTTGCTCCGACTTGCCAAGGTGGGTGGAGGAAGGGCGGCCGGCCCCTGGAGAGAGGGCTCAGAAAAGAGGCGGAGGAAGAGGAGAGGGCGGTGGGGACGATGCTTGGATGCAGGCCGATGGTGCAGGCCGATGGTGAGGTGGGGCGGACGATGCTGGCGGTGCAGCGGAGTGCAGCGCATGGAAGCGCTAGAATCCATCCATCATTGTCCAAGTCGAGGTACTCCGTACCGTACAGTACCTGGCCGGCTCTGCGGTGCAGTGGTTGACCAACACATCGCATGCTGTAGCTGTAGCACCTACAGCACCCCAAGGAACCTGCGTTCCACTGACCCGCCGCCCCGGGCCGGTGCCTCAACAGGACCTCCCAACGGCTGGCTCTCTTCTAATCCATGTCCGTCGAGCTTCTTGGTCTCGTCGACATGCAGATTCAAGCACGTGCCACATCGAAGACGTCGTCCCAGACAATCAAGTACCTATCCGCATCAGGCTCCAAACGTGTCTTGCCTGGGCGTGGGAGATTAAACCGATACCAGCGAGGTATCGACAATGTACTCGGCGCATCACCACAAACGGGCCTCCAAGCCGCAGACGCCGCCGCCTTGGGCATGGCGCTGCCCTCCTCGTCTCCCCCCCCTGTTGCTGGTTGATTCGCTCGCTCCCGAGTCCGCAAGCAACCTTGTCCCGAGCTCGCTACAGTACATGTTGAGGCATGATAACGTTGGCCGAGCTGCTGCTCACAGTCCGTCGGCTTGCTGGCTCGTTTGGGGGGAGCGAGGGGGGGTTGGTGGAGGATAAGAAGAAAATTATTTTTCTTATTCTTCTCGACGAACCTGCGTACTCATTGGGTGGCCAGATAAGCCTCCCAGCAAGCCATGCCCGTAGTGAATCGTGGAAACAAAAAGCTTTTGATGCCGAGTCCGTTCATCAATCACATGCTCTTCCATCCATCTTCCCGATCACGGTACCTCCCACCTCCCACCAACCACCATTCGACCGAAACATTTGAGGCTTTTTATAAATCCTGGTCCAAGTTTGCTGCTTCAACAAACAGGCTCCTGGAGCTGCCTGTCCGCCGCCGCACTTGTTACGGGCATGCGTGCGTCCACTCGCAGCCCGCCGATTCCGGCCGACCGCCTCCAGCTGGGGTGGAGCGGGATTGCGCAAGCTCCAGAAGGTACCTCCGCTCAGGTACCCGCCTTTTTCCGCTCTTGGCCGATGCACACTCCTCGGCCTCGCCCCCGGGCAAACATCCAAGCTGAGTGTATCCGTACTCAGTAGTGTACTGTACTGTACGGAGTACGTGCAGCCGTTTTGGAATCCTTGTGGGTTGTAGCAGGTCATCAAACACGAGGCATGTACCAGGACACCGCAGAGACTCGCCGACTCACTGTTCAGCCAATGGTACAATGGTAGGCACCCAGCGCGTCTACGGACCGGTACCGTCCCTTAAGCCAACCGGTTATTGTGTCTGCCTGCTGCTGCTCAACGAGACAAGATATCGGCCGAGCAAGCGGGTGCTCCCAGCTCTCGAATCCTATTCAGCTTGCTATCATGCCGACACAGTGAGTCGATAATTGACCGCCGGCTATGCACAGCAGGTGGCACAAACCCTATCATGCTCTGCCGAGGAGCGCATCGGACCGTTTCAATCTACATACAACATGCACGTCCATACGCCCAGCCCAGGTTCCATGCCTCGCAGGATATCCCCTTAGCAACTCCACCGTCGCCACATAAAATCGACAAGAATCACGCATCGACGGCTTGCTCCACATGCAAACGTAATTCCAAACCACCACCGCTGTCCAGACCAACTTTGACCCGTTTGACTCACTCGGCGGTCCGTCCCCTTGCCGTCTTGCCTGACTCAGGAGCACAACCGTCTTATGGCGGCCATTCGTAAGCCCCCCGCCATGCCCTTGCTTCGCAGCATAAACGACCGCCCGTGTCTTCTCCACCAGACAGACAGTCAGTCGCTCTGCCACCGTGCATCAAGCTGACACCTCCGACCCAAGACACCCGTCGCAAGGCCGGCGTAGACGTCAAAACAAGCGCTGTTGTTCCATTGTTCCGGCCCTGTTTGTGCACACGCATGGCCCGCAAGCCGTGGGTGGTCCAACACCTTCAGCCCTGTGCCGTGCCTCTCGTCTCAGGCAACAACGTCGACGCCAATCGACTTGCACTGATATATAATGGACCTGCAGAGGCCCTCGAGGGACAGGCCCGAGAGCCGCAGCTCCGAATGCTTGATCTTGGCAATCTCGTAGATGTGCTTGAGGCTGAGCGTGCCGACCGTCTCCTTGCCGGGATTCATCGCCCCTTTTCTGCGTCCCTTCTTGCTCATGGGAGCGTCGACGGCGTTGAGCAGTAGCCACGACGTCTGCGGCGTCCGGATGTCGAAGTGGAACGACCGGTCAGGGCGAACAACCACCCGGCACGGCATCGGCGTCCCCGGCGTGAACTGCGCGGTCCGGGCATTGAACTCCTGCGCGGTTTCGGGAATACGTCAGCGTCAGCCGCCCCGCGGGAGAGGAAGCTTTGGCAGGGAGTCGTGCCTTGCAAAAGTCCATGGACTTGACGCCCTTGCTCCCCAGCGCAGGGCCGACTGGCGGGCTTGGGCTCGCTTGCCCGGCTCCCACAATGAGCTTGACGATTTGGTTGGCGGTGCCGGCGCCCTTGGCCTTGGACATGGTGGCAAAGGTGCAGGCGCAGCAGATTGGGCGTCTTGAAGTTGTCGCGAGATTGGAGCTGTTGCTGCTGCAAGAAGCCAAAGATTTCACTGGCGGCATCTTTTCCAGCCCCACGTCGGGGGTGAATGTACTTACCCTCCGCCCGGCCCCGCTTTTATTTTTCCGCTGCTGGGCTGCGGACGTAAATTTTCCAGCGGCCCGTGAAGCATCGTCAACCGTCAAGCATCCAAGCGCTGCCTCGCCCATGACTTTTAACGTCTCCCGGAGAGTCCTTGAAACTTGATTTCGCGGACGCATACTCTTTGCATTTGCGCCGTCACTTTGCAGATCTTTGTAACTTAAATCCTCCCTCATCCTTGCAACCCCCCGGCGGCTGCCGCGACGACGGGCGGAATCCCGACGATGCCGTCGACTCACCAAAACGACAAGCCCTGGGATACAGACGATGTGGACAAGTGGAAGGTTGAGGCGTTCACCCACAAGGATAACCTCGGCGGCACCTTCACCGAGGAGTCGTCCTTTGCAACGCTATTCCCCAAGTACCGCGAAGTCTACTTGAAGGAGGCGTGGCCGCTCGTCACAAAGGCCCTCGAGAAACATGGCATCGCCTGCACCCTCGACTTGGTCGAAGGTAGCATGACGGTCAAGACGACCCGCAAGACGTTCGACCCGGCCGCCCTCTTGAATGCCCGCGACCTCATCAAGCTGCTCGCCCGAAGCGTGCCCGCCCCGCAGGCTGTCAAGATCCTCGACGACGGCGTGGCGTGCGACGTCGTCAAGATCCGCAACCTGGTCGGCAGCAAGGATCGCTTCGTCAAGCGGCGGCAGCGCATCCTCGGCCCCAACGGCTCCACGCTCAAGGCCCTCGAGCTCCTGACGGAGACGTACATTCTCGTCCACGGGAACACGGTGTCGGCCATGGGCCCGTATAGGGGTCTCAAGGAGGTGCGGAGGGTCGTCGAGGACTGCATGGCCAACGTGCACCCCATCTACCACATCAAGGAGCTCATGATCAAGCGCGAGCTGGCCAAGGACCCGGAGCTGGCCAACGAGAGCTGGGACCGCTTCTTGCCAAACTTCAAGAGGAAGACACTGAGCAAGCGCCGCGTGCCCCACAGAATCAGTGACAAGGCGAAGAAGGTCTACACGCCTTTCCCGCCGGCGCCTGAGAAGAGCAAGGTCGACATGCAGATTGAGAGCGGCGAGTACTTTCTCGGCAAGCAGGCCAAGGAGCGGGCGGCGCAGCAGGAGCGCAAGGAGAAGCAAAAGGAGCGCAAGGAGGAAAAGGCCAAGGAACGCCAGGCCGAGTTTGTCCCGCCGGAAGAGGGGGGGAGGACCAAGAAGCGGCGGAAGAAGTCGGACGAGTAGGAGGTCTCGGTTTTATCGAGGACTTGGACCCGTTACGCACACCGAGACGGTAGCTCGATACACAGGAGCTTGCATGGTTGGCACTTGGGGGGAATGGCGTTTTGATATCCCGGGTATTGCTCCTGACCTGAAAATTAAGTTCAATCTACACGGTTTCTCGAATGCATTGAATCATTTTCGAGAGTATGAAGCATAGAGCATACAAGTTGAAAGGCTATGCCCAGCACCTTGCTGATGAGCTCTCGGTGAGACTCATCCGGTCGACCCCCTTCCTTTCTCCAAGCCTCCAGTCCTTTACAGCTTGGACGACGCTTCGTCGTCGTCAATCTCAATCACCAGCTTGCCAAACTGCCTGCCCGTCTCCATGTCGGCAAACAAGCCGTCGATGGCGTCGAGGTCGCCGAGCCCCCTGACTGTCCTGCTGACGACGGGTTTCAGCTTGTGGTCGCGGACAAAGGCCACCATGTCGGCAAACTCGCTGCGGGAGCCCATGGTGGTGCCCTTGAGCTCGACGTTGGCCAGCACCGCCTGCATGAGCCAGTCCATGCGCGGCGCGGCCGTCATGCCGTACTGCGCAATGACGCCGCCGGGCCGCAGCAGCTTGACCGACTTGGCGACGACGTGGGCGCCGGCCCCGTCGACGACGGCGTCGAGAAAGGGCCGGTCGGCGGGCAGCATGGCCCGGAGCCGGCGGTCCCAGGCGTCGTCGGAGTAGAGGACGCCGGCGACGGCGCCGAGCTGGCGCGCGCGGTCGAGCTTGGCGGCGTCGCCCGAGGTGACGTAGACGCGGCAGCCCAGGGCGACGGCGAACTGGAGGGCCTGCAGGGCGACGCCGCCGCCGATGCCGGTGATGAGCACGTTGCGCCCGCCGTCGCGGCAGCCGGCTTTGGTGACGACGGCGCGCCAGGCGGTCAGGCCGACGAGCGGCAGGGCGGCGGCCTCGACGGCGGACAGGTGCGGCGGGACGGGCTCGACCTCGTCCTCGTGCACGGCAACGTAGTCCTGCGCGGTGCCCACGTCGGTCAGCTTGCTGGCGCCGGTGACGGTGAAGGCGGCGCCGCCGGGCTCCGGGCCGGCCGGGTCCGAGGCCCAGCCGCGCATCGGGGTCAGGACAACGGGCGTGTGGAGCAGCCGCCGGCGGGTGCAGGCGGCGCCGACCTGCTCGACGACGCCGCAGCCGTCGGCCAGCAGCGCGTGGGCAAAGGAGATGGCCGGGTACTGGTGGCGGCGGATGAAGAGGTCGCGGTGGTTCAGGGCCGCCGCCTTGAGCCGCACCAGCACCTCATGCGGGCCCGGCTCGGGCTTGGGGACGTGCTTGATCTGGAGCCTGCGTGTAGGGCCCCACGCCGTGGCCCGGTCTTTGGTCAACGTGCTCTCTTTTCCACGGCAGCGGACTGGGGGCTGCTCACGGGTAGTAGACGTCGCCGGGCGTGCCCTCGACTTTCTTGAGGGTGAGGACTCGCGGCATGATGGGTGGAGGAGGTGGTTGTTTTGCCTGGGGTGTTGCAGAGATCTACGGATACTGGTCAAGGAGTAAACCAAATCAACAAGCCCCGGTTTCCCTCGCTGTCTGCTCTCCCCGCGCCGCGTGCGGGGGCGCCGTGGCAAAGCCGAAAGCCGCGGCGCTCCGGCCCCGCCCGCTGCTGATGCCCAGAATGGAACCTCGCCTTGGAGGACAGAGAGAGATGCTCTGCGGGATTCAGGCCCCGGACCGGCCCGGGGGTCTGAAAAGAGGCCAGGCTGCAAAAGGGCAACGAGCGCCCGCCTCTCGGGGAGCTCGGCCAAGGGGCTGCACGGAATTCCCTCGGAGGGCGCCGGGGAAACGAGACAGGACGGCGCGTCTGGGGCGCTCGAAGTGGTCCCCGAACGGCTGTTTAGACTCGGGCACGAAGAGCGCGAGACATGGTTCTCGCTGGATTCACTTCATGGCCATGTAAGCAACGGCGGCCGAAGCCAACGCACGGGTAAGCCACATGGGCAGCCGCCATCGATTCGATCAATTCAAGAGCAAAGGAAAAGCAAAGAAACAAGAATGCAAACCCACCCCCCCTCCTCCATCGCCGTCTAGACAGCAGCCTTACCAGGTTTCCGTCCCCGAGATCCTTCGCGCCTCAAACGCCCTCCCGCCCGCTCTCCCGCCATGGTCGCCGAACCGAGCACACACCCTCCCACACGTACACACCCCAGCAAGAGAGCGCGCGCGCAGATTCAGGGTTTCACGGGCACGCAGCATCCGACGATGGCGTTGCAAACTAGCTCCCCCCCCTTCCTCCTCCAGGTCGCCGAACGCTTGCCCGGGGGCGGCGACTAGACGGCCTCCAGGAACTATGGCTCGTCTTCTGCAACGGCGTTGGGTCGAGTCGGCGTCTGGTTTGCTCCTCGTCCCCTTCCATTTCCCTTCCTTGTCGCTTCTGGTTTCCCACGAAACCGGCCACGGAAGCCCAAGACTAGGCCGGTTCATCTGGTGGAGAAGCTTGGATGGTTAGAGCCCGACGTCTTGGCCACGCATGGAGATATATAACTAGTAATTCTTCTCGGCGGTAAAGCCATCTTCACATCGTCTCCCCCATCTGCCACCAAGAGCTTTTGAATGTGTTTACATACATGTACTGTCCATCCTCGGGGAGAAACACCACACGGCGGTATAGGGTAGCCAGGACACCATGACGGCGGCGGTCGCCTCGGGCCTCGCTTTCGGGGCCGCCATGACGGCGGCCGGCTTCCACGATCCCTCGCTCGTCGTGGCCCAGATGAAGTTCCAAGACTGGCACATGGCCCGGGTCTTCATGGCGGCAACAGCCAGCAGCGCGTAAGGAGCCCCCTTCCACTCTTCTCAGATCTATCTCCTTGGTTGGTCCGTCACTTACACCAAGGCCATCTACTCTCGCAGTGTCATCTACGCCATAGCGGAAAAGCTGGGCTACATCAAGCTCCCGCCCAAGAGCTCCTCTCCCATGGGCCTCTTCGGCCGCTACGACGGCAACTTCCTCGGCGGCGCGCTGCTCGGTGCCGGCGTCGCCCTCTCCGGGGCCTGCCCCGGCTCGCTGTACACTCAGCTCGCGACCGGCCTCCGCTCGGGCTTCTACACCCTCGGCGGAGCCGTGGCGGGCGGCATTGCCTGGAACGGGATTCTCGGCGGCGTCGTGCGGCGCTGGCGCCACGAGGCAAACGTCAGCCCCGAGCCGCGCGCCGTGCACGAGCAGCTCCGTCTCTCGAGAACCACAACACTGCTCCTCCTCGAGGCAGTCTGCCTGGCCGTTATGGCCCTCACAGCCCGCCACGCCCGGCCCAGCGCAAACGTGAAGCCCACCGGCGCCGTCGCGGGTCTGCTCATTGGGTTCGCGCAGCTGGTGTCCGTCGTCACGCGGCGGGCCATGCTCGGTGCCTCGGGCGCCTTTCAAGAGGCCGGCCGCCTATTCCTGGAGCTTGCCGGCGGATCGCACCTCAACGCGAAATTCGGCCGGTACCAGGACCTCGTCTTCGCCTCGAGCGTCGCGGCCGGCGCGTGGGGGACCCTGCAGGCGGTTCCGGCGCTGGCGGCCGGCCCTATGCTGGAGTTGCCGCCGTTGTTGGCCACGGTAGGGGGCGTGTTGATGGCGATTGGGGCAGCCATGGCGGGCGGGTGCACGTCCGGACACGGCATCAGCGGCATGTCGTTGCTTTCGACATCGAGCTTCATCACCATTGTGAGTATGTTCGCGGCGGGAGCGATGGTGACACCCCTTGTATATTAGACCATCTCCTCTGCTGTGCCACGAATAAAACAAGAAATCCCAGCGGCATGCGGTCAGTATTCTTTTGCATCACAAGCTTTCCATTTACCCGCAAACGCTTGTTTCTCAGCGTTTCCTGGCCGTTACCTCGATTTCAATCTTCATCTCCTCCTTCATCAATCCCGACTGCACCATTGTCGCGGCAGGCTGCACGTCACCGAACCACCTCCTAAGCACCGGCCACGTCTTGGGAAATTCTGTGCGGTCGGGCAGTATGTACCGCACTCGGACCACGTCGGCCATGCAGGAGCCTGCTTCCTTGAGGGCCTTGTCGATGTTGGCAAGTGTCTGCTCCGCTTGCTCGGCTACGTCTGGCGAAATCTCCCCGGTCTGGTAGTTGTATCTGGACCAGTTGGCGAGGCTGTACCCGAGAGGGCTGGAAAGGAGCCGCCGTCAGAACTCACCCCGTGGTCCCCGAGACCATGATCCAGCCATCGACGGCAACAGCCCGCGAGTATCCAATCTCGGCTTCAAAGGCAGAGCCGGAACTGATGTTGCGGCGAGCCATTGCCGCAAAGCTGCCGCCGTGAGAGGCCCTGCACGGAATGACAAGGGGAATCGGCGTTGGTCTTTGGCTTGTGCAGATTGGGCCCGTCACTTCGGAGGGCTCTTGTCTGCCGTCGGCTGAGCTCGCAGCCCACATGCCGGCAGTGAGCGCATGGCTGTTTGGCGGGGTTGCGGCTGAAGCACGTGGGAGCTACGGCTTCGCATCCGGCTGGCATCCTTCAGTTCCAACGTCGCAGGCAGGCAATCGATGATGCGCAAGCTTTGATTCGCATCTACCGCCGCAAGTGAATGATGCCGCGGCATGTGTGCTGCCCCCAAGACTGGGAGACGGTCGGGAGCAGCACAATGTGACTCAAGTGAAGTTCGGTTCCCAGATCGACGCTCAGACGGCCCGTGAGACGAGAAGAAAGAGAGGTGCTGGTGCTTGCATTCATACGAACTTCTTTCCCGTACACGTATCATACAGGGCAGGTCGGCCGCACATTTCGTCACTGGCCGGCCAGCTCCTTCACCAGCGCGATGACCTGCTTCTTATCCACATCCTTGCCAGCCAGGGCACCAGAAAGGCGTTTCATGACGTCGCCCACGAGGGCCTTGGCCGCCGTTCCAGCGCTCTGGGACGCGGCGACGGCATCCTGTACCAAGGCTTTGAGCTGAGTCTCGCCCAGAGACTCGACGCCGCTGCTTGCCAGGTAGTCTTGGAGTATGCGGATCTGCTGGACCTCCTTGTCGACGAGGTCCTCCCTCCCAGCGGTCTTTGCCTCGGCGGCCGCTTCCTCGGCGCCTTTCTGGATCTTGCGCATCAGGGCCACGAGCTGCACGTCCGTCTGGATGGGGGTGGCCGTCTTGGAGGCGTTGAGGTTGGCGGACATGATGGCGCGCAGCACGGCGAGGCGGGGGGCGTCTTTGGCCCGCATGGCCGACTTGAGGTCGCCCTTGAGCTTCTCGAGGAGTGGAGGCGCGTCTTGCGAGGCCGTCGTGTAGAAGTTGGGAGCTCCGAGGGCATATCGCCAAGCTGCTTCTCGCGGGAGGAGACGGGCTGGTTGTGGCGAGCGCAGGCCCGCGAGGAGGGCCACGCGAAGAGGTTGCGCCATGCGATTTACGATGCGCAGCAGCGCAAAGGGGCGATGAGGAGGGTGGTAGGGAGACGCGGAAGCGAGTGAAGAAGAGGAAGCGTGAGGCCAAAAGCGTGCACAGTGCGGAGAAAGTGGCTTCGATCACGGCATTGACCAACCAGAGTCGGGCTGGGCATTGGTATGTCAGGGGAGCAATGTGCGGAAAGATCCGAGCTACGGTACTCGCTCCATAATAATAACACGCCCAGAAACGCTGTGCGACCCTGGAAAGCTCTACTTGCCGTGGATCGTGCAGCGGCGAATCGCTTCTTCCCGCCCGCAACTTGCTGCGACGATGCATCAGCCCTTGTTGCTCCATACAGCGAAGCCAAATTGACTATATCTTGCATCTCTCACTTGTGTCAAGCATAGTGTCTACTAACCCGGCTTGCCAGGTTCAACAGGTGAGGGAATCTCTTCTCCCACAAGCACCCAAACTTTAAGAGCTCAAGGCGAGTTGAGCCTCGGGCTGATCCAAGGAATAGTACGCCTGCAGGTTGCCAAGCATTCATTGCCGAGCCCCTTGCAGTTCTCACTGGTTGTCATTGCCGTCGTCGTTGCATCATCTGACGCTTGCAACGACCAACGCCCGCCCACCCGGCTGCCCAGACCCATTGGCAACCAAAAGGCCATGGTCCCGGCGCGAGCCGGAGCTGATGGTCGAGCCACATGTCAAGGCCAAAGTCCCTCTGATCGTAGCGGCGGCAGAAACGGCGAGCGCGGCGACAGGGGTTGACCCGTCCCCGTTGTCCGCGCCTGCGGATGTCCATGTTGGCAAGCTCGCTCGTCTCTTGCCGCCATGATGTAACGACAGGCGCTAAACGTAATCACGCTGCGTCCCCGCTAGTTGGTTCCGTAATTAGGTAGCATATAGAAAGAGCGTGCGTATATACTCATGGTGGCGGACGAGCCGGACCCGTCGGGGGTTGGCGAGTCGAGCTACCACCAACACGACCGCTCTCTCTGCAACGACATGGGGGTCAGAGATTGGCTTGCTGTCGCCGTAGCTGGGGGGAAACCGAGCGAGCAATGGATCCCTAGTCGGCGACTATGTAAGAAAGTGGCCGAGGTAAGACAAGGGAAATGGCGAGTCGGCACACCTCACCTCTGTCTATACCCAGCCGTCGCCGCCCCTTTCTTGCTGCGGCTGAAGGCGACTTGTTTTCTGCGCTGCCAACGGCCCCTTTGGCGCCTTTCTCGTCGTCTGCCTCGGCCGCTCGCTGCCCAACCGCCCAATCAGTGGCCTCGCTCGTCAAGGATTCCGCGTCTGTGAGGGCCTTTTGCAACGGACATCTGCATCGCTGCTGTCTGCGCAGGCTGCTGCATCGGCACGCATGGTGCGAGGAAGAGGGGAGAGGCGCTGAGTCTTGGTCGGTTGGTTGATGAGGAGGCGTCAAGCTAAAAAAAATAGAGCCACCTTGGGCAAGACAAGGCATCCATGTTCAAGTGAAGGAAGGTACGACTACTCCCCGTAGGCAGGCAGGCAGGCAGGCAGGCAGGCAGGTGCCACACACCCAGTTCCTGCCGCTCCATCTATCACTGTCAGCCTCTTTCTCCAATCCTGCAACTGGCGCTCTCTTCGCTTCTCACGACAAAACAAACCACCAAAGAACCCGTCATCCGGCCATGCCCCCTGCCCTCCCTCCTAGCCTCGACGACAGACGCCACGTCCACAGCCTGTCGCTCGCCGGACGAGACGCGCCTCTGCCCTGAGCGGCAACTGCAACGCACGCCCTGGCTCCTTTCCCCGCTGCGGGTGGCCTGCGAGGACGTGCTATCGCTGAGGCTTGCGGCCGATACAAACGTAGCTTTGGTCGACAGCGTTAGCGTTCCCGAACCTCGTCCTCCTGGATCCCTGGATCCGCTACTCACAGAGGAAAATATGCCTGCCAGAGGCCTGAGCGTCAGCACAGTGGTCACGTCACGAGGACGAAAAGGCTGTTGGACAACGGCCCAGCACGACGACGACGGCTTTTTCGCACCTTGAACGAAGGATCGCGGGCTTCTCTCCTTGCCTGCTCAACAAGACTGTCAAAGTCTTCAATCGACATGCTGGTGCCACCTTTAGCCGCCTGCCCACCGATATCCTGGGGCCGCCATGTCTTACCCTCGCAGCCGGGTGAAGGGGTACAGCGCCAGCGAACGAAGCAGTTGAGCCACGTTTTCGCTGTTGGCTGCTCCGATATTGCGCTCCCGCGTTTCTGCGTTTGCCCTCGGGTCAGACTCGGCTCGCTCTCGCCGTTGGCTCTCGGGGGGCACAGTACCGCTCGGCCAGGCGCACATGGGCAATGTCAACAGCCTCGACTCGACTTCGGTGAAGCCGGCGCTCCTCATCCAGCCAGGAAGCTGCAGAGCCGCTCGGGGGTCTTTATGTGGGTGCAGCGTGTTGAGATATTGGCTCGACCACCGGGACAGCCCATGATCTAGAGGCTCCGTTCCCGTCAGCACCTTTCCAACCGCCTCGCCACTCGGTCGCGCCATCGTGGACTGCTCGCCTCTTTCCAGTGTTCCGTTGTCCGACTGGGCGTTGAAGTATATCTCAACCATCTGGCACCATCCCCCTGGCCGGAGCACGCGCAAGATGTCCTGCACATAGCTCCTCCATCGGTTCGCGTGTATCCCACCCGCCATCATCTGGCTGTGTACGACGTCGAATTGGTCCGGCGAAAAGGTGAACCTGCGACTTTACGCTCAGCACGTCGTCCCTATCTGTCGTCGACGGTGCTGCTCAGTGCTGACCGTCCATTGAGGTCGTCGATTTGTATTTCGAGGTTGGGCGGCAGATCGTCTGGGATCATGTGTGGGCTGAGATCGATGCCCAGAACCTAGTCATTACCGTCAGCTCCAGGACCGCCAGTATAGAACCAGTGTTCCATGTCGACAGGTGCCTCGCGGGCCGGGGCTTGCTGGCCGCCCAGTCGCGGCGAGAGAGGCGAATTCCTCTCCCAGGGGGCCCCGAGGCCTCACACTGGCGTCTCTGGGACTCGAAAACGGCAGAAACCCGTGTCGATGGTTTCCAACCCGCTCGGCAGTGCTGGTCGCCATGGGGATTGTATAATTTTGTACATGGTGGTCGGCACAGACGGTCGGAATCGAAATTGCCAAACGCACCTCGCAGTCGGGGAACCGTCTCGCGACGTCGACGGCCCAGTCTCCAGCTCCGCAACCGCACTCTAGTATTCTGCTCGGCGAGCCAACCGGTGGGAATATCAGTCGGTCGTCGAAGACTCTGCAGAGCACAGAGTGCATCAACTCCAGTCGCGAGATCTCCTCCTGCCCTGGTTTGTTAGGGGCTCAGGAGCGAGCGTCCATCAGTGCTTCCACCCGGGGGTATGGGCTGCGGCTTACCTCGTCGATGGGTGCAAAGTAGGTACCGTTTGTCAGGGCGTACTTTTGATATGTTCGGCCCAAGAGATCGACCGTCTCCGCATAGGACTCGTCGAGGGGAACTGTTCCGTCTCTTCAGGGGCCGTTAGCCCTGCCACGCACGCGTTGATCAAGGGGGCGTTTCTGACTCTGGATCCATCGTGGGCTGCTAAAAAAGCACGTCAGATAGCCTCCTGCTCGACAGTCAACTACAACAAAGAGCAGTGGGCTAGTGTCGGTCGGAAAGGACGCCGGGACGGTTCGGCAATGGCCGTGTCGAAGCCGCTCTGGTCCTATTCAAGGCTAGGCAGTCTGCGGTACCTGGAGCGTGGCCCCAGTCCACCCATATAGGAGCCCCTCCTCCTCCCAGTCTCCCGGGACGACTCGACAGTCTGCTAACGGGGCAGAACTGAGCCCTGGGGAGAGAATACGCAACTCAACGGCTCTCCTGCGATGCTGGCTAGGTGCGACTATTTACCAAGCACTGCAGGCTGATATGGCGACTTTGTTTGTGTGGAACAGCTCGCGACGCTGTTTCCATGGACCTTTCTTCGCTGGACGGCTACCGTGCGTGCTGCTCTCCTATTAACGCAGCCTGCTTGTGCCACCTCAATCGCGAGCCAACATCCGAGTCAAGGGGCCGTGTCTCGAGGAAAGACGAGGGACAAACTGTACGGTTGAGTAGAATGGACGAGCAATGACGCACAGAAAAGTCTCGCCCGAGGCTGCGATAGGTGAAAAGACAAAGGAAAGGGCACGGGCCGTTGCAGCGGATGCCTTCAGCCTTGGCCACTGGGGCCAGTTCTCGGCTTAAACCTCTCGATGTCGCTGCCAAAAGCTTTCGAAGATTTCATTCATGGCTCTGGCCTGAACGCATACATTATTGGCGTGTCAGGCCGACTCCAGCATTCGGCATGGGGCATTGCTTCTCCAGGCCCGGTCAAGCCGGCTGCGTGGCCACTACATGTCATTCTCTTCGATGATAGTTTACCAGATCAGACGGTGGGACAGTGTTATGCTCAGTACACAAAGGAACACGACGATCTGTAGCCAGAGTCCAGCCACGCAGTGGGATCATGCTGCTGCGCGACCTTGTTTTCAAGCATTTTGCAATCATGACGCCACCAGGATCCCTCACCGAGAGTGAAAAGACTTCACGCACAGATCGATGCCCTAAAGAAACGCACGTCAAAATACAAACCTGGGGGCTAAACGCGGTGGGGATTCAGGGCCGTAAACAAGAATGCACGGGCCTGTTTTAGGAAAGAAGGCGTGCGGCGCGTGACGGCTCGTGTTTGCATGGTCAGAAGCCTATCAAGTGGCACGGCGTCATGCAATATCACCATGGACACCAGAATTCTAGTCCTGCCAGGGGAGGGATGGGACGGGACGCGATAAGAACACAAGTCCGCGGCAAGCTTTCGATACCGGGGACATGGACCCGGAACGAAGAATCGAGAGACAGCCATCAGGAGAAGCGGGGGCAACAAGATGCTTCAAGACGAAGGACGAACTGCCAGGCAAGGCACGAAACTACACGAGATGGGATCCATGGCTTGCAAGACAGAAAACAATCCATGGCCAGTCGGCAACACAGCCGGACCATGGGCAGCCCGAGTTTGAAGAGAAGCGGCTTTATTCTCTCGCCCCTCCGAGTGTGTTTCCATTCTGGCCATGCCTGGGCAATGGGGATGTGCCGGTAAAAAAGGGCTGCTGCATCCAAGCAGCCACGAAACTGATCCACAGGCCAAGAACCCTGATATGCTTCATGGCCCTGGTCGCTTAAGGATGGAGAGGGGCTTACCGGAGAGCAGAAAGATTCGTTGCTACACTGCCGTTGGACCACAAACGGCCTGCTCACCGCTTCGTGACACGGCATCTCATGTCCGGGCTCACGCCTAGAGGGCACACATGGCGTCGTTTGCACAAACGGTCCCCAGCAGTTGTGGCACCTGTGAGGCAGACAGCCACGTTGTTACACCGGGGACCGGTACATGATGTGCGTACCTAGTCAGGGCTCAAGGGTTGCCACGCCGTCTGCCGGGAACTCGGGCGGCATAAAAAGAATTTATAGGTCGCCCGCTTCGCTTGCCCAGCAGCTCGCAAGTATTAGCTGACGAGCCGGCGGCGTGGCCGGGTGAGCCTTGCCAGGCCACCAAGCCGGCTGCGTGCGCACAATGAAGCGAGCGTCCACGGAATTTACTCTGACCAATGTGGCGGGTCATGATGGGCCATGGCAATCTTTGGAAGTCCGGGGTGGGTAGCGTCAAGCTGCCAGGGTCCCCGCGACGAGCCGCAAGTGCGTTTTGACCCCTGACTATCTTTGTGTAATTTGTTTGATTTTCTCACATGTTTGAAGCCGCAAGTCTGGGGTTGCTTCTGCACCGACAGGGCATGACGGAAGCCGCCGTTTGTCAGTAGTTGTGGGTTGAAGAGGCCTGGTGCTCCCCCGGTGGTGCAGGAACTGCTGGGCGTGGAAGACGCCGAGACCAGCTATCTGCCCATATGGGGTCATGGCTAGTCATGCCCACCGTCGTGGCACACACTCGGCTGGCCGGCGAGTGCGGCCGGGGGAGACCAAGGCGCACAGAGGTTGCCGACGCAGACGAGTAGTCTGCTCGCTGTTGCTTCAAGCTGAGCCGAGACATGCAACTCGGCCGGTGACGAAAGGGGAATTGCTGAAGATGAAGGTTGGCGACTTGCCATTTCGTACAGGGGTCAACCTTGTACAGCCCCTTTTTTTGCCGACCCAAGCTCTCGGGATACCCGCGCGTGTGTGGGGGGACGAGCCCACGGCCGGCTGCTCGGGACCTGGGCGCTCTGGTGCAAAGCCAAGACTGGAATGTGAGCGAGGACGAGGGCGGCTCGGCACGATGCAAGTATCTGTGCAACACGCAAGCTCCGTGGCCTTTTATCAATCAGCGGCGCCTGGAAGAGCACACATGCGGCAGAGGCCCGGAAGATGTGGCTCGCGGAACGGCCCTTTTCGGCCCACGAGGGGAGAGGGATGTTGGGAGCTCGGGAGAGATGACTGAGACGAGGCGCGCAGCACGGGACCAACCACATTCCTTCATTGCAAACGGGCGTGTTTTCTCTCCCTTGGCTTCAAGATACAAAACTCGGCCTGGCCCCAAATATGAACGAACTCCTGCACGCAAGCCTCTCTACCCTCTACGCCGTCCCGTATACCCGACGCCCCCCTTTCTTCCTCTCATCCCCCTTGTGCACTCCTAAATCCGGAGGACTGCACTCTCTCTGCTTGTGATTTGTGTCTCCCGATTTTCTCTTTTCCATCCCCGCGGCCTCATTCCCCTGGCAATCCTCGTCTAGCTGAGAGAAGCATGTGCCGTCTGTGGAATCCAGGCAGGGACTTTGTACAAAGTCCCTCGTATATCTCCTCAAACTAAAAAAAGATACCAGAACAGTCAGGCAGAGGAAATCCCCGAGTTAGGGGTGAGGCGTGTGCATGCCAGTCTTGCTTCCCTACCAAGGGGGATCTCAGCCAAAAAATAAAACGTGACACATCACATCAGTGATGCTCGCGCAATACATCCAGCGGCGTTTCCAAGCCCGACCCGCCATTGGCCGACCGCCACGGGCGTCTGCGAGATGCGACGCGGTACACCAGGGCGTACCTTGTCTCTGCGCCCCTCCATTCTATTTCCCGTGAGCGCCGTCGACGTGGCGAGTACCACGAGCTTGGCAGCATCGATACGTGTCAGCTGGACGGCATCCCGCACGCCTCGCGCGGCTCGATGGCATGCCAGACACGGGAGGGTTCCAAGACAGGGAGGAAAGAAGATCATGAGGTAGGTGGTGGTTGGCCGTTTGTTTGCTCGTAAGTGACGCGTCCGGCACGCAAGAGGGGGTACATGGAAGCAGGAGGAAAAGGTCTGAGGTGAGCTGGATCCGTCCAAGCTCCTCAGCACCAGGTAAAGACAGGGTTCCTGCTCTTGACGGCCTCGAGGCGCTCCACAATGACCTTGCGCTGGTTGCCCATCTGGCCCTCGGCGGCGGCATAGCCCAGATCTCCGTCAAGGTCGTCGCTATCGTGCGCGTCGTGCGTGTCGCCCCCATAATGCTGGTGCGCCATGCCGTTGCGGCTGCGGCGCGCGGCCGCCGTCGCAAACGAGTACCGCCGTTGTTGTTGGAGACCGTGCCGTGGGGGCTCGTAGACGTTGAGGCTCCGCGTGGGGCCCTGGTAGCTACCCGTGCTCTTGGGCTCCAGCGGCGGCGCGTTGCCCTGCTTGTCGGCGGCGTCGGCACCGTTTAGAGGCGACTCGTTGGGCGGCGACTGTGTGCCTTCACCACCAGGGCTGGACAGTTCGAATCGTCCCGAGCGGGGCATGTCGACGGGGGCGCTCGCGAAGCCAAGCAGATCCTCGGCGGGCCCATGGTCCGCCGGCGCCGAGCTTGCTATGTCCGCCTCGTCCATGGACTGGCGCATGTGAGCCGTGCGACGAATCTCGGACGACGTGGCCCGCATCGGCACCGCCACGGGCACGTCGACGAGGTCGTCCCAGACGCACACCCGGGCGCGGCGCGTCAGCTCCAGCGGCCCGTGGTCCGACGACTTGAGGGCCTCGACGACGTTCCACGCTTGGCCCTTCATAACGGCGATTTGCTTGGCAAACATGCGCTCCTGAAAGTCGTCGTCGACTTGAAAGACCCGCTTGAGGGCCATCTGCGTCTGGCTCCACCAGGCGGTCGAGGTGAGCAGCGGGAGGAAATGGTCTCGCGTCTTTTGCGAAAAGGGGCGGCCAATCAGATCAACAGGCAGAAAGAGCCAGCCGAAGGGAAAGCTTCGACAACGTCAGTAACCGTCTCGACTCATTATCATGCGCCCCCTAATCCTCCCCCTTCTCCTTCGCGCTTGTGCCGAGGCTGAGACGGAGAAACTCACCTTCGCCAAGCATCCGGGTGCTTCCACGGCCACGATAGGGAGTTGTCGATGGCGCCGATGGACATCTTGGGCTCGCTTCCGGTCGACCGCTGGCTCGACGCGTCCATGGGCTTCTGGGCTTTGTAGGGGTACGAGGCCCGGGCGGCCGAGGGAGGCACCTGAGAGGCATCGACCGGCCGGGCCCCGTTGGCCTCCGTCGGGGGCTCCATGTTCAGGTGTACAGGCTCTGACACCAGAGACACCTTGCCTGCCTCCCAGTCCACCTTGACCATCCAATTGTCGAGTCCCCGATCCGTGTTCCTCATGATGTAATCCAAAATCACCAGCTTCTCAAGCTCCTCGCGAAACGACTGCTTGAGCGGCTCGGTCCACACGAACCGAGGGGGACCCGATGGTTCGTCCCTCGGAGTCTGGCTCTCGTCGTCACTAGAGTCCTGGTCGTTGGGCGAGCCAGATGTTGATGGCCGACAGCTTTCCGTCCATCGCTTCCTCTTGTTCCTATGCGTGTCGTTGGCTCTGAAGCCCGATAGGTACTGATCCGGCCAGGGGTGCTCTCGCAGAAAGACGTTGGCGTCCTTGAAGCCTTTGAGGAAGACTTGGAAGCTGCCTGGCTTGGCCGGGAAAGGCTTCTTCTTTCGATAGAACCTCCGGCGATCCCAAAATGGATAGTGGAACGACTTGGACGAGAGCCACACGACGTCCGTGTATGGGACAAGATGGGTTCGGAGTTGGCAGTCGAGGACGTAGGCAGCTGCTTCGCTGACGTAGGACAAATTCGGGATAAGACTGAAGAGCCGGGTGAGCAATCTCTGTGAAAGACATTGGGGGCAAGGCGCGCGGACTCACCAAGCTCGTCCAAAACAGCACGGAAACAGATTCCTGTGAATCCACTTGTTCCACTTGGGGTTCCCGGCGGCATAGGGCTCCTCATCCTTGGGCTTGAAGACGCCCACAATCTTGCCATCTGGATTCCGGGCAAAGTAACTGCCCGAGCTGCCCTGCGATATCATGCTTGGGTGTATTTCCTGGCGGATGGCGGTGCGGACGCTTTCGACGACGGCGTCAAACTCAGCCTTTGTCATGAAGCCAGGCGGTGGCTCGGCCATGGCCTCGGCAGAGATTGGGCGGACGCCGTCGGGAGGTTGGAAGACGGAGTGGTGGATCTCCAAGCGGTCCTCCTCGCCCAGCTGGCTCTTGCCCCTGCCACGCTTGAAGCGAGAGGCGATTTCATCGGCCCAGCGTTCGAGTCTCGCGTTGATGGCTTTGAGGTCGACGCCAGCGTTGCTCCCTCCGCGGTGTCGGAACTTTGGTCTCGAGGAATTGCGCCTCGGACTCGACACGCCTGAGCGGTGGTACGGCTGGGTTATCGGCGCATGGCGGGGCGCGGAGGCGGGCTGGAGGGAGGCAGAGGATTCGGCGAGGAAGTCATCGTCGGAGTCGTCGCTGATCTGATCGGCCTGGGTAAGGCGTTCGTAGCCTGTCGTGGCGGGCCGGTCGCGAGGCATGGCCGCGGTGAAGAGTGAGGCGAGGTCACGGCAGCGGGCGAGCCATTACCCCGTCCGTCGCGGACGCTCCGATGGCAAGCGGCAAGTTCAGCCGCGCCCGTTCGCGTAGCACGAGCGAGTGGGAAGAAAAGAGCAAGGATGGAGGAGGGGAAAAAGAGCGCGCTGTCCTTGTGGCGGGCCGAGGCGACAGCCAATAGGGGAGACGAATGCCACGGTCGGATCTTCGGCAGACCAGGAAGAGGGACTGGGCCCGGTCTACTGTAGGCAGACAGTCTTGGCGATAGGTCGATGGAAGGGTAGGTACAGTATTCGTGCAGTAGGTAGGTAATTAATTAGGGATTGAGACAAGAGTGACGAAACAAACGAGATTCGGGAACCTGGATGATGACAGGTTCCCGGTCAGTCCCGATCTGGTTTAGGTAAGCAGCGCTACGGCAGACCGACGATCCTCTTCCATCTCGAGCCAAAACCCAGCATCCCGCTGACAAGGCGTTGAACAGCGGCGCGAGGCTGTGTCTGCCACCGTGATTTGCTCGTATTTCGCATTCGCCGGGATGCCGCAGTTAACGTCGCGTCAGCACGATGCATCGCCAGGCGTCTCGCTGACGGCTGAGGAGGGGGCCCAGGCAGCAGCTCTGGCCATGGGCTCCAGGCGGCGGCCTCTGGCGAGTATTTAACAGAGGCTGAGTGCGGATGGTTTGGCCGTCTTGATGCTATCAGATGATGGAGCAAGAAATCGACTTTGTTTACAAGAAAAATGGTGGCTCTACAGAACCTCTTCTTCGTCTCTCTCGCAGCTCTGCTGCCCGCATCGCACGGTCTGGCCACGCAGAGCCATGGCCGCCGTTGTCGCTGCCGGCCCCAAGAACCGTGCTGGCCTTCTCACCATGAATGGCAGGCCCTCAACTCGTCCATTGACGGCACCCTCGTCTCCGTCCGTCCAGCAGCCTACGCATGCCACGGCCCGGCCTTTGACGCCGTCGCCTGCAATGCCTCCTCTGCCCTGTCATCCAACTCTGTCTGGCGTGCTTCTCAGCCTGGTGCTGTGCAATGGACTAACTGGGAGGCATGGCCGGAGCGCAACGAGAACTGCTTCTTCGACAGCCCCACGAGCTCCCCTTGCCGTCAGGGCCGTGTGTCGCTTTTCTCGGCCATGGTGGAGAGGGCAGAGCACATCCAGGCCGCGGTGCGCTTCGCGGCCACTCACGACCTCCGTCTTGCCATCAAGAACTCAGGGCACTGCTTCATGGGCCGTTCAACCGCGCCAGAATCGCTGCAGATTTCGACAACCAAGTTGAAGAGCCTCAGCTTCACGGACCGCTTTCTCCCTGCTGGCGCGCCCCAGGGCCAGCCGGACCAGGGCTCTGCCGTTACCATTGGCGCTGGAGTCGACCTCAAGGAACTGTATACTGCCGCAGCGAGGCGAAACCTGACCGTGGTCGCTGGCATGGCACATACGGTCGGAGCGGCAGGCGGCTACATCCAAGGCGGTGGCCACAGCCCACTTGGGAACTGGAAAGGCATGGGCTCGGATAATGCTCTCGAGTTTACCGTTGTCAACGCCAAGGTATGATCTGCGACCTAGTCGCTGTCTCTAATCAGCTCAAAAGACTAATAGCGAGTGCAGGGTGACGTGGTGATTGCCAACAACCATCAGAACCAAGACCTGTTCTGGGCGCTGCGAGGCGGCGGCGGCGGCACTTTTGGCGTGGTGGTGAGCGTCTCTGTGCGCACCTTTCCCAGCGTTGCGGCCGTCTTTGTCGAGTTTGGCTTCGCGCTGCCCAAAGGAAGCACGTCGGCCTACTGGGAGCTCATCGAGAAGTTGCATGCTCGCCTGCCGGTCATCTCCGACGCCGGCGGCTGCGGGTACTACTTTGTCATGCCTAAAACCCAGCCACAAAACGGCACAGAGGTGCTGACTCTTTCCGGTGGCTTCGTCTTTCTCAACGACACGCGGACGGACAAGGCCCGCAAGGCCATGAATCCGCTGGCGGCCGACTTGCGTCGACACGCCCTGCCCGGGTCGGTGTACAACGTGGGAGTGGTCCCGCAGTTTTCCGAGTGGATCAACACGGCGCTCAAGGGCGATGCGGATACCACGGGCGGGATCCTCTTGCTCGGCTCTCGGATGGTGTCGCGCGATTTCCTGGCCCGACCCGACGGCCCCGGACGCCTGCGGGACGCATTGAAAGATGTCCACGAGAGCATGGGCGGCGTGGGATTCACCGGGCACGTCGTCGCCGGCGGAGCCGTGGCCCGCAGCACCGTCGACTCGGCCCTGAACCCGGCGTGGAGAAGGACGCTGACGCACATTGCCTTTGGCGCCGACTGGAACAGCTCCACGCCGGCGGCCGAGCAAAAGGGCATCCAGGACAAGATGACCAACGTGGCGGTGGAGCGGCTGAGAGCCTTGGAACCGGACATGGGGGCCTACCTGAACGAGGCGGATGCGTACGAAAAGGGCTTTCAGCGGTCCTTTTGGGGCGTCAACTACGAGCGCCTGTACGCCATTAAGAAAGCCCAGGACCCCATGGGCCTGTTCATTGCGCGCAAGGGGGTCGGCAGCGAGGACTGGGACGACGCTGGGCTCTGTAGGGTTTGGTGATGGGAACGGGCCGCGCTCTCTGCGACGTCACCCTTGGGGTTTTCAGCGAGGAGAAGCCAGGGTCAGGGGTGGATTGCACGCGCTTCTCTCTTTTTGTAGACTTGTCTTGTTAGCGTGAGTGTGCAAGACAGGAATAAGTGTGAAGAAGTACGTAATTAGGGCTCATTATCCACCGAGGAGTGGGACATGGGCGTCGAGTATAGACGGGCTGACGATCATACGATGGCGCTCGTTAGACTGAACGCAGCATGCAATATATTTGCTATTGACTCTTTCCTGTCATCAGTATCCGTAGGTATTCTGCACCTCTTCTATTACAGTACAAATATTAAGCCCGGAAATAGACAAGTACATGCATGGGCGCTCCATCGGCTTCTGAACACCCGAGACGCTCAATCCTGGCATCGTGGTCCTGTGCCGCAGGAACCCGCTGCCGGATCGACCGAACAGGACATGTGCGGCAACGCGGAATATCATGCTCCATTGGGTGCTGGTAGCCACGCCACAAGTCGGCTTCAGCGTTGGGCCCGGCGGAGCATGCTGTCGTTTTCCCTCGCGGCCCTTTCCTTGCCGCCACCCCGGTCAGTAGCGTCTATTTATTCGCCTATACGAGTTGTTATCCACGGGTGCCGAGATCAGCCCCCCTGGGGCACGCCGGGAGACTGAGGCCGTTTGTTTTTCCCGCGCGGCCCCGCGGCCGAAATGAGTCAGCTCCCCGGGGCGTCTGCCGACGGTCCGGATTTGACGTCACGCCGGAGTCTGGACGGAAGATGCAGAGAATTTTTCTCCCCCCCCCAGCGCCGGGGATGGGCCACCTGTCCTCATGCTGTATGGTACTATAGCCCATGATGCAGTGATATACTTCGTATATCCGTGGCGAGTGGGGGACTTTTACGAGGAAGAAAGGCGGCAGAAGGGACGCCAACACAGTCCAAAACTTGACTTGACTTGGTTAAAACCCCGGCGTGCGCAGCCAGAGTCTCCCGGCTTTGATTGACGCTCGCTGTCTGACCCATTGAGCAACGAAACTCGGCATGAATAGGAGCACCTTATAACCGAGTCGGAATCATGTCGCCATCCGCCGTGTCGTCGAATGAGACCATGGACTCTGTCGTCCATGAGGTCCAGAACGCCTACCAGTCGGCGCGGCTGCAGTACGTCAAAATTGACGAGGCCGACGAGCACATCAAGGCCTTTATCCCCCAGGTCGAGAACGACCCCGTGATCCAGGCACTGTCGTCGCCGGACCTGCTGCGGCCCAAGGGAAAGAAGGACCTGGACTGGTATGCCGAGCAGCAGGCCAAGGCCTTTCTGGGCGTCGCCATCTGTCTGCTCCCTGCCGAGGAGGCCAAGGCGCAGGCAAAGGTCGAGACCGAGGCCGGAACAAAGCAGCCGACAATCATCGGCACCATGTGCCTGGGCTGGGGCGGCATCGCGCCGGCCATGGCGCACCACCGGACGGCGGCCATCGGCATCACGCTCGGGAGCGGCTATCTCAACAAGGGGTACGGGCGCGAGGCCATCAACTGGGTTCTCGACTGGGGTTTCAAGCACGGAGGCCTGCACACCATCAACCTTGCCACCTACTCGTACAACGAGCGGGCGGCCCATCTGTACCAGGACATGGGGTTCCGGCTCGAGGGCAGGAAGAAGGAGGTGGCGTGGTTCAACAGGAAGTGGTACGACGAGCTGTGGTATGGCATGACGGAGCACGAGTGGGAGAAGCTGAGGGGGTACAGCTGATGCGCACACTTGTCACGATGGCGGTCGTCACCAACAAGAGGCACGTCTTGGAGGCGTAAAGGAGAAGAAGCAAGGCGGACAAGGAAGGAGTTGAAACAGAAAAAGGGGTGGCTCGTGCGGGCGCATCATTTGAAACGGATTATAAAGTATAGGCGCCATGGCTGGTAGTGGCCGAGCCGATTGCATATATCAAGGTTAGGTTAGTGTGCGTCCAGACGAGCAATGTCTTGGGCCGTGAGGGCGAAGAATCCACGATGAAGTGTTGTCCAGAGGCACGGATAGAGCTTGAACACTTGCCCTGTCGAGCTAAATAAGCGCTGGCGCTGCCATTGAAAACCGGGGAAGCAAGTCTAAAGCCAAGCACCCCATGGGGGTTTGGACTAGCGAGTGGGACGAGAGTTTGCCTGGCCCAAGGTTTGTGAGTACATGGACAAGTCAGAGTATGGATGGATGGGGACCAGAGGGTTGATGCCGAGAATACATCCAGTAGAGGAGCGACTAGATCGTGGTTAGGCGAGAGTGCAGCATGTGTGGTGGCGTCGGGACAAAAGACTCGATCAGCAAGCAAGCCAAGGGAGACTGGAGGCTGGATGGGATATGCCGGGAACCCGTCTGGGCGCGCCCACGGAGTCGCACACACTCTGCTTTTTCGTCAGGCCATGGACGCAGCGACCGGCCGCAGGTGGCGCGTCCAAGCGCAGCACGGCAGGTCTTTTTGTCTTTGTGGATGGAGAAACGCGCTGTTGCAGGCCGCCGTGGGTTGCCATGAGGTTGGCGATGGAGGAGGAAAGGAGGAGGAAAGGAGGAGGAAAGGAGGAGGAAAGGAGGAGGTGGAGGTGGAGGTGGAGATGGAGGAGTAGGAGGATATTTTGAGGATTGCGGGAGGTACTGACGTGTACTGACATGTACTGTAATTACTGTAATTATTAGTTAATTACAGGCTGGACGTATCCGTAACTGCACAGCACCTTGTTGACTGGATCTGAGAAAGCAACTCCCCCTCCTCTCCTATCCTCTCCTCTCCTCTCCTCTCCTCTCCGCCGACGACGACATTCCCTGCTGCCACGGCGGAACGAAGCTAACATGGGCAAATGTCTGGACCCCGTCTCATCGGGCATCGACGTGACTCGCAGGCCCGAACCCCACACACCCACCGATCCGCCCATCACCTGCCTGGTTACGTCGAGGTCGGTCCCGCGAGGATGGATGGATGGACGTATTGCCAGACAGCGACGGGTCGACGACACCCTGCCGGCAAGCGTTTGCCGCCGGAGATGTGCCGTAACAAACAAATCACACATCAGACACGGGCCGTGCGACCGTCTGCAAGCGTCTGCTGTGCTCGCTGCTCCGGTATCACGGCATGCCAGCGAGCGACAAGAAGAGGGGAACACACCCACGTGCTGTTATGACTAAAAGTCAACAGACTAGAGACGGAGTCGAGTCGATGCCTCAGGTCGATCCGTCATCCATGTCCGGGCCTGTGCGCCAAGCCGCAACGTGGTGAGGCGCATCCACAGGCATATCTATACCGGTAGCCCTATCTACGCGCAGGCTGAGGGCATCATCTACCCATGTCCGCGTACCGATGAAACGTGAACCATTGGTACGCTGCCGCACTCGCACGGATACACAGCGCGGACCCGAGGCACCGCCAGCCTCCATCTCTTGCCCGGGCTGGTGGTGATGGGCGATGGCAGTGGCGATCAAGGCGATGGATGAAGGCGATCTGCTGATGACGGAGAGAGACTGCTGCAGGCTTGGCAGTCGAGACGAACTCTCATGAAAAGGTACTGAGCAGTAACTTACTAACGCGCATCGACAGCTTTGACGCACACATACTGTACATGCACGCCCGCCACCCTGCGTACGTACAACGTACAAAGCATACCGAGTACATGCTCCAAGCATACCTTAACTCTGCTGAACCAGGCTACTAGGCCTACCTACTTTCGTACAGTATGCACGTATGTTACGGATACAGACATGGTTTTGTTCATGTTTGACGGGCGCCGCCACCGATGAGACGCTGGCCTACCCTTCCATCCTCCCATATCCTCCCATGCCTCCTTGCCTCCCATGCCTCCTTGCCTCCATCCCTCTCTCTGGCCACCCACTGCCCAGCCGCCCGGCTGCCATGATGAACCGGTACGAAAAGCGGCCGAGAACAGGGCCCTTGTCTGCTTGGCCGACTCCCCGGCGATGGGGAGCCGAGGCCCAGACGCTGCCGCCCAAACTCTAGGGCTTGCGCGCCGGCCTTGGCCGCGGGAACGGTGATGGGTCAAACAAAAACTAACGGCATTACCCGTCTTGTTACCTACCTGTACCTACCTGCTTTGACCGTGAAGCTATACATAGGTAGGTAGGTAGCTCCCAAACAACCCACATACCTGAGCCACTGTGGTATGTGCATGTACACACCCGAGATACATCGAGGTACGACAATTACGTAGCACCTTGTCCCGGTATTCATCAGTTTCTTTCTACTTTAGCCGCCCCCATCGTTTATCTTCCTCCCTCTCTCTGCCATTCTGCAACGACGACTTTCTTACCAACCTTCAAAAGACCAAGCGATACCCTGGCTTCTCCACTGCCTCTTGCTTGTATTCTGGATAACAGGAGAATACTCGCTTCCTCTATCCGTCCATCTGCCGCTCGACTCAGGCAGCCGACGCCTTGACGGGTGCTACCTTGCCTACCTAACAATCACTACCTTACTCTCTTCTCCCCCTCTCCAGAGACCCGACCCCCTCTCGACTCTGGCTTGGCTTCCATCTGGACAAAATGGCCGCGCGGGCAGCAACCGCTGGCAGTGCTCCTCAGGAGCCCGCTCTCATCGTGACCCCCCCAACGGCAGACCACGACACCGGCCGCGGACGAAGACGCTCCCGTAGCACCAACCGAGGCGACATTAGATCCCTCCGCACCGAAGAGTCGAGCACTCTGCGAGGCCGGTCCCCGCGGCGTGCCACCTCCCCCTTCGACCTTGTCTCTCGCAGCTCCTCTCCCACGGGCCAGATTCTGCGCTGCAGCCAGTTGCGTCACGCCCGCCGCGAGCACTGCCCCTCGCGGGTTGCCTCTCCGTCCGATCGCCATACCGCCTTTCGTTCACGGCCGACGCCCCAGAGCAGTACTCGCACACGGAGTCGCAGCCGCGGCTTGCGGGTCGAGCGGGATCTGCATCGGTCCGCCGACCTCCTGTCCAGCCTGAGGAACGAGCTGCGGCTGCTGCCAGGCAACAGTTCGGTTGACAAAACCAAAGATTGACGTTGAGTGAGGGGCCGGACCCGGACCAGCATGGTCAGCATGATGAATGGAAAGACTGATGCTACAGAATGGATGGTTTGTGCGATTGGAGCGACTACGAAGACGCTGCAGCATCGATGCAAACAACTTGGGCACGGAAAAAGCCCAGAGGGCTACTCGGTAACCTTTCTTTGTTACTTTCCCCGTAATCGTTTCTAGGGGTCAGCACCACGTTGTATGACGTGACGGGCGAGACTGGACGCGCAAGGGCCGGGAGAATCGAAGGGGAGCTCGTGCTGGACGGCGAGAGTTTTCTTTTCTTGTAATAATACCACGTAGGATGTATGAGCATTGGAAACTAACTGTGCAATCCCTCTTTGGAGCTTTGAAACTGTGGGCTCGGTCTCTAGATGGGAATTACACGAGTGAAAGAATGGAGCAATTAACTTGCTGCACGACGGCCTGGAAGCTCAATCTAGCCGCCGCCTCGCCACTCCCGTTACGGTAGCGGCGCCCCACCGCGGCACGTGCTGATTCTGCGAGCTGCCATGGCCCTGCTATCGAGTGGATGGAGATTTTTTATCCAGCATCATCGGACATCCGCCTGAAAAAATGAGCTTGCTTTCCCAGTAGCCGCTCCTCCCAGCCACACGAACCGGCTCGGCATCCGCTCACGCCCTCTCTTGACCACTGCCATGACGCTCTCGCCGCTGCTGCTGCGGATAGGAAGCAAAGACCGGCTCGACAGCTCGCCCTCGACGCGATAACCCTTGATCCCTCCCACTCCCTTAGGGGCGACGCCCTCGGCCTTGCTCTCGCCTGAAACTCTCTTGGGCACGCCCACCGCTCTCCGCGGCCCGCCTCCGGAGCATGCCCAACCCCCCCCCGCTCGCTTCCGAATAGCTGCTGGGGAGCCCGAACCCCCAGCCAGACCCCCGCGGTCCAGATGCTGGAAAGAACGGCAGCCAGCCTGGAATCATGCAGCCTCCAGCGCCTCCTTTCGCGCCCCGGCCGCTCGCCCAAGCGCTGCCGGCAGCTCCACACGGGCTTCTGGCAGCATGGCGCGTCCGCCATCGAGCTCACCAGTCTCTGGCCTCTGCCCGTGAGGCCCGCCGCCGACTCCCCCGCCGCCGATTCGCCGTCCAGGCCTTTGCAATCTGGCTTCGTCGCCTCGGCTTTTCTCCTCGACTTCCTCTACCCGAGCGGTACGCGTGCGCTCCTCCGCCGGCTCTCCCCAATGCTGTCGCGTCCGCAAGACGGCAACGGCTCGAGCCCTGCCGCCCGCAAACGCTGTTTTACTTCCTCCACTGCCGTCGCCGATCCTCATACTCAGAGCCCCTTTCCACCACCTGAAGACGCAGGTACAGCCGGGGAACAACAAGAGAATCAAGGTGGCGTGGTGGAAGCCAGTCCATCGTCATATTGCTCAGCCCTCGCCGATTTGCTATCGCGGCCCGACGAAGGGCGCTATCTCGACGTTTGGGACCTGTACCGCGGATTGGATGAGTCTCAGCAATCCTTGTTTCGCCGTCCCGTTGCCATCTATCTTTCCAGGTCAGACAGCGTCGTGGAAATCGGTAGAGCCTCGCGTCTCTTCCATCAGATGCCCATCGGGTCTTGGAACGACGAAACCCAAACCGCAGCGATACTTACCATGATGCGCTCCAGCAACGTGGAGACTGCCGTCAACTGGTTCAAGACTGGTTTGGCAGAATTCGGCTTGACAGGCGGCCTCGAGTATGTGCTTGCCAATACCGTTGCCAGTCGGCAATGGCCGGCGCTGTTGAACATGTGGTCAGAATACAGCGCAGTGCACGGCGCAGGGATCCCGAGCGCAAACCCACCAGAATACCGCTTGCTTTACCTCAGCAAAATCCCAGACCTAGGCAAGCTCTATCTCTCTTTTGAGCGATATATCGAACAGGAGGGAGCCGGTCCCGTGCGTGCCATGAACCTCTACTCAAAGTCGAGACGCAACCTACGAACCCTTCGATGGAAGATGGCGGAAGAATCCCTGAAGCAAGGCTGCGCACCAAAACTAGCCGCCGTCATACTGGATCTCTGGAACGACCACCGACTATACGAACAGTACATCCTTTGCATGCTCGATCGGTGGGCCCGCAGATTGGAGTCGAGAGGCAGCTTGACGATTCTGTCAGACCTGTATAAAAGATACCGGGCCTTTCGCAAGGCGAAGCCGCCCGTCTCACTACTGCGCGGTATGCTCCAACTTCACTTCCCTGCCAACCTGGCAGGCATGGAAGAGATTTACCGCGACTGGCACAAAGCCTGGGGTGATCTGGACCAGTGGGCCTACGAAAAGTACATCCGGTTTTATTCCCAAACTGGCGATGCTGCGGCCGTCAGATACCTGTGGGCGCGATATGTGACTCGCTGTCCAGAGGTGCTGAAGGCCCCCAGCGCCTTCAAGAGCACCATGACCGTCTACGCTCACACCGGCGACGCTGTGCGGGCCGAGCAAGAGCTTCGCGGCATGATGAACAAATACGGAGTCATGCCAGACATTGAGATTTGGAATACTCTGCTCAAGTGCCACACGAGAGCAGGCGACGATGCAAGCGCGCTCCGCTGCCTCGAAGAGATCCGGCGCATCGCCTCCCCAAATTCGTCCACGTTCGCTCACCTCATGGCCATGGCGGCCAGAAGGGGCGATCTGCGGTCAGTCCTCAGCTTCTTCGACCAAGCTCAATCGGAAAAGGTTGGGCTGTCGCCTGCAATGGCCCTGGCGCTGGTATCGGCCTATTGCCACAACGACCGACTGGTGGCGGCAGAAAAGATTTGCAGAGAGGTATCGGCGCGCAAGACCGCAGGCACGGCCGCGTGGAACCAGCTTCTGTTCGCCAACGGCGCGCAGGGCAAGCTCAACAAGTTCTATGACCTGCTCCAAGCCATGAAGACTTTTGGGCTGGACTGGGACCACAACACGTACGAGGCCCTCCTCCAAGCCCTGGTCAAGGTCAACCAGATCCATGCGGCGTTCCACCTCCTGCAGAGCGCGAAAAAGGACAGCCTCTTCCCCGTGGGCCCCGAGCACTTTGAAGTTGTCATTGCCGGGGTCGTCCGCTCCGGAGAAATGGACCTCCTCCCCGGCATCCTGTCGCTCATGCAGCAGGCAAATCAGCCCGTAACCTTTAACGTGCAAGTTACACTCCTCGAAGTTGCGGCCAAGAAAGCGCCATCGTCTGAGCGCACGCGAAACATGGCCAAGGAACTAATCTGGCTGCTCCGTTCTTTAATCCCGTCAACAACCACCTATAATCACGACGACCTCAGGCACGGCAACCCCCCACCCCATGTCGTCGGCGACAGGGTCAAGCTGAAGGCACAAACGCAGAACATCGACCGCGCCGTCATGGTCCTGGTCAAGCTGCGTGAATTCCGCAGCGCCGAAGAGATCGTCAGCATCTACGCCGACTTGTTTCCCGAGTACAAGGGGGGGGCGTTTCCTCCAAAGGTGGCCGGCGCCCTGATGATGGGCTGCTTACAGGACGACAAAGTGTCAAAGACTATTGCCATGTGGCACCAGACTCTGAAAAACGCTGTGGCCCGGTACAAGCATCCCAACGAAGGCGCTGTTTTCCCGGCCAACTGGTATGAACTTTGCCGGCCGATGAGCGTCGTGACCAAGGCCTACAGGGAGGTGGATGACGGGCCCGGCCTGGCCAAGTGCGTGGACCGGGTGGTGGGCGCCGACTTCAAGCTGACGCGGGCCAACTGGAACCAAATCGTTCGCTACCTGGGCGAGATGGGACAATGGGAACGGGCTATGCGCTGGTGCGAGACGATGCTCATGCCCGGCTGGCGCGGCTGGAACCCCCACTCGGTGACTGCGCGGGAGAAGCGCGGCATGAGGAACTCACGGTTCCTGAAGGCGTCGTCGAACACCGTCTTTACTCTGCAGAAAGAATGGCTCAACATGCGCAAGCTGGCGGCGTGGTCGGGCGAGGTATCGCAGAAGCTCAAGGTGGTGGAGCAGGACCACCCGCGGCTGTTCCACGCCTTCATCACCAACCACTTCAAGTACCTGCCGGCGGCGTGGGTGGTGCGGGAGTCACCCAGCATGAACAAGGCCATGCGGGACATGCTCAAGCCGCTCTCCTTCAAGGAGCTCCGGGCCATGAAGAAGGCGCTGGTGCACCAGCTGCGCATCGCGCCAGCCAAGCGCATGATTCGCTCCGTCATGAGCCCCTTCCACGTGGCCACGGGCATGCACCACGACGTGGTGCTGACAAAGGCCTTTACCTACGAGGAGCTCAAGCTGCTCGAGACGGAGCTGCGCGACCGCATGGCGGCCATGGCAAAGCCGGGCGGGCGGCGGGTCGACCCGGCATACGGCCACGGGCCTGCCTACGGGCCCAAGCCCGACTCCCCCGACACCCCGACGTGGCCAGTCGTCAAGGTCGAGGGGTAAGCCTGGGTGGAGAGTATGGGTCGAGAAGGGGAGTGGAGGGCGTCGGGAAGGGAATGGACTCTTTCGGCTCGCGCGTGTTCGAGAATCGGCTGGGGTGGCAGGTCACCATGGCTACTTGGCATACTCACCCTAGATATCCTGTCTATCTATCTGTATCTATACATGTATTTTTCTGGCCCGACATGAATCATGTAGAACAGCGCGGCGGCAGCTCCTGACAGGAAGCCGCCAGGGTTCCTGTGACTGAGGGCACATGTTGCTCTCCTTGTGCCATATGTGCGCTACTCCCCTCTGCGCAGCCATGCATAGACCAACTGGTGAACACCACCTTCGCCACCCAAGGTGCCGCTACAGAGGGTCGAGATTTAAACAACACCACTTCTGCCCCAGGCGTGACATGGAACATGCGCTTTCTGCATCGAAATAGGTACATGTATTTATGTATCCCCTCCCCGCGTCGACGCCGACCCCTTTTCCTGCCCGCTTGAAGACGAATAACCCAAACGCCGCCGTATCCGGGCCCCAGTCTATTTTGATGACAAGAAAAGGAGAAAGACAACAGAGGGCACAAAGGGAAAGAATCCAAAAAAGGCGCTTCGTCCAGTTAAACGAGTCTGCGTGATCCGAGATTCTAAAGGACTCACCCCCGGTGGAACTGAGACTGTGCGTGCATATCGATGAGGTGAGGGACGGAGGGACGGGTGGGCGGATATGTACAAGGCCCGACGTTCCCTAGAGAAGAGGGGTGAAGATTGAGCTACGAGTGGCGAGGGTGAGTGGCGATGTGGCGTGACGGAGCAAGCAAGGCCAGACGTCGCAGCTTCATGGCGCGCCCTCAGTCGTCTCTCGCACCGTGGGGCTTGACGCCGAGCGATCGCAGCCGCTGCGAGAGCAGGCCCTCGGCCGCAGCACCGCCGGGAACGCCGCCGCCGCCCGCAAGGCCGCCGTAGCCAAGGTCGCCCTTGCTCAGCTTCTCGTACTGGGCAGCGCCCCAGGGCCCCAGGCCGGCGGCCGCCACGTCCCTGTCCATGGCCGACGGGCGGCTGGCCTGCGACGAGCCCGGGGACCGCACGCCGGCAGCGCCTGTGGCACTCGTCGACTCGCTCACATCGCTGTCGCCACGGTCGCGCAGGGGGGGGAGGGGCAGGCGAAAGGGCACGGGGTCGACGGGCAGCGTGTTGCCGCCGCCGCCGCCACCGGCCTCGAGGCCATCGACCATGTCAAAGACCCTGCGCGACGAGGCGCCAAACGACACGCCCAGGCTCCGCCGCCGCAGCGCCTTGTCGGCCGCCAGCATGGCGCCCGGCCCGCCCGACGCCGAGGCGGGCGGGTGCATGACGCGGATCGGCTTGTAGGGCGTGAACCGGGGCTCCGGGCACGTCGTCTCGTTGCGGAGCTTCTCCTTGCCCTCGGGGACCCGGTTCGCGAAGACGACGCGGATGCTCTTGTACAGGTAGAAGCGGCCCTTGGTGGGGCAGCATATGTGCAGATGGACCAGGTATCTCAACATGGGCCGGCTCATGCTGTCCCCCTCGCTGAGGTTGGGAATGTGGTCGATGATGGGGCCCGCCGAGTAGCTGCGCTGCCGGATAAAGGTCTTGGTACCAGGCTCCATGCCGGTCAGGTCATAGGGCACCAGGAACAGCTTGACGGCCGTCTTATTCTGGTTCTTGATAACGATCTGGACCTGTCCCTTCTCTGGGATCCGGTAGCTGCCCCCCGGGGGGGCCTTGGGGGACCCAGACCGGCGCTTGGACCGGGCTGCTCGGCGGCGCTCCGGGTCGGGCTCGGAGCCAGTCATTCTATCTGGACCGCTCTCCGCCGACCGCCGGTCCGGGTAGCGGCTCTGAGCCTTCCTCTTAGATCGCGACTCCTCGTCCGGGTTCGGCAAACCGTTTTCAAGGTCAATCTGTCCCACGTAAGGGCTTGGTCCGTCGTCGGAGCGAGACCTTCCGTGGGGCGTGCTGCCGTAGCTGTAATAGACGGCAGGGAACGGTAGTGTGACGTGGGCAGGACAACGCAAGCTGGACCTGCACTTACCCTTGCCCAGTACGCCGATCTGGGCGAGAAAGTCAAACGGCTTCGAGGGCGTGGTGGACATGCGGCCGCGTAGTATGCTCTCCTCGTACGATCCGACCATGGAGGCGTGCTGGATAGGGGACGCATCCGAGCCCAGGGACGGCCGCCTCGAGCGCGGTATGGCAGGGGTCTGCGGCGAGGCGCCATGCAGCAGAAAGCTCGGGGTCGAGGTCAAAGACCTGCGCGGCTGGTGCGCTTGATAGGGTGTTGATCCATCCCGGCGCTGCAGTTGAGACCAAGCCGGAGCCGCCATGAACGGGGACGAATGGTGCGACGAGACGAGGCCATGGCCCCTGGCGGCTTTCTGGGCCAGAGATATATCGAGGCTACCAGGCAGTATGGAAAAGTCGAGCTCGTCGTTGCTCTCGGACTGGACCAGAGGGCTGGTGGGTGGCTGATAGGCGAAGCTGGAGGAGACGGACGACGACAGCGGGGACGCGGCGGACCTGAAGCTCGGGGTGCCATCCGGCGGCAGGGTCCCCCGTCTGTCGTAGTGGAAGGGGGTAAAGTCGCGGGGAGGAGATGTCGTGATCCACGGGCTCTGGGTGGCTATGCGATGCTCGACCTCGGCCACGATGGTGTGACTGCTGGGCTGACTGGACGAACACCTGTTGTCATGGGTAAAGTCTCCCGTGTGCAGTGCCGATCGCGGCCGCTCGATGGCGAGTCCGTCGCGCAACTGCTCGTCGGCGGCCCCTTGGGCTTGGGCGCTCTTTTCGGGCGTGATCTGGGCCGGGGGGAGGAGTCTGGGGGACTTGGAGGGCGAGCGAGGCGTTTTACCGACGTCGGCAGAGTTGCCATGTTGTAGAATGGACTCGAGCTGCGGCAGAGGGTCAGCAAGAGGGAAGGGTCCGGGGATGGCGAGCGGGAGGCACGGCGTACGTGGCGATTCGGGATCCAGGTTGGGCTCTCGCCTCTCTTAAGTCTCTCGATGAGCTCGGACCGGTTCGAGGTGGCGCTCTCGTCGTCTGCCCGCCTGGGAGTGTCGGGGACAGGGCCCTCGCACAAGTCGGCAGGAAGACTGTCGCTGGAGAGGCGGTCGAGCGTGGGCGAGGGGGACGGCTCGAAGTCGACTGGGGCGGCGGGCTCTGGCCGGTCGTGGTCGAGGTCGGCTTGGTAGATGGGCATGCTGGAGGACGCGGGCCACGAGTGTCGGAGTGGGCTGGAGGAGGCGTGGATCGGGGAGGTGCCGGCGACGGGTCGAACGAAGGCGAGGTCGTCGCTGGCTGGCTTCCAACAAGGGCGAGAGCGGCGGAGAGCAAGGGTGCGGGCTTCGTGCGGCTCGCCGGCAGGGACAGAGGTGGCCGTGTCCTTTGGCAGCTGCGCAGACAGTGACGGGGCTTGAGGGCCAGCCGTCGGAGGAGGTTTGGCAGTGAATCATGCCCAGACGGCGGACGACGGGCGACGGCCGCGCACGGGAGGGAGCGGGACGGTGATTACATATGGCATATGGCCATGGCGTTGCATCTAGAAAATAAAACAAGGGCCCCCTCCCAGTGGGGTCTCGGCCATGTATGTACGCCATGTACGGCATCGTCATGGGCGGCAGGGTCGCAGGCGATTGGATGCAACCGCGAAGCATCAGGCACGGGGGGTTAGGCGCCGCTCGCCAACCCAGCGGCCTTTGCAGCGCCGGCCCTTTGAGCATTGGGCCGTCGACGGAGTGGGCAAGGCGCCGATGCATTTCCGCGTCCACGGGGCAGCACCTGAGCAGCCGGCCTGGCCTGGCCTCGCCTCGCCAGTGCGTGCTGCGCCTCTTACCGGCCGGCGGAACTGTCCCAAGTACCCCCCCAATACGTAGCATGGCGTGGGAACCTTGGCGTGGGAACCTTGGCTGCCCGCTACAGGCACTCCGCGTCTGCTGCTGCTGCGACCTCTTTGGGGCATGCAGAAAGGGGTCTAGGCGGCCCCCCTAGGCGGCCGCCACCCACCTGTGGGGATCTCGAGGGGGGGCGTTAGAGGGGGCGCAAACTTTCCCATTCATCCGCTGCCATCGCAAAATCGTCGCCACCATGGCCCTCAAACGGAAGCTCGACGGCCCCGAGCCCGACCCCGACAAGAAGCCCAAGCGCGGCTTCAGGGTTGGCCCGGATAACCTGCCAGACGGCCCCTGGCGACGAAAAGGTCTGTCTGCATGCATCTCCCTCCGCGGCCTCGGCAGATCTTACCTGACGCACCCTGCCAGTGACCAAGATCAAGAAGGACTTGATCCACAAGGCAAAGGTCAAGAAGGCCTACGCGAAGATCAAAGCGCGCGACCAACCCGCCTCTGCCTCGTCCACCGTCGCCCCAGCCGCCCATGACCAGTCGCCGGAAAGTGACCATGTCGAGAGCGGCGCCGGCGATGCAGAGCCCGAGCAGCCAATGCACCCCACGAGGGAGCTGATGCTCAAGGACGAGCAAAACGCACAAGCCGGCGCAAACGCCCCCCAGACGGACGCAAGCGACGGCAAGCGCCGCAGGACACGGCGTCCCGGCTACTACGACAAGCAGCTGGAAAAGGCAGAGGAGCGGCGGCAGCAGGCCGAGACGCGCGCACAAGAGCTGCGGCAGCGGCGCGATGACAGAGAGCGGAAGCTGGCCGAGCGGGAGCGCTTCAAAAAGGCCATGGCCAAGACGAGGGGGAGAGACGGCAAGAAGAAGCTCGGGCGCGAGAGCACCCTGTTGCTGGACAAGGTCAAGAAGATCGTTGCAGAGGGCAAGTAGGCCGGGCTACAACCGCGACAGCAGGCCGGCACCCAAGTCCCCATGACAGAGACTGCCGGGCCGTACAGTCACAGGCGAATGGCTGAGATGTGCAGACGCCTCACTCCTCCCATGAGAAGCCGCGAGGGCCCCAGCTTGGCTCGCCGAAACCCGATGAGAGCAAGTGATTCGCAGCATGCCCTATGAACCAATGACAAGATGAAATGTTGTGCCGACGGTATCCGTATGCACTATGAGCAAACATGAACGCAGAGCAGATGCAAGCAGAGCGAGCCTCGATAGAGATGGCCCTGGACGAGGGGTGTCCTTGCATGCCGCAGATGGCAACGTCGACGTGACCTACTGTACATATGTTTGGAGGCTTGGCCCTGCTCGCTCATACCCGGGACACCCAGGGGAGCAAGGCTGGGCTGGCACTTTACCGATTGCGTGTTTCGGACACGAGGGGGAACGGCGGCTGAGGCATCCCATGCTGGGTTTTGCAAAGGATTCCCACCCGAGACAGCGAGGGAACCAGTCATGGCGTCCTCTCGTCCCCTCTCCGGCCGAGCTTGGAGCTCGCAGCGAGTAAACAACAACCTTGTGGAGAACGAGCAGCCCTGCCGAAACGAGCTCGACGTAGAGGTTAGAGAGAGGGGGCATGTGCCCATGCTAGGGTTCGCGGGGGCGCAGAATGCAAGGCAGATGGATGGATGATGACGGGCCGCGGACTGTCGCTCCCAACGGCAGCCCGGACCCTTGGGGAGGGACGGAGTATAAGTTACATTACTGTACAGCGGGCCTACACGCCAGCCGGTCCATGGCTGCTGCCGGCACGTTGGGAGAGTCGCCGTCGCCGTTGCCGTCGTCATCAGCATCATCAGGCGACGGGCTGCTGGATTTGACGAGCGCAGATGAACCATGGCGCCTTTTGTCATGCGCTGTCCAGAACCTGCGTCTAAAGTAATTAGATATTATTATCTTGCTGCCCCAAGCAAGGGCGAGTCTGGCGGTCGGCAGCAAAGCATAAAGGGTCCAACCCACGGGCATGGCGTGACTGCGGAGTCATCCATCTCTGGGGTGTGAAGATAGACGTGTGTCATATTACATTACAGTGGTATCCCGTTATTATCTGAGCGTCTGTCAGGACACAGCAGGGGCCTAGCAAAGATGAAACGGCAACCAAGTGGAGCGGCCCGTCGTCTTATATCCTCGCGCCCGCATGCCCCCTTGAGCCGGACAAGCTTCCATGCCTGCCTCTTTTCTCGTCTGCCCGTTTGCCCATACAGTACGCGGTACAAAGCACATACAGTATGGCTGCGGGCGAAAATCACGGGCAAAAATCAGGGCATACTGGAGTAACATCCATCCATCCACAGGCTGGTTGACCGGAGAAGATGCCCTTGAACATCATTTCCAACGACTGCCTTGCATTTGTCATCCGCCAAGGCGCACAGGCTTTGGTCGGCTCCCTCCCTCCGTCTGTGAGCGAAAGCACTCGAAGCATCACGCGCAAGTTGTTTGATAGAGAGACACGGCGGCAAGCCACGTCGTTTCTGTGCCTCTCGGACGCTCCCCCTGTTTCCCCTGCCAATGCCTGGTTCGCGAAACCCGACTGCTATATCCGTATTTATCAGTCCCATTTATCCCCGGATGCCCGCGCGGGACATGTGGATGTTTTGCCGATCACCAAGCTCTGTATAGTTACTCCGTATTGCTGTCAAGATTCTTGGGTAGCGAGACGATTACTGTGTGAAGCACGCTTGGCCAGCTTGTGCGCACACCAAACAGCCGCACAAACATGCACAGGTTATATTCAAGGAGTGTAAAGACAAGCTCACCGCCACGGGCTTCCCCACCTCAGCGGGCGCGAGTCGTGCGCGGGCACATGCCCCGACTCGACAGTCGCAGTGCCGTCCGGAGAACCTTGACTTGACGTGTTCCTGATCCAGGAACCCACGGCTGATTGAAAAGAGTGGTGATGACGAGAGGCGCTGCCGTAGCAACCCTTCACCCAGGCTGCACCACAGGTCGTTGGCCGGGGTCTCTGCGGTACCTGACGCCGTCTCCCTCCCCGCAACCACCTGCAGGGTTGTTGATGCTGTCAAAAAGAGGGAGGGAGATGCATCCCTACCTAGGTACTTTCCCTAGGTACTACTGTAAGTTATGTACCCAAGGTACCCAAGGGAGGCCTCGCCCAAGGAGGCCTGTACGCGGTAAGTACATACATGCACCTCGCCCGTGGGCACGGCACTGTACAGTAGTACGTACATGGCGGTAGGGGGCCTGCACGAGCATGGGGAACCTGACTGCCGTGCCTGCTATGCCGCCCCGTGGAGTACGGTACAGTAGAGTCCCCGTCCCGGCAAAGTACTACACGCTCCGTACCCCGTAGTACTTGAACTGAGGCGCCTCGTCAGGGGAGTCAAGGTGAGTTGCCAGCACTGGCCAAGGGGTGGCGCTTTTCCGTTGCCCTTGCACCTTGCACTCTGGTACCTGACGTTCCAGAACAGGTACCTCGCATGTACACGCAAGCTCGGTCTTTGCCTCAAGAGGTCATCATGAACCCCATTAGCTCATTTCCCACCGAGCCATTTCACTTGTCGAGTCGCAGCCCGCCACGTTGACCGTGGATTCGAATACCTGCCACAATACACATAGATTTCCGTATCCGTAAGATGACTGGCGCAGCATTCCAACGCGACGCGGCTGCTCGTCCGAACTGGTGCGAGATGGATAAGGGGCAGCAGACGACGAGGCAAGGGACGGAACCGCGTCTCATCCCCCCCTCCCGTCGAGGGCTGATTAATTGGGCGGAATGGAACACGCTAAGCATGTCCAGTAAGGCCATGTGCCTCCATCAAGCGCGATCCCACCTGCTGTACAGATACTCCGTGCAGATGCGTGCTGTACCTACCTAAGGTACCTAGCTAGGTACTTACTTACCTACCTGCCGTGTCCCCCTGCGCCTGATGATGGCCAGCACAGTGCCGCGCCGAGACTGGCCTGGGGAGCTTCGCGAGCTGTTGGCCGCGGACAGTTCGCCTTCTGGCTTGACTGTGCGCTTCCCGGCCCTCTTCCAGGCCTCTAGGGCATTGTGAACGCGAGCCCCCGTATTGCTGGTGTTGCTAAACCATCGTGGTCTCCCGGACTGTTTCGCCAGTCGAGACGAGGCGCCCGTTCTAGTTGCCCTCCTCTCCTATAGTGAGGTACTGCCAATCTGCAGTACCCGCCCTGCATCCACCTCTGCACTTGCGTTGCCCTTTTCATCCTCTCGCCTCAGGTCACGGCTGCTATCAACTACCAACCACCCCCCCCTCAGGTACAGTACAGAGTCAGGTACCGGACCCATTCGCATACTGTACCGGCGGTACGGCCACTCCGCTCCCCCTACGCGTAGAATTTCATCTCTGGTACTTCGTACCTGGCGCCTCACAATATTCGCTCCGTCGAAACGAACCGCCCATCACCTCCTCCGATCCATCAACGTCGGCCTCGTGTGCCTCGTCGCCTTTCTTCCCATCCCCGATTAAACCACCCATTGCGTCCTGCTCGTCCTCGGCCTTGGCTTGTGCTATACGCTCCTTGTTGCTGGCCCTTTTCCTCCCTATCCAATCCCGCCTCCCCCATCGTGCCTTCGTCACGCACCCTCTGGCCACAGCCCGTTTGCGCACCGAGAGAAAGTCTGGTCCGACAATCTCGGCTTGTTGATGAATGCTGCTGCTGCTTCACTCCAACTCGCCTGCGTCGCCACGCCCGTCCGTTCGCTGAGCCGATCGGACCTCGCCCTTCGCTTTGAAACGCTGTCGATGACCGGCCAGGTCCCGCCCTTGGTCGTACGAATCTTCGCCGGCTCTCGAGTCGCTCGCCGAGTCTTCTGTCCTTGTCCCGTCACGACCAGCGGCTGCCTTTGCCGCCTCTCGCCGCCATGGCTGCCATCGTGGACGAATATTTAGACACACCCATGGAGGCGGACGATGTGTTCCCCTGCAAGGGGTGCGGAGAGGTTCGATCTCGATACCCTACAACCTTCACGTACCGGCGGCCGACAAGACTGACATGCCTCATCGCCGTCTAGATCCTCGAGGAAGGAAAAGCGTTTGAGCTCTGTATGTTGCGCCCGTGCTTGGCCATCCTGCCGCCCTGAGCTATCTCTACTCATTCCCGCTGCCCCGACCCTTTTCTCCCTCACGCCAGCTGGCAGGCCTCATGCTATGAGGAATGGCTTTCATGATTCCCTGCTTCCCCCCTCGCAAGCAAGCATCTTGTGCCAAGAGGCTGACACTGCCACCGACAGCTGGTAACCGCTGGCACCTCGATTGCTTCCGCTGCAATACGTGCGGCACTCTTCTCGACTCCGACGCCAACCTCTTGCTCCTCGGCGACGGTTCCCTCATCTGCAACAACTGCACATACAGCTGCAATGCTTGCGGGAACAAGATTGAAGACGTGGCAATCCTCACGGGAGACCAGGCATTTTGCGCAACTTGCTTTCGATGCCGAAACTGCAAACGCAAGATTGAAAACCTCCGATATGCGAGGACCTCGCAAGGCATCTTTTGCATGGGATGCCACGAGACGCTCATGGCCAGGCGCAAGAAAAAGTCAAAGGCTGCCGCCGCCGCCAAATTACGGGAAAAGGACCTGTCACCGATGATGGTGGAAAAGTCCCTCCCAGCGCTACCGCCCAATGCTCTCCCGACCAACGCCTTCTCCAACGACCGCGCCGATCCTGACTCCGACACCCCCACCGAGATCTCTCCCCGCCCTCGCCCCACTCACAGGCAAACCGAGTCGTCGTCTCGGGGAAGCTCACGGCCGTCCCGCTCCCCCGAGCGCGATTCGCTTCCTAAGTCCGAAGGGCTAAGTTTACCTGCGAGCACCTATCGAAAAAACCGCAACTCCTCCATTCTAGTGACCGCCGAGCTTGGCCAGGGGGACTCGCCCGAAAGCTTCTTCATTCCCGTTGCTCTTGATCCGAGTCCCGGCCCACATGCGACACCTAGGTCAACGTCCGAAAGCGCCGGAGACGCGTCAAGGAAAAAGAAGGAGGACTACTTCAGCGTCCCCAAGTCCACAAGCTCCTCCGAAAAGCGAAGCGACTCGCAGGCCTCAACGCCTCACATCGCGTTTCAGGGCAAGGGTCGCCAGTCGTCGACTGGCCACAACGGTAGCCAGACCAAGCCACTCTCTCGGAAACTCTCCAAGGCGTCGGAGCAAGATCTAATCAGGTCCTCGGCATCGGCCAGCGACTTCAAGTTGCAAGATGCTCCCAGCGCCAAAAGGAACCTGGCATCGCGAAGCAGCAGCTCGCACTCTTCCTCGACTCCGCAAGAAAACAACACGACCAAAAAATCCAATGGTGTTGCCCGCAATGACGGTCCGCCGAATCTGTCCGAGTTGAGAAGGGCCAAGGAGAATACACCGCCTCCACGAGCGTCGCAGGACTCCAGATGGCAGGACGATGATGACATGAGCTCTTCGCACGACTCGACTACCAGAGGCACTACCAGATCGGACAAGTCTAAGGTTATCGCTCGAAAGGAGCTTCCGTCGACAGCATCGAGAAACGGTGAGCACTTGCCCCATGAAAGAAGAGGCCGTGGGGGTGGTTGCTAATTACTCTGCCGACAGCATCCAACGAAAGTCGGCGATCCCAGGGGACAGCCCCGTCTTCAGAACAAAAGGGCTCAGCGAGCGACACTTATATGCACCCCCGGGCCGCACCGATGGCCCCTATTGGCCAAAGTCAAGTTGTCAAAGAACCGGCCGGCTCCAAGGAGGAGCCAACCTCGCCAAAGGTCTCTCCGAAGCTGCCTAGGTGGAGCAGTGGAGGTGACTTCAGCTTGGACGAGGACATGGCCAGGATTCTCGGGACAGACGAAGGCTCGTCTTCGATCCTGCGCCGCGTCTCAAATGTCGTTCGGCACGGTCGCACGAGCAGTGTAGAGACCGGACAGCACCCGCAGCGAATCGGCCATACCCGCAGCATCAGCGAGACGACTCGGGCGACTGTCTCGCCCAGGTGGCCAAAATCTCCCCTGGGTGAGGAGCACCATGGACACCCTGACATTAGCAGCCCCGTGTCGCTCACCTCGGCGGACGATCCCGCTCTGCTCAAGCGCCAGCTGAGGTTCTCGGAGCAACGAGTCGCGGAGCTCGAGCGACAGTTCAACACGGAAAAAGATCTGATGAACCTCAACAAGAAGCTTGTGGAAAAGAGAAAGACGGTCTCCGTCCTCGACACTCAAACTGAGATTATGATTCGCCAGCTCGAGGTCTTGGCCGGCTACGTCGAACGGGCCAAGGAGACCAAGACGCCCATTGACCCTCGGGAGCTGGAAGATTCTGCCATCAAGGAATTCGTCCAGAAACTCGAAAAGGTCAAGGTGGTCATGTCCACTTCCATCGAAGTGCTCCACGAGGAACGTGACCGGTTGGTTGAGGAGAAGAACCAGGCCATGGCGGACCGAGACCGTGCTCTGATGGAGTTTGAGCAGCTGTCGTCCAAGAACGCGCAACTTGCAGAGATGAACAACGACCTCACTCACCAGATCCAAGAGCGCTTCAAGTCTCAGATTGGCACAGAGGCAAAGTCGCCCAACGGGCTCGGAATCTACGGCCACAAACAGAGCGCCGGGGGTTCCTCGAGCAACCTCGACACTGCTAGCATGACGACGGGCATGACACTTGTTCCCGATGAAGATACAATCGTCGAGGCTGGCCCGACTGTTGTTCAGGTTCGAAAGGGCCAGGTTAAAAAGTTTAACTGGAAGAAGGGATCCAAGACAATGGCGCAAAATGTGGCCAAGGGCGTCAACAGAGCCGTGGTCGCTTTCCAGCAGAATGACCGGGAGAGGATGCCACATCAGGGCCTGGTCGGGGACAACATTGGCTTGCCGTACAACATGACTGTGTCACAGGTGGAGTCGCCTGCGCCCATCGGACCCAACAACATAGGCATGGGCATGGGCATGGGCATGGGCGCCGGCGCCGGCATGGGCGCGGGCAAGCAGCAGCTGGATCCCGGGCGACAAGGCTTTGGCTTTTTCGGCAAGAAGAACACGATGCCCAAGTCGACCTCGGCCAACACTGTCTCCGCCGCGACTGTGGCTGAGCCGGCATCGACGCTCTTTGGATCCGAGCTGGCCGAGCGAGCCGAATTCGAGCGACGACAGATTCCCACGGTTGTGACACGCTGCATCGAAGAGGTGGAGCTGAGGGGCATGGACCAAGAGGGCATCTACAGAAAGACGGGTGGCAACTCGCAGGTTAACATGATCAAGGATGGCTTCGACAAGAGCGACAACTTTGACATCTCAGATCCCGACCTGGATATTACAGCAATCACCAGCGTATTGAAGCAGTACTTCCGGAGGCTGCCGACTCCGCTCCTCACGTTTGACGTCTACGAACGCGTTTTGGAATCCAATGGTTAGCAGAATCCGAGTTGAGGGCATTTGCCATCTGAGGCGCTGACATGTTTTCCGCAGCGATTGCCGACGAAACGGAAAGATGCGATCACTTGCGCAAGACGTTTCTTTCGATGCCCCCAAGGCACAGTGACTGCCTCGAATTTCTGATATTCCATCTCTCTCGTGTTGCCCAGCGCGAGCCCGAAAACTTGGTAAGAAGACTTATTTCTTTGCCCCGGACTTTTGAACTGACGTGCCATTCAGATGTCGCCCAAGAACTTGGCGGTCGTATTCGCGCCTACAATCATGCGCGACCTCAGCATCGAACGAGAAATGACCGACATGCACGCAAAGAACATTGCCGTGCAGTTTGTCATTGAAAACAGCCACAGAATCTTTGACGACGCGTGAAAATTCTACTCCACTTTCTCTTCACGACCCTCGCCAGAAGCGGCGGGCGTCACAGCTTGACATGGCTGCGTGTGCATATTTGAGCGTACGCTCCGGGCAACCGCCCGAGGGATCTACGTCTGAGCCGTCACCCCTCGACTTGGGGACCGAAAGCTCATTCCTGTATGCGCTGCCCTGGCCTGTGAACATCGGTTGAATGACCTTGATGCTGCGGGAGCGGCGGAGTGTGCCGAACAAACTCGTGTGATACGCGATGGGTCTTGGGATCAAGCGTCTTGCCAACCTTGACGTCTCCCCGCCGGACTATTCTCCGTACATGGGGCTGGCAGCGTCTTGGCAGCTCAGGCGCTTCCACCATGGTGGCGCATGCGGCGACCTCAGCCAGCATGCCCGTGACAGCCGCGCGCCCGTGTGGGATGGGAAATGAGCCTTTGACCTTCTACTCACTCTATTCTTGCTTCTTCCGCACTATACCTCTTCGACTTTGTCCTTTTTATCTCCACTTGCTTCCTCTTACACCTTGAGAGACACGGACGCGGAGTTTATGTGGCAAGAGAGCGAATACATGAGCCTGCAGCCAGTGTTGGACGACGGCGGACGGGATCCTCGAGTCGGGGTGGGGGCGGTGGGCTTAGGGGGTTATGTTCCAGGTATGAAATGAGGGGCCGTGGATACCGCCTTTGATGAGCGTCATGTAGTCGAAAATGCGGAAACAGAATGGTTAGCGAAGTCGCATCCATGAGTGTAATGTGTCCCTTGGGCACTTTGCCTGATATCATGATGCGTCTGCACCGGGCGACACCGTCTGTAGCCAGGCATGCACTGGTTATGACTGACAGCACTTCGTTGGAGGGATGGGCATATAGGTCTTCCTGGGCTCTTACACGCGCGGGCACAGCAAATGCAGCGAGGTGAAGAGGCAATCCAACAAGTGGTTCCTAGACCACAGACGACACGAATACAAGGTAATAGACAATATGTATGACGGAGGGGAGGACAAGCCTCTCGCTTGTCTGTCCAGGGCAGACTCCATAGCCAAACAAACAAGATCCATCCATCCAAGCGCCGTGCAATTGACTTTTCTCTCCCCTAACTGCTTCGCCCAACGCCGTGCAGCGCCGTCTACGCCTTCTCTGTCTTTGATGCGCCAGGCCCCCCGTGTCGCTCAAGAAGCCTGCTCGCGCTGCTTCTTGACAATGTAGTAGGTAATCAGGCTCTTGGGGTCCTCGTCGACGCCGCGCAGGGCCTCCCAGAAGGCCGCGTCGCCGACGCGCTGATGCAGCGAGACGCAGAGCTTGACGGCGTCCATGCGCACGCCCGAGTCGGCAGAGCCCAGGACGCGACCGGCCAGCGCCGTGAGCTGCGCGAGCTCGCTGTCCGATGGCACCAGGCCGGCGCGCTTGTCGAGTAGCTCCTCGAGGACGTGGAGCCCCATGCTGAGGGTGCGGCAGCCCTCGGGCGACGTGTCCGCGCAGCCCTGCAGGCGTCCGGTGAGCACGACGATGATCTCGGAGCCGTCGCCGAGGGTCACCAGCTCGTCGGCCAGGAGCTCGAGACCGCTGACGATGTGGGCCCTCGAGTCGTAGCCGCTGCGAGTCTGGAGCAGGGACTCGAGGCCCTGGGAGACAAAGGGCTGGAAATTGTCCCTCTCCTGCTTGAGCAGGAGCTTGATGGTCGTGAGGATCTGGGCCTTGACGTCTTGGGCCTTGTCCGACGGCACCTCGCTGAGAGGGGCTTGCAAATACTGGAAGAGACCTAGCAGGAGCGCCTCAAACCTGTCGTCGGTGAAGACGGTCCTACTGTCGCGGATCAGGGATTGCAGTTTCCTGAAGCCATGAACCTCGAGGGCCTTGGCCTCAATCTTGGCAATGCCGCTGTCCACCAGTCGTGAATTCTGACGTGTCTTTTCCGGAGAGCTGACCTGTTCTACCGTGGGTTCATGACCGTTGGTCTTTTGCAGTTGGGCCGCATCCTCGTTGACAGGCTTGTCTTCTAAGACGGGCGCGGCTAATGTAGGCTTCGGCGTTTGTTGCCGCTCATCGGTGAACGGATCCTCATATATCTTGAGTGCACGTTGGGGGGACTCGGATTCCGGCTGCAGGTTTTCCTCTGCAGCGACACCCACAGGTGAAGCTTGTGCCTCTGCGGGTGGTTCCGCAAGGGGCTCCGCTGCCGGCTCTGCGGGTGGCTCTGCTGAAGCATCCATCGGCGCCGGTTCCTGTGACGTGGCCGACTCTATGCTGGACATGGCTGGTACGACAAGCGTAATGTCCTCGTGGGACTTGAAGGGGCTGGGCGACGCGACTGCCTTGTGCGGTACCCTCGGGCTCGCAGGGCTCCCGCGAGGAGAGGCAATCTTAGACGCCGCGCGGGCTGCCGGGGACATGGGACCAGACTCGCTCGCGTGGGAAGCATGTCCGGGGCGCGGTCGCGGCGCGGTCCTCCTCGGCGAGGCCTCCTTGAGCCTGGACGTGGATGACTTGAAATTGACACTCTCCGGGCTGCCCGTCTCTACATTGCTTGGTTGGTCTCGGACAGAGTAGGGACCGGCCGTGGCTGGGCGGGTCATCTCTGGTCTTCGCCTCGCGGGCCGCATGGGAGCCACCGACATACCTCCGGCGTTGACGGAGACAGTCGGTTCCTGGCGAGCCCGTACACCGGCGGGCTTGGGTGCCGCAGTGGAGTGGATCGAGGAGTTGGATGATGAGCGCACAGGAGAGAGGTGCGCCATGGCAGAGCCCGGCCGCGGGGGCAAGTTCCGTGTAGCCACGGCTGCCTTTCTCTGTGCCAGCATGGCTTCGCGCAGGCTCGGCTTGCTCGTCGTCATGGCGCTTCTCGAGAGCCCGAGGCCGGGCCGAGGTGGGTCGGCTGCCTGCTTTGATGAGTTGGGATTATTCGGGTCCTTGTTGAGGAGCTTCTGGGCAGTTGGGTCCAGGTCGGCCATGATTCTGGAACACGGTTAGTCAAGGATTTGTGGCAGATCATGGGATAAGGGCCCGTCGTACGCATCAGCCCTGGCCGGCCAGACGGCCCAAAAAGCCCAGTAGGCGGACCGCATCTTCTCCCTGACACCGGGGTTCGCATCGCCGAGACACTTCTTGATGCACTTTTCCATGAGATCAACGCCGCCGGTGTGCTCGACAAGGCTCTTGCGGTGAGCCTCCTTCTTGATCAACGTCTTAAGCCAGCCGGTGGCGTACATCCTTGGCTGCACGTTCTTGTCCTGGCAAGCGCCCCAGACGTGCTGCATCAGGCGGGCACTGTACGTCACGCGGCCGATGATGGTGTCGACGGTGACGTTCGCCAGCTGGGAGCTGATTTTTTTTGTGCCCGCGGACAGCTTGACAAACGTCTGCATGAGCAGCTCGACCATGTTGTCCATGGCAGGGCCAAAGGTGATGGCAATGTCTTGGACCAGGCCACATCCCTCCTTGGATAAGCTTGTGCGCAGCGAGGTGACAGCCTTGATGATGCCGTCGAGCATGCTCCGCAGCCCGGTGAGAAAAGAATCGTGGAAGTCGGCCGGTGCGTTTCCGGCGTTGAGCTTGCGAAGCGTGCCCATTGCCTGCTCGCGCTTCATCCAGTTCTGTTCCGTCTCCCTACCCTCAAAGTGCAATGCCATGCCGCGGAATATATCGTCGAGCTCGCGGTTGGTGTTGACATACGTGGGTTCGATGGGCTCGGTCTGCGTGTCCACCATCGGGGTCGTCGGACGTTCGCTCGAGAGGGAGGAGACGCTGGCAGCCAGGTTGGGCCGGCTCGGGGGCGCAGCGTCGGAGGGGGTGTCTGGGCGCGCGGAGGCGGGCGCGAGCGCCTTGACGATGGCCTGTTCGATGGCAGGGCGAACCTTGAAGTTTTTGAGCTGGCGCTTGAGATCGGATTTGGCAGTATTCGGCGCGGTTCTGGCGCGCTGCGTGTCAGTGGCTGAGGGGAGAGGGCGAGCTGGGCAAAGAGGGAGGGGTGGAGCGCACTTGAAGAGCTCGATGACGGTGCCCTTAGCAACGTCTCGAACCATGCCGTCTGCGTCCTCGAGCAGCTCCATGAGTACGGGCACGTAGCTTCGGAACTGAAGACCTTGTTCCTGGTGCATCTACCAAGTCGCAAGGGTTTAGCACGCGGCTGCGCCAAGGAAGCCGTCGGGGGCAGCAGGGGGAAGAGGCATACCTGCAGAAGCCAGTGCATGGCGGCGTCCTTGGCCCTGGCATTCTTGCCGGTCATGGCCTGGTTCCTGACGGCGCGCTCGACATCGGCAGGGGCGGCGGCGAAGAAGGTGGTGAGGGCCTGGGAGGCGAGGGTGCGGAACTTGTCCTTGTGGTCGCCCAGCCTGTCGACGACGAGGGCCAAGGTGCGAGGCGCCTCTTTGGCGAGCAGACGAGGCTCCTGGCGTGAGAGGCGGGTGAGGAGGTGGTTGAGGGCGGTGAAGCCGGCGTTGACGAGGGCGGCATGCTGTGAGGTGGAGGCGGCGCGCAAGGCGTCGAAGAGGTCGGGAACGGCGGCCTCGGGGACATTGTGTTGCTTGATGCGCGACTTGACGGCCGTGACTTGGTTGACTTTTGCGTCGAGGCTCGAGTCGCTGCGCAGGACCGTCAGCAGGTCGGTGACGTGCTGGTCGGTGAGCTTGGTATCGGCCATTGTTGCGCCCCCTTTTGGCCCCCTCCTCTGCTTCTTGTTGCTTGGTTGTCCCGCCGTCGGCCGATATGCCGGCTGGTGCGTCCTGGCGGGGAGAAAGAAGTATCAGGAAGCTGCTGCTGAGACGGTCAGTCAACGGGGCGACCGAGGTGCCAAGTTGTGGCGTGGCCGAAGGGAGCAATTGGCTGGCGCGGGCTGGGGCGTCTGCACGGTCAAGACGGGGGCCATGATGGCAGAGGCCAGAGCCGCGGCGCGTCGGCTGGAGTTGGAGGCGGGAGCAAGCTTACCGAGGCGGAATAAAGGGCTGTCAAAGTCTTGGGCAACGAGCCAGGGCGGGCGGCGAGGCTGGCATTTGGAGAGATGAAGTCGGCCTCCTTTGTCTCTCCCTCGGCTTTACGCGTCTTGTTGCGCTGAGCTTCTGGCGTGGGGTAGCGGCAGAGCTAGCGGCAGAGCTATCGGCAAAAGGCGGCGGCAGAAAGGGACGATGGATGATGATGGTTCAGTGACGATGTGGAGGGGGGAAGGTTGTTTCTCGAGGTGCGGGAGACGAAAAAAACGTTCAAGCGTCAAGTGTTGCCAGACTTTGCCAGATAACGGCGAGGTTGTATCTGTATCGATGCATGCATCCATTCATTGGTGGATGCCTTTTACGTACAGTGGGGCTTGGTTGCCCTGGCAAGCCCTGGTAAAGGGGCTCCACCACCGAGGCTTGGGCCCCCTGTATCGGCTGAGTAAGCCGTCGTCATCACCAACCTCCATCAAGCTATCTCGTTTCAAGCCAGTCAACTCGTCTCTTGCTTGCCTTGCCTTTTGCCTCTTTCTTTTTCTTTCTTTGCTCCCTCGTCGGACTCTTCCTTGCTCGGTGACCTGGCATCAGACTCCCACCGGAGATGAGGGAGTCCTTGTCTCCTCTCTCCCGCGCTGGTCCACGAGTCACGACGTGCACTTCCGTAGCTCGATATAATGGCCCGCCCGCCGGCGACAACTCCCGCCCCGACCAATCCCCTCGTCCCCGCCATGTCCACTGCCGTCCTCGGCCCCGCCGCCGACCGTCCGGAGATTGACGGTCCCTGCTCGGGGGCGGCCGAGGACAGGCGGCCGACCGAGGGCCATGGTCAGCGTCGACGGCGACTGCTTCGCCGGCCCAAGCTGCGTCTCGAGATACGCGACCTCGCCCATCCGGGAACCAGCGTGTTTCTCGCCGCCGTTGACCCCATTGCCTGTGTCACCGATGCCATTGCCAATGTCGCCCGCCTCCTCTACCACGCCACCGTCGTTGACAGCGATGCCGCCGCCGCCGACGACGACGACGACGTCACCCCCTTTCACCCGCCCCCAACCCGCTCCGTCACGCTGGTGCTGCGCGAAATGCCGGGCATCGCCTACACGGCCAGCTCCGACCTCGACGCCGACCACAAAGAGGTGCACCTCTCGCTCGCCTACCTCGCCCGCCTCCCGTCCTCCCGCGCCGCCGCCGAGGTCGCCGGCGTCGTCACCCACGAGCTCGTCCACTGCTTCCAGCACAACGGCCTCGGAACCTGCCCCGGTGGCCTGGTCGAAGGCGTCGCCGACTGGGTGCGTCTGCGCTGCGGCCTCGCCCCGCCTCACTGGGCGAGGGACCATGACGGCGGCGGCGGCTGGGATGCTGGCTACCAGACGACGGCCTACTTTCTGGACCATCTCGACACAAACCTTGGTGGTGACTTTGTGCCGCGGCTCAATGAGAAACTGCGCGTGTGCCGGTACGACGAGGCTGCCTTTTGGTACCACCTCAGCAAGATGTCGGTCCAACAGCGGTGGACTGAGTACGGCCTCGGCCTCAAGGCCCAAGACCATCTCCCTGATACTTGAACGACGGCGACTGGCCCGACGCACCATTGCACCTGTCGTCGACCTTCCGTCACTGCGAATGGGAGCCGAGTTTGCGTCCCCGTCTTTCACATGCGGCCACGGTTGCCTAAGTAGACATGCCGTGTTGTAGGCATCCAAGTACTACGATGGCTATTAGATACGGGGAGAACAGCTTTATTACCCAGAATGCAGTGGACAAGATATTATACAATATAAAGGCCAGCTCCAACAGGCAACAAGGTAATCCTCAGCGTCTCTTTACACACTCAGCGATGGCAGCAAAGTTATCCCGCGACACCTTGCCGCCATTCTCTCGTTTGCAATCAATGGCACGCTTGGGGCAGTTCGCGAAGCTGCGCATGAAGCAGAACTGCCATGTGTCCGCGCAGGAGAGACTCCCGTGGAGCGGGAATTTATCGGCGGTAGGGTAGCGTCTCACGTACCCACGGACACAATCGGCGCAGGCTAACATACATTGCTTTGGATCAGCTGAATTCTTGTTGCAGTGCTCTTGGACAGCGGTCTTGAAAACTTGGATGGGTGGCGGACTGGAGGCTTGTTGCACAAGTGATATATGTATTTCGGATTGCGCCTCATGCGGCGTTGCTTCGGCTGCGGGAGCCGCCTCATGCGGCGTTGCTTCGGCTGCGGGAGCCGCCTCATCCGGCGTTGCTTTGGCTGCGGGAGCATCGGGAGTGGGCGTGGAAAAGGTGCGGGGGGGGCAATCGCCATCCACCGAGGGAACGCCGTTTGGGCCTTTCTTGATGGCCACCAGGTTAGAACCACAATTGGCGGCATCGGCCAGGTGAATGACTTGGTTCTCCATGTCAAAGACGGCATAGGCAGCGTACATGAAGGGGGCACCCAAATCTGGCCGACCCATTGCTTTGATTAGCCCTTGTCTCTTTACGCGTCATGGTCCTGGGATGAGATGGACGTACATGAAGACCCGCTGCTTTTCATTCCCATACCCAAGATGCACTCGTCCCCCGTTTGCAGGATGAAATCTGCATAGGGGACTTTGATGGTGATTTCTTCAAATGCAAAGTCAACAGACAAATCTTGTTTTCGATAAGAGCAGTCGACGGTGTGAACGGTATACCCGATGTTTCCTGATTGTTCTGATCGTTCTGCCTCGGGAAATGCACGTAAAATTCCGTTGTACACGTCATCATGGAAAAGGCAGAGAACCCTTTCAGGATCGATAACGTGCTCTCTCCGGGAGACTGGAGTGGGCGAGATGGTGTCATTACCCACCAGGACTTTGTCGAGGGCCACCACAAAACTAAGCACCAGCATAAGATATTACACTCTCCATCGATGCAAAGGGCGCTTCAACTAACCTGGAATAAATGTGGCTTCCGCTGAGTTTCTTCAGAGGGCCAGAGAACTTCTTAGTGTCAATGCCACCGAGGTTCATGAAAGCTGGGGATGGAATGGAGCCTGGTTTCGCGACGTAACCGCCCATGCCAAGACCAAAGGCCCAGCTAAAGACCACGCCATTTTTTTTCAGGGCTGACCCGAACTGACTGCCTGGGCCTAAACCAACCACGCTTGTTGTATACTTATCGGAATTTTCTAAAGTTGTGATGCCAAAGGACAGCTGTCCTAAGGGACGAGCTAAAATATTCGGTACACGTTAGCTTAACTTCACACCAAGACGAAAAGAAAGACAGTACTCACACTCAACAGATGCTATGTCCTCGTAGTTTTTATACTGGGCCGTGGGCCCGCCAGCATAGCCTACCCGCCGGGTCTGGTCATCAACAAGCCTGAGGGACCGGCTTTGACTTTGATTGAAAAGCGTAAAAGGCAACAGATCTGCTCGTTGGTCGATTGTGGCCTTGGGGGGAGTGTCAAGCATCATTGTCAAATTAAAGCTCGTATCCATGTCGCAGAACACTTTTTGGGGGGGCCTGCCGATGTCAAGCTTCAAAGCCTGGCGAAACAGCTTACGGGCTGATTGGATTTCAACTTGGCGGCGCTGCCTCGTAGTCCCAGGCGCTACCGTGTCTTGTTCCGGTTCGGCCTTGATGAGCGGAATCGATATGACTCCAGGCGCTCGGACGACTTGGCCTTCGTCCTCGAAATCCAGAGGCTGAGCCAGAGCCGCAAGGGGCAGGGCCAAGTGGAGGAGGCGGGAGAGAGCGTGGGCGCGCATGGTTTAGCCGGACTTTCCGTGAAGAGTGTTTTGCTGAATGAAAGTGCTGCTTTTTATATAAAGTCTCAGGAAGGGAGGGACTAACGAATGGGGTTGATAATCCTTCGCACGACTTGGAAGAGGAAAGCGCCTGGAGGTATAAGTAGTCAAACGCCCTCGAGGGGGATTAATGCTGCCCCACCATAGCACGTAGTTGCTAGCAATTGAATATAGATTAGACGACTATTGTGAGGGAACGATCATGTGACTTTCATACTTTATGAAATGTCTCACTTTGATTCATGTAAATAGCGAAAGTCAGAGTCTTCCTTAGGAACCTCCTTCTCTCTTCGTAGACAATCACTTTACCCAAGTCGCACCCGACCTTGTTCGTGCACTTGTACCGTCACATATTGTCTACCAACTACCCCTCCTCAATAGATCACCGTCCGCGACGTGACTATTGATTTCGATAGTTCTAAACCGCACTTGTCGCTTTCAAACCTCACCAAAACACCCTGCAACCAAATTCTCACCTAAACCACCACACCGTCAACAACCCAATGGCTACCGCTGCCCCACACCCGTCGATCGAGTGCCCCCTGCCCCTCCTCAACGCCAGCAATACCAATGAAACGTTCCGAAATGCCTTTGTTGCTAACCCAGCCGGTCTCATGAAAGAAGTCTTCCTCGTATGCAATGCCGCATACAGTATGCAAGCGGTAATCGATTCACTACGTGCCTCGACCACGACGACAATAAGGGACATGGAGGACCTCCAAACCCGCCTAGAAAACACGCTCATTTCTAAAAGTGATGGAGACGCAACGATCGCCCGTCTTATGGCAGAAAATGAAGCATACCTAAAGATCATTCAGTCTAGGGAGCTTCACACCGCACACCAGAACACCCTGATCCTGAGGCCTTCACCGGAGAGGACCCCACGCTTCTGCCGAATTTCCTCCAGCACCTCGAGTTGAAGCTCGAAATGAATAAAGATTGGTGGAACTCGGAACCTCAACGTATGGGATATGTCGTCTCATGCCTTAAAGGCAAAGCACATGACCAAGTCCGCTACAACATTAAAGATGGGGTGGTTCTCTTCGACGATGTCAATGCCATAAAAAGCACCCTTCAGTCAGCCTTCGGGGATATTGACGCTAAAGCTACCGCCCAACTCAAAATCTTTGACATGAAACAAGGCCATAGATCCCTTACGACATTCCTCCCCGAATGGTATGCCGTCGCCAAGCTCACCGAGTGGGATAGTGGGGCGCTCATTGCTCACCTCCGACGTGCCCTCCACGACAACGTTATCTGGAGACTTTCTCTCACTAAGGGCAAAGATACACCTACCGAACTTAGTCAATTTATGGACCTTGTCCGTATCTGCGATAACGAATGCCGTCAAGTCAATGCCAATTACTTCAAGAAAAACACCGACAACTCAGCAAGTCACAAAGCAACCTTACAACCCTCCACCACGCCACAATCGACGACCTCTAACGGCGGGGGTTTAATGGATTTTAGCGTCATCACCCGGGGGGGCAAAGATGTCGCCTCTGGTCGTAGACCCCCAAAGGAAGCAGAGAGCGGCACGCAGAGCCTATTGCACAACGCATGGACTCTGCCATTGGTGCAGCTCGGGCAAACATCGTTCCCTCAATTGCGACACCGCACCATGGAGGACGGAAAAAGTGTAGTCTCCGACGGAAGTCGCCGCAGGAGACGCAAGAAAAAGGGCGATCTACTGCTCTCTTCTCTGGACACCAACCAAGCTCATTTGCTACTGCCTTGTAACCTAATCGAAGACAATTCCTCCGATTAAAACCGAAGCAATGCTTGACTCAGGTGCCACCGGAAAGGGGTTTATAGACGAATCCTTCGCGCACACCAACAAACTCACGCTTTATGAATTACGAAACCGTCGCCGGCTGAACGTAGTCGATGGAAGACCCTCCTCGGCTGGCGACATCACTCATGTGGTGAAGCTCAACATGGACATCAAGGGACACAAGGAGAAGATGCTTTTTTACGTAACGAAGCTTGGGAAGTATAATGTCATACTTGGAAAACCCTGGCTAACAGATCACAACCCAATCGTCAATTGGAGCACGAATGTGGTCACTTTCAACTCTGATCACTGCCGCAAATACTGCATGGAGAAAGGACAATACCAACTGCCTGTTTCTGGAGCTCCCTCTTTGTCAAGTTCTGCAACCACGACTATACTGCCACGCCCATCAATCCCCCGAAGAGTCGGCGCAGCCGCATTCCACATGCTGACCAAAAACCGCGACGTCGACGTATTCTCATTATCACTGTATGAGATCGACAAAAGGCTGGCTGAACTTGGGGTCATCACAGAAGCCTCCACCTTCGTAGAACCTAAAACACGCCGACGGGTCCGATTCGACTCTGCACTCACAGACATGGACAAGATGAACCGAGAGCTCCAGCTACAGGACGGAATCACCTCCTTAACCCCAAGGACCAACAAACACAGGAACTCCGAGCTTCCCGGAAAATAGCAGCCGATATGTACCTTTCAGGGCATCACTCGAAGACATTCACAAAGCCCTCGAACCCAAGACTTTGATCGATCCTGCAACAAAAGTACCACAACACTACCATGAATTCTTGAAGGCATTCGACCAATCAGAGGCGGATAAACTCCCCCCACACCGAGACTGCGACCACGAAATTGAACTTCAACCTGGAACGACTCCACCACATGGACCTCTGTACGGGATGTCCCAAGACGAACTTCTCGTCCTCCGGAAATTCCTTCAGGAAAACCTTGACAAGGGTTTTATACGCGCTAGCACCTCACCGGCGGCCTCGCCGGTGTTATTTGCAAAGAAGCCAGGAGGGCCTTCGTTTTTGCGTGGACTACCGAGCTCTTAACGCGATAACCATCAAGAACCGCTACCCGCTACCGTTAATCCAGGAGACACTTTCTCAGCTAAGCCAAGCCAAGTATTTCACCAAACTCGATGTCGTCGCAGCGTTCAATCGAATACGCATCAAGGAGGGTCAGGAGTGGATGACGGCGTTCAACACAAGATATGGTCTCTTCGAGAGCATGGTGATGCCTTTGGACTATCAAACGCCCCAGCTACCTTTCAAGCTCGAATCAACGAAGTCTTACGCCCATTCCTTGATAGATATTGCACAGCCTACATCGACGACATTCTCATCTACTCAGACGACCTCGCCACCCACAGACTCCACGTCAAATCAGTACTTCAAGCACTTGAAGCCGCAGGCCTACAACTTGACGTCAAGAAATGCGAATTTGAGACTACTGAAGTTAAATATCTGGGCATGATCATCTCAACCACTGGAGTACGGATGGACCCAGAGAAAGTCGACTGTCTCATCAACTGGGAGGCCCTATCAACGTCAAAGATGTTCAAGCCTTCTTAGGATTCTCGAATTTCTACAGACGGTTCATCAAGGATTTTCACGCATCGTACGACCACTTGTTGCCCTGACACGGAAACTAGTCAAATGGAACTGGACTTCATCGTGCCAAGAAGCATTCGATATGCTCAAAAATAGCTTCACTTCAGCGCCAATCCTCAGACACTTCGACCCCGCAAGAGAAGTGTTTGTCGAATGCGACGCATCCGATTTTGTCTCTTCGGGCATCCTCTCCCAGGAAGATGATCAAGGAGTGCTACACCCAGTGGCTTTCATGTCCAAGAAGTACGACCCGCTGAGTGCAATTACGAGATCTA